AACTCGTGGCCTCGGGCTGCCACGTCCAATGGTGTAAGTTAAAATCCCCCGCAATCAGTACTCGATCCTCAGGTTTGGGTTGCCAGGCCCCTAGGATGTTCCTGAGAGCCTGGCCAGATCGCAGAGAGCCACGAGGGGCGTTATATACGTTAATGACTGTGAGGACCTCCTTCGTTCCTGAGAGGAGTCGTAAGAAGAGCAGGTCTGTGGATGGATCGGGTAGAGGCCGTATTTATACGCCTCGTACCCCAGTTCCTCTACGGAGGTAGGTAAGTACCCTGGGACGGTCTTCGGTCCAGTTATCTACTGGGGTGAAAGTCTCAAAACCTGGGTGGTGTCTTGTGAGCCTCCTCTCTTCCGAACGGATAGACGGCTCTTGTATTAGGAGAATATCGATCTGGGCTACGTAAGCCAGGTTCAGTGCTGTTTCGTGGGCGGATGCCCGCCTGCCCATATTCGCTTGCATGATTTGCAGGGTTTTAGAGGGCGGTATTCTTCTTTTGTGTCTTATTCGTCGGGGTATAGTCCATTGCTTGTTCTTCTTTATGGGAATGTCGATGTGACTGCTGGGTCGCATTTCTCTACACCAGTCCATTTCTACTTCTGCAAGCGTGGACGCAAGGCTACACCGCGCTACCTCCGCCAACGTATGGCCAAAGCAAGCATTGATTTCTTGTTAGGTTCTGCTAAGGGAGCCTCTCTTCTATGCGAATGGATAGAGGAGACCAATTTCTTTTCCGAAATTTGCCCGAGTCATTGAACAGGAACGTTAGGTGAAGACGGTAGCCTGTAATATAGTTTAGATTAGTATAGACCATGTCGGCATTGCGCCCGGCACGTCCTTTGTTACCAGACGTTAAATACATCATCATCATCATCATCATATCCAACCGAGTCAAGGATATGTTGGATATTCGGCATATCCAACATATCCAGACAAAGTGGACTGTTCAGCACTGTTCAGTTAGGATCGGACTTGTATATAAGGATGGACTCGAGCTGGGCTCTAGGACAGACTTTCCATAGCTTCTTCAGCAATTAACTTCGTATCAGGATGAACATCCGCTTTCAGCTACTACCTTGACAAGACTACGATTGATCACCGAAGCCTTACCTACCCTTACGATTGACAGACATAGCTTCCCTGAAGCTATCCCCGACTACGATTACTGTTACCAGTTCCGCAGCCTCAACTTCTGCAAACTACCCCTACGACTAGCTGGCCGTAACAGTAGTCATGCTTATTATACTAATTCCTATTAATTAGTCCCCTAGGCCGAAGCTAATAATCACGATATCTACCTTCGACCTATTAAGCGCTACTAGGTAGATCTTTCATAGCGCTGCCTACTAGCTCTATCCTCTAATAAACTAATATAATACTCCGGTATCAAAGATAATCCCTTAAAAGACGTCTAGCTTGTATCTTTCTTAAGTATAATATACTTAGGCCGTCCCCTCGTCTGGCCTATTTAGTGGATATAAAAAGGGGAGTAGCGAGGCCCCTAAGCTCGTCTTTTTTTCTCTAATTACGTTAGGCTAGGATTTATAGGATAGACCGGTAATGTGGTTATTTAATACTTCCCTTGGCGTTGCGCTTCCTTCTGTAATGGTCGACAATCCCGTAGCTTATATGAATCTACCTTAATAACTATAGAAGAATGCCTCTTTATTGAGGGTATTGACCGCTTGCCTGTTATTTAGATTGGAATATCCTCCTGACAATGAGGGAGTGAAGAAGACGTATTGGACCTTGTTGATGTTATTGAAATCGTTATTAACGATATTGTCGATTCTATTAAGGAAGGGAGTAATGTACTTATCGATATTAGATTCGTAATTAGGATCCCCTTGTGTAGAAGGGCCCTGTTACGAGCAGGACAAGGCAACCAACTGTGGCACAAAGCAAAAGCTTCGACAATGATGACTCCGGCATCATTGTCCCTTGTTCTGCATTATATAGCTACGCCATGACGGAACCAATCGTTTAGGCCGTAACAAATAGGGGTTGCCCCTCGAGTCCTTACTTAGCATAGATTTCTATTAACAAAACGAGGGCGGCGTCGACCTGCTCGTTATTTAGTATATCTGACGGGTTAAAAGCTTAATTTCCCTAGTATGAATTGTTAATGCCTATCTATTTGAGAGGTATGGGTACCTTAGTTATCGCTATTCTAGTTAACTTGTTTATAACCGTACCCTGGCTATTGCTCTTACTTAAGGTAGCCGGCGTGTTTGACCTTAGTGGGCTTAAGCTCGAGCCACTTATTAGTTATGGTATTAGGAGACTGTCGTTGCTGGCTTGGGTTGACGGGGTCTGGCTCGATCCCGCCCCTTCTTGTTGACGGGCGCCAGATCTCGTTGTTATTCCTGTCCTTGCCGATGTGGGCTCCTCGGGCTCAGCCGCTATCTTGGTCTTCTTCCTTGGCCGCGTGGTGCCCTTTTGTGCTTTGGTCGAAGGGCTCGTACTTTATATGTTGGAAGGTATATTCGTTGGATTGTTGCGCGGGCGTAAGTTGCGGGCCGTGGGAAAATAGATGTAATTGTTGTGCGGGCTGGCCGCGGTTGGTATACTTGATAGACTTAAATTTGCGGTCTTGCTGCGAGGAAGTCGGTATAAGACAAGGGTCCTTCGTCGGTCGTTGGGCGCTCGAGGCGTCTGGCCGGTCGACCGTCGAAGGCGTTGCTGATGTGATAGACGCCTACCTCTCGTGAGTAGTCAAGGAGCCACGATTCCTCTATCCTGTCCGGTATTAGAGGGTCGTCTCTTCTGTTTTGCGAGATGCCTTGTTGATCTGCGATAGTGGAATTTAACCACTGATTAGTGTTGGTATTCCTTTTATAGGTAAGTTAGTTCGAACCGTAAGGTCCTGGGGGTGACGAAGTATTAATATCTCTGTATTGATTGATTCTGCGTAAGGAGTAGAAGGGAGATTCCAACCGGAGGTTGGGTGGGTAGTCGAGGTCTAAGTGTACCCCCTCGAGGTGGCCCATGCTCTGCCCCTACTCGCGGCCGAATTGGACTTTCAATCCGACAGTGGGGGCAAACCCCTGGTCGTACACAAATCAAGCCCCATTTGGGGAGCAAGAGAGCGGGTAGGTCTTCGGGTCATTCTTGACCGAGGACAATGATGTGGCCTTCATATCATAAAATTGGCTAAATGTTGATCCCGGATCTGACACATATTACCCGGCTTCGGAAATGACCAAACTTGCTCATTGCTAGAGGGCCTTGCATTCGATCAAGTGTGATGAGTTATCGACAAGATGTCTGCAGAGTTTGAAGACGCTCCAAGTAAGGGGGAAGTTGTGATAATATTATAACTTTGGCGTGATTCATGACATTATAGATATCAATGATACTGCTCGTGCCTGGGAAAAGATAATAACACTACCCCTGATGAATTGTTCGAATTTGGGCACGTGCTACTTTTACTCATCTTTTAGTCGCATAAGATCAATCAATTGCGATCCCATCGGGCAATCCCACCAACATTCGACAACTGAGCGGTGCCGAAATGCTATTGAGCGAGCCAATAGGGCGAAGTTGAGCCAAGAAGTAAGCTGAAATAGCCAAGGCGCCATCTAGATCGATGCTTATCTGCAAGTGAACCGCGCCATGTGGCTTCTAGGTTTAAGAAGGAAGGTGAGCCGCATGATCGATCTATCAAGGCCGTCTACGGATACTCCCGTTCATGTAGCAAAGAGGGGTACCTAGAGCATCCCAGTCCCCGAGTATCGGCTATTTACCCTGGGAACCTTTGTACTAAGATGATCTACGTCAGCCAATGCCGGCGGGATGGTTGTGCAGCATGCAAGCCATGGCCCCGAACCTCTCGAAACCCCGCGGTTGAAACAGTGTTGATTGAATGGAGCAGTGCAAGGTGCCTTTTGGTGGCTTGGGTGCCGTCCCGGTGCCTTGGAGGCGGAAGACTAGCCCTTGAAATATAAAAAGCTTAGTTTTAGCACAGATCACATTGAACGGTGCACGCAGAATTTGAAAGCCTGCTCACGGTGTTTATTGAGGACATGGAGCCAAGGGTAACATTGAGCTAACATATGGATACAGCCTACGAACAGTTGAGGTCTATCTTTCACTTAAGTTCAGGTTAAGTTGATGACGTTTGCAAAATTTGTCTTGAGTTGGTAGTACTTCACTTTGCACTGATATTCTGCAAGGAAAGTTCATCAATGGCGCCAGATATCCTCGAGGGGTCTCAACAAACAAACATAGGAACCAGCAACCAAATTGTGTCATAGCGATTGAGTGGATGACGTGTTACTAGAAGCTTTGCTGGCATCCAACTCGAACATGCGCCTCCGGCTATCATAACTCCAATCTGGGGTTGCGGAGGTTCGACAGGGCTCCAGCCTCCCGAGTCCCGCGGTTAACCAAGGATTCTCACCCGAACCTCAATTCAAGTGGAACTAGAAAGTGGGAATTGGGGGAAGAGGAGATGACGGGGCGAAAAGACCCATCTGTTAGTCTATCCGTAGCCAAATCCTTGCTTCGAGACAACCGTCCGGTTTTCGTGCTCGGTCACAGTCCGAATCCAAGACGCGGGGCGGTGTGGAGGGCGTGGAGGGCCGAGCGAAGGCCGACTCCGGAATCTTCCCCCAGGTATCCGTATTTTAGTCAAGGAAAAGTGCGGGATCTGGAAAACGCGGGGATTGACCGGGTGAGGAGTGGGAATTGCTGGGAATCGCGAGATTGTTTCTCAATCTCTCGGAAGTAAAATGTGGTCGGAGTTAATGCTGACACGAAAGAAGTTGGCCATACGATACTTGGCAGAGTTGAACTTTTCTCTTCTCCACCTTAATTCCTTGCTCCTAGGTTTTCTTCCTTCGGTAGGTTGGGGAATTACTCCAATTCTGGCCCCCTTTGCAATTTGATTCTCGCGGCGTGCCCCATGGCTGGAATGCTCAACTTCTTAGAGCGGATTTCGATTTAGACACTAGGATGGATTCACGATAGTGGATAGGACAATTGTGTGTTCAATGGTGATTTGGCTTGATTCGCTTCTTGCGTTTCAATTCATTATGGCATTTATCCATTCTATCGACATAACTTAGAGTCTTGCCACATCCCGTGATTTACACGAGCCTCGAAAGGAGTGGCAAGGTGGAGATTTTAATGTACAATTCGCTCCTTTGGGTATCAAACCGCATGGTTTCAACTTCACATAATAACTCGTAGCGCTTAAACAAGGTATCTGAAACCCTTGCCCAACTTGTGCGAAACCGCAGTCTCCTCCGTGTTGGCGGCATTGGCAGTGTCAGCCGTCTCGCTCTGCTCGAGCTCCTTGTTCAGCCTGTCAAGAATGACCTTGAAGATGTAGCAACCGACGATGGTAATACCGAACATGGCAGTAACGATGCCGTAGCTCTGGCGGAAACCGTTCTCCTTGAGGTTCCAGACGTACGATCCGGCGACGTTGCCGAGCTGGGAGAAGGCGTTGATCATGGCGATGGCGACGGCACGCTTGGCGGGGGGACGCGGGAACGAGGAGGAGATCCAGGAGTAGAAGACGATGAAGCCGGCGTACGAGCTGGCCTGGAGGAAGAGTGCGACGTAGCGGGCGGCAACATTGAGAGTCGACATGGAGATGACGAAACCGACCAGGCCGACGCAGATGGGGCCGACGATGTGCCAGAAACGCTCTTGGGTGCGATCGGCGTGCCAGGCGTTGATGAGGGAGATGATGCAGGAGAAGGCCCAGGGAGGAGAGCTCATGAGCAGGGTGGGGACGTAGCCGAAGCCCAGAGTCTGGGTGAGGGTAGGGAAGAAGGCGTTGAAGGAGAGACCGACGACGTAGGCGGTGAAGGTCAGCATCATGACGTAGATCTTGACGTCCTTGACAGCCATGATAAGACCGTCGAGAGGGCCCATGTCATCCGAGTCAGCGTCAGCCTCACCGACATCCTCAGTCATGCGCAGCTGGGCGACGTAGAGCTCCTCCTCGGTGAAGCCACGGGAGTTGGTAGGCAAGTCGGGAAGGATGAAGGCGGCGGAGATCGCGACACCCATAGTGACGGCACCCTCGATCCAGAAGAGCCAGCGCCAGGCAGCGTGGCCGAGAACGCCCTGCATGTTGGAAAGAACACCGGCGCCGATGAGGGCGGAGAAGGCGTTGGAGATGAGGTTACCGCAGAAGAGGATGGCGTTGCGGGTGGTGAGCTCGCGGCGGGTGTACCACTTTGACAGGATCATGAGGGCACCGGGCAGGAAAGCGGCCTCGATGAAGCCCAGGCAGAAACGGGTGGCGACCATGCCTCCGAAGTTCGTGGTGACGCCGGAGAGGGTCGAGATCATGCCCCAGATCAACATGGCGGCGGCGATGTACCAGGACGGGCGGGAGATCTTGTTGATGACCATGTTGGAGGGAATCTGCATGAGAATGTAGCCGACGTACAGAATACTCAGGCAGGTGGCGTATTCGTTGTTGTCCAGCTGCAGGTCATCTTGCAGACCGCGGAGACGGGCAGCGGCGATGTTGTTTCTGTCGAGGTAGTCTGGGGGATTGCTATGTTAGCTTGTGACCAAGTGAGATGAGATCCCAGTGAGTGAAACATACTCATGATGTAGATGAGCACGAACAGAGAGCATCGCATGTCAAGCTTGCGCTTCATGCTCTTCTCAACTGCTGCACGACGCTCAGGGCTCATAACCCGAGGCGCGTTGGGGTCGGTGTAGTTGTTCTCGACATTATCGACGTCGGCGCCCTTGAAGTCGGCGCCTTGGGTGATCTTGTCGTTCTGTGCCGAGTCCATCTTTGCGACTGTCCTGTCGGATCACTACACAACTGAGGAGCGGTGGTGAGGAGGGAGACCGAGAGGGAGGGATGGGAGACGGAAGAAGGAATCAGGAGGTCGTCTGGATTGAACTCGAGATTAACTCGGGGAGGAGAACGATGGGAAAGCATTTGGTTATAAAGCGGTGGCAGGCTTCGGGCAAGTCCCGATCGTCGCGGGGAAACACTTAACCACCGCCCCTCAACAACATTTTAATGTGGGGTGAAACCTGCTTCACCCATCACATTAAGAGTATACGCGCGTGAGAGGTGAGAATTTTGGAAAATGGGCCGGAATCTGATACGAGTCCCCAGTCCCCAATTCGGTTGCAGTCCAGAATCTCGGCCCAGAATCGCGGCATGCGGCTGCTTGAACGCGAAAGCTGTTGCATTGGACATGGAGCTTCTTCGGCCGCACCAGAATGACGTGGGAAGGATAAGCCCATCCATGGGGAAGTTCAGGTTGGGGTTGACGGGGGGCGCGAGTGACTTGGACTCTTGGAGTGGTTGAGATTGACAACTCGAGAACCTCGAAAAGAGAGAGAAAGCGCGCGCGATACACGGAGCTCGTTCTCGCCTCCGTCCGCGGGGAACGTCACCTTGCATCCCGGGGGGGACGAACCCGTCGAACCAGCTTCCAATTGCCCCGTTGCCCCCAAAGTTCCGGGATTTGACGGTCAGCTGGAGTTCTTGAGGGCCCCAAAGTGGAATCTTTGAGATAATAGCGCTCCCCCAACTTTTTCTTGCCCATACTCCAGTCTCCAGCTTTCACCCCGAGGGGATCCCACAGTTTCTGCTCTTGGCTCTTGGCTTTGATTGAGAGTGGGAGAGGAACCAAAGTCGCGCGACTTTGGGGGTAAAATGTCTTTGATTCAAGGTAGGACCGAGGTTTCCACCGGATGGTCCCGCTAGCTGGCCGCCAATTCGCGACAAGTGCCGGTTGAGATCCATCGCCTTGCGTCTGGCTGGCGTTGGAAAAGACTAAAGCACTCAAGCATCTTTCTCCGCAGGCGCAGTGGGACGGGGATTGGGGGATGAGGAGAGATACAAAGTGGGCATCGTGGGGAAAGGTCCGAATGGAATCGTCCAATGAACTCTTCACCGACTGAGCACAACTTGTCTCATTACGGTTAAGATTGTCGGTGCTCTACTCCTTTTCCGGGATGTGTGACCGGCAAGGGTTGCGTTCGACCAACGACGGGGCGCGGAGTCTTGCGGAGTTTAAACGATAGTGACGTGAGCGAGCCCGTTTCGAAATGTTCGAAATCTCTTGCCTTTCCGAGGTCTGCTGCCCGGTTGCTGTCAAGACTTCAAAGCCCAGGCAAAAGACAAGGGGGAACATTAAGCACCCAAGCAACCACTAACTCACGTGGTCGCAAATCTTGTCTATATTCCTGAGGATGACGTATTAGTGCCATTTTCTCTGACACCACAAAACGTGGTTTCCGACCGAGGACTTGGTTGAGATCCTCGCCGCAACGTTGAGCTCTGGTCTGGGCGCGTGGGGTAGCATAGGTATATATTCCCCGTGCACGTCAAAAGAAGATGCCGCCCAGGAACTTGGGACGAGGGTGGCGTTTTGCCAAGATTGAAGTTTTTTTCTTTCCCCAGTATATCCGTACAGAATGTCTTCAACGCCGTCCGCCGAGCTTGGCGTCCTTGGCCCGAACGCGAACTCATCACGAAGTTGTGTTCGCGATTATAAATCTTTTCCGCTTCTCCGAGCAAGTGGTATCCGTAGATGCTTGGGTAGCCTGCTTAATGCTGCAAGCCAGGCGGTTGTGCCGCCCCCCTTCTTACTGTTTCTGGTCTTCGCCCAGTATCTGGTTGGTGGCTTGAACAACCGCATCGGCTTAGACTGGGAACTTTGATTCAGTGCCGCGCCGGGCATAATGCCACTAGTCCGGCCAGAACCCCGTGTAGCATGTACCGTATCCGTAATACGATGAAAAAAGTCCGTTGCATCCGTTCACTGATATTACCTCCAAGGGAGCCATTACAGAGCTTCCATGAGACACGAGATTCATTTCTTTGGGATAACGTGCGTCTACAAGTTGCGCCTTGCTTGAGAAAAGACACCAATTTTGCGCCATTTGAGTTGATTGACTATGCTGTGAGTCGGGACTAGCATCATAGATGATCTGTCTACTAAGATGGAGAGAGTAGCTCAACTTTTCAAGGGCACACCCAAACCCCTGGCCGGTACTGAGACCTGGGATTTGACAAGTGTCTTGGTCTGTCGAGGCAAACTCCATTCGCCAGTAAACACTCTAGAAAAACTCAATCTTAAGCCCGATTAGCTCAATATGTCTGAATATGGTGGCCAGAGCCTACATCAGAAAGGTTCATGTTGTCTTTGCTCTTGGTAGTTTTCCCAGGGCCTGCCCATTCTTGCCAGGCTTGCTAGCATAGCTAGTTCGCGAACTAGTCGGTTGCTGGCCTCGCAGTATGCCTGAGATATTTGAGTTGATGGTGCCTGTTTCCGGTAACAACGGCACAAGAGCTATGCTTTCGAGTATGTCTCAAGAGCCAAGGTAGGAACAATGAACATTTCCCCCGAAGTTCGAGTGTCCCTTGATCCTGGTGTCATGATTCTGATAGCAGCTAGACCGGATGGTTTACCCAAAGCCATCGTGAAGCTCTCAAATCGTCAAGTTTCATCTTCTCTGGTTCAGTGATCCTAGGCTCAGGACATCGTGGCACCCGAGTCTCCACTCATGAGCAACCTCTCAGCGGCTGCCTCATCGTCCTCATCCGAATCATCATCGTCATCATCCCCGCCCATCAAGTCGATAACCAGAACGGAGCCCGAGTTGAGCATGTCCAACTGGAAGCCAGCCTGCAAGACCTCAGGGGCATCGAAAATGCAGCCGGCGACATCGAGGCTGATGTCGGCGTCCTTCAGCGCCAAGCAGACGAGGCGGAAGTGCTCGTGGTGCTGGTCCGTAGCATCCTCGCCGTCCTTGTCGCCGTCAAAGATCAAGACGACGTTGCGGTGGCTGAAGCAGAAGGTGTCGTTGACTTCGGGACGAGCGATATCTCTGAGAGCGGCTTCGAGCTTTGAGGGCTCGGTCTGGGCGTTGGCTGTGAGTCGTGTAAAGATGCTGCCGTTGAGAATGGCTTTTGCTGTGCTGGGCTTGGATGGTGAGAAGATTGTGACGTTTGGGGGTAGCGCCGGTGCGGCAGGTGCCGAGGTAGAAGCCTTTGGGTCCATGGCCGATTTTGAAGTTATTCTCGTGCAAGATGTTACGTGCTAAGCTATTGTCCGTGTTGTAGTTTAATTTTCGTTGCCGGTCTAAGAGGCGAGGCAGGGACACTTCGAATAGAAGCGCCTGCAAAGTTTTCAGGGATGACTAATTTGAAAGGCGGAGAAGATGTGGAGTCACCGGGGCCGAAGAATACCGGAGGCGGTCCGATGTGGGTCTAGGGAGGCCGGTGAGGCAGACACGGCAGCAAGCGTATCGCTCTCGGTCTGCATCCTACAAAGAGAGGAGGTAGATACAGCACCCTATGGTCAAACATAGATAAACTTGAAATTGTTGTGAAGTGCTCTAGTCGCCGGAACCCTCTTCGAACTCGGCTTTTCCCAGTCCTGGTTGCCCTGAATGGGAAATAATCAGCAGAGATACAATTGGCTTCCCTGTTAAGTTCTGTCTGCTGACAAGATGATGTCAAAAGTTCACCATGAAAGATTTAAGTGGTGCATCACAAGCGAAGCAGCAATAGAAGAATGTGGACATCATCATCCAACAGCATTTTCGAATTTTCCAGCGAATTCCGCCTTGTTGCCCAGTCGCTGGGGAATTCCGACCGCTTTCTCGTAGACTTCATTTGAATATAAAAATGGCAAAATTACCATTGAATTGAGCAGCATAAGTGTGCAGTGATCGATAGAGTGATGCAAAAAAGGTCCTAAATAGTCTGTGGTCTGACGATCAGGCTGATTGTGATGTGTGTGATTGGACTGCGCCGTATTACCGTGTGAACATGATCCTTATGAACTTCCCACCACTACCGCCCGACAATAGCTCACCCAGCGTCATTCTCAGTGGCTCAAGCCATATTGAACCATTCTCACGACAAAGCCTGGCTTGAGGTGAGCATCTTTGGTTGGAAGAGCGACGAGGCGGAGCGACGTTCGGTGACTTGATCTTCAGCCAGCGAATATCCAAGACCAGGCAAAAACTCCAGTGGGGGAAGCGATATTCATGATTACTTCTTCTTAAAAGCTTGAGATGACGTGGATGATGTCGGACTTCCGCTTGTGACGTCGCAAGGCAGTCCTCACTTCCTAACTTCTCATAGACTCCCTTGGCTCCAGTTCTCATAATCATTATATAAACCATCCAGATTCCACACTTAACAGATGTCGGACATGGTCAACGCAAGCACCCCAAGATCGAAAGCAACCAAAACTCCCATTTTCAACCTATCAACTCAATCTTGAATCAAACAAATTAACTCTAAGGATTATGGCACCCAAGTAGGTCTTGTGCAACGGATCATGCCCAGCATACTTGGTGAGACTCACGCTGACCAACATAATCTCACAGCTCAAACAGACGCTCCTTTGATTCACAGGCGAGCTCATCGACGCTTGGAGATCTGCCAGTCGTTGAAGTCGAAAGTTACCTAACGGCACCAGCTGTCCGCTGGTCAACCGCGAATCGTATCTAACTCGACGTCTTTTTAGTCAGCATGTACGAATAATTGTTGGAATATCGCGAATGTCGCAGCGCAAGAATACAAGCTAGCTTGCTTCTTATGCTCGGCGAGTATTATATTTGTTGGATACCCAGGGCAGTACACTTAGGCGTACTAAAGGAACTAGTCCAACAGTGATGATCTTCAAGTCATCTCAAATAAAAAAATATTGATTGTAGCTCCATAACTCAAGCATGCGGTAGAGGGAGCGATCTCCAGCAGCCGTCGCAGCATTTTCGTTGCGCGTAGATTTTATTCGATCTAATCAGGAATTGTACGAAGACCTTCATCATATGTTCTTCTAATGCTCTATGTCGAGGTGGCTTCCAATGAGACTGATAATGTCTCCAGCAGAGGCATCTGGTCCCAAACAGCCCAAAATATGCTGATCCGGTCTTACTAAGACCGCCCTGCCCTGGGAGAATCCACCTTGGGCTTCGAACAATCTTCGGTGACTGTGGTAAGAAAAGCTGAAATCGCTATCGGCGCCCCAAAGTTGGAGACGAGAAGCCAGCCCCGTTCCGAGGATTTCTTTGCAATGCTCAAATCGTTGGTTCCAGGTTGCGCGGCATGGCGCAATAAGGGCAAAGGTACCTGCATTCGCCAGGTCAAGTGTGGAGAATCGTTGAGCCTCGATTCGCTCGCTCGATAGTTCCTTAACATAGGATGTGTCGATAGGTTGCTGAAGAATCTCGTATGTATCATTTGGTTTGGTAAATTTGATCCAGGCATGTGGTAATCTGCCTCCAACCTGGAACTTGGGTGTGAAATCCGATGCGTTCGCAGGTGTCTTCTTGTCGCCGTACACATAACCAATGTGAATTTCAAGCTGTGATGAACCTTGTGAGCGACTGCACAGAGGAACTTGTGGATTTCGACGGGCTTACATTGTCAAAGTGTTCACGTTGTCCCTCGACCTTTTCGGCTATCAAGTCCTGCTTGGCCGGGTCTTGGATGGCTTCATACATCCGTTTTCGGGCCTCGTCAAGGTCTTCTACATCCGCTGTTCCGATAGCCTTGAGGAATGAAAAGATTGACTTTCCATTTTTGACACTCTGAGCCGCCGCAATGACGGCAATGGGTCGTCTATCAGTCTCATAAGTGTCAAGAATACGTGGGTTTGCCCAACCCTGGTTCACTGCGGCGACCTTGTAAGCAAGATTGTGCGCGTCTGCTAGCCCAGAGTTGAGGCCCAAGCCACCAGTCGGAGGAAACGAATGTGCAGCATCGCCAACTCTGTGCCGATCATAGTTAGTGTTAATGCATTGTTGATATACAGGGAAATTTGAGGATGCCACGTACAAGAACACGTTCCCACGACGATACTCCTTCGCCACCTTGCGGCTCAAAACCCACGGTCTGAAACTCATAATCTGGATCGGTATATCTTGTCCTATCGCAGCTGACACTGTGGCATGTGCGAGTTTTTCTGTCCATGATTCTACAGGGTGTCTCTTCGACTGGTTCAGACATTGTCAGCAAGCAAAGCCGCCATTGGAATCACGAAAGTGCTCAGACTCACATCGAAGTTGCTAATCAAAACTTGGTTTCCATCAAGATCATATGCGATGATGAAACCAGAGCAAGCAGGATCGGCTATCCAATGCAGCATGCCAACGCCATTCTTTACGATTGGCCGGAGATTCGCATTGAAGTGTATCGTCATCATGGTCTCGTCTTAGTCCTCTTTGTAAGCCCAACTGATTGAGGAGAACAGCGAGCGAAAACTCACATCCATCTTCTCCTTCAGTCTCAATCCCAAGAAATCGACGAACTTGGCTCTTTGCTCCATCGCAGCCAATAACGTGCCTCGAGTTGATTGTCCAACGACGTTTCGTGGCGCGCTCTTCCACAACGGTGGTTACCTTGTCACCTCGCTGCAGAGCATTTAGTATCATCTCGCGCTTGGGGCTCCTGGAACCTTTGAATCTTGATGATCTCACCTGCTCACACGACACGAAACCAACACCCTTGCGAATCTCGACATTCAGGTCATTTTCTAGATGTTGTGCGATGAACTTCTCAAAATCTGGCTGCGGAATGTTGTGGATCATCTTCATATAAGAGGCCTGTTAGTGATTGACCTCGAAGATGACGATAGACGATATGGAGCATTCAATTGCTTTCATACCTCAGGTGTACTCTCTAGGACACCAGGATCCATCCGCTCGTACGGTAGAACCCCAATCTTCTCACCAGTGAGATTGGTCAAGAAATTGACCCAGTAGGCATCATCACGAGGCGACCCTAACTTGCGTATCGCTCTCGTATCTAGTCCATACTGTCTACATATCTCAAGGGTTCTGGGGCTCAACGCATGGGCTTTGGGAGCAGCCAGCCTTTCAGGATACTTCTCAATGAGAAGCGATTTCACTGTGAGCTGTTAGCGTTCTACCCCATCAAATTAAGAGAGCCCACAGCTGCACAGGCCTACGTGTTATCACTTACCACCATGTTTAGACAACATGTAAGCTGTGAACAGACCAGTCGGACCACCACCTGCAATGAGAACAGGTACCTCGACTGAAACATCTCCCACTTGAACATTGTCTGGTTTCAAATTACAAGATGAGAAGTCAACCTTGTAGGCGCCCTCAGGGCGCGATGGCTGGGCAATATCAAGCATCATTGCCGCCAACCAGACTGTTTGTTAAAAAAGACAGAACTATGTCTGCTGAAGAAACGGGGGAAGACGACAATATGGTCGTCTTTATTGCGGATGAACGCCGATGGGAGATGCCTGGGAGGCTTCATCCCGAAGTGCAACGGTTTCCGACGGACGACCTCCTATTCGCTGGAAACGTTGGCTCCGAACGAGCCATTCCAATTCGTCCAATTTTCTGGGGTAGCGTCCGAGCAACATCGACGTTCATGACGCACTGCGATCCTCTCACTACTCAGAAACTTTGGCCGAAGCTTCCTTGTCTCACAAACACCCCTCAAAGGCCAACCCCCTGCATGGCCTGTCCCAGATGATCGTTCCGCCCCGCCCGCAGTACTAGTGAGCTGTAGCTTCATAGCCCCGAAGCCCCGCTCATGGTTCGCGTTTCTTTTTTGTAGTTTCCTCTTTCAACGTTCACCAAAAGTCCCAAAACCTCTGCGCTTTCGTGCTCTTATCAAAATGGAGACGGAAATCCCCACTACAGCCGTTGGATCCTCGGACAACCCGAACTCTGGTAACAATCTCAAGAGGAAGCGAAGGCCTCGGGCGCCGATAGCTTGTGGTACATGTCGAGCTCGTAAAGTAAAGGTCGGTACAGCTCTAATGATGTCTTCAACGAACAGACATGTTGACCAAATCTCCTTCAGTGTGATGGTAGTTCGCCATGCTCCAACTGTGTTCGTGAGTGTGTCGTTTTCCTTAGGATGAAACTGTTGATGACTGACAAATGGTCCCCCAAAGGACACGAATTCTCGTGCTCATACAAAGAAGGACCGGAAGACTCGTTTGTAATAAGACCAGAATGAGTCCTGATTGGGGCTAACTCATCCCACAGACCGAGTAAGAGGTCATCCTCATACGATCCCACCGGCCGCCTGCAACAACGTTTGCAGCCTCAACCTCAGCTGATACCCCAGCCACAGCCGTCATTGCCTGAGCATCTTCATCCGTCGCCAGTTAGCCTAGATGAACCAATCAAGCACGAGAACCCAATTCAGCTGAACCCACAGGAGCCTAGCCGCATGGACAGAGGCTCATCAACATCTTCGGAACAAGAAGTAGACGGCCTTGGTCAGGTCAACGAGCACACCGAGGGTGCCGAGTTTTACGGACCAACGGGAACCTTTTACTTCCTCGCCCGGCTTCGCTCTCGGGCGAACACACAGAAACAACCGGAAGTCGGCACGCATCGGAAGCAAAGCTCCATTGTAAATCTCCTGCACAGTTCGGATTACTCGACGCCCCCGGACTCTCGCATCCTCGGCCAGAACCAGTTCGCAAAGGCAAGTCCGCAGAGCAATGGCGGCAGAAGGGAGTCGTACCAGCAAGGAGTTGTTGCCGACGTCTTTCTCAGCGCGGTGGATGCCGCGTTCGCGACGGAGGTCGAGCGGGAATGTGTTCGACTGTACTTCCAAAACCTGCACAACATCCACCCAATCCTCGAACATATGACCTTCCTCAAGAGATGCGAGGAAGAAATATGGTCGAGGCTTCCAAGGCCAGATATCATGATCTCTTCGCAAATGCGTCGTGAGGCAAGGTTCCTGGCACTTTACAATGTTGTCATTGCTATCGGGGCCATAACCGCCGGAGAAACGTCCTTACTCATGGAAAACCACACCAAAGAGTTCTTGGATCGTACTGGACAAACCAGCGATGAAGAGGCACTCTACCCACCTATTCGTCTGGCAAGAAGATTATTCGAAAGGTCGAGGCTTCACCTTGAAGACATTTGCGAGTCGAGTTCGCTTGAAACTGCGCAGACACTATTTCTCATGGTCAGTTCCGGGCAATATATTCAATGTGGAGGTCTTCGGAGCCAGTGGACTGACTTCTAAACTGTAGTCGGTATTCGGTCAAAATGCGTTGAAACCTCACAGCTGCTACATGTATAGCGGCATGGCGATAAGAACTGCGTCGGCCATGGGTGTCCCGACTAATACCCGTTCTGAGACAAGCCCAGAAAGCTTGCTTTGGTGGTAGGTGACCATAAAGACGCTCTGTGCTTAGTGCTAACGTATCTAGGTCGCTCTACTCACACGAGATGTAAGTTGCGCACCTTGCTTGGTTACTTGAGTCTGGATGCTGACCATTTAGCGAAATGTGCTTTTCTGCTGGGCGCCAATCAGGACTACGTGCTCCAAGCTCCTACTCAATACCGTTCCCAAAGACATCTGTGAGTTCAGACTCTTCTCAGAAGATTAGTTACATGTAACTCAAACTGTAGTGAAGCATTTCCCCAATTCGGCGTACTGTCTCATCAACCCTATGGTTGACCTGGCCAAGATTCTCATGTGGATGACGGACAACTTGGGTCTACACAGCAGTCATACATCCTTCCAGAGGCTATCACAGACTGCACTCAACCTGGATCGAGAGTTGGATGACTGGAAGTCTGGGTTACCAAGACAGCTCCGTTTTGATACATCATCGCTGGAAGATAGTGAATTTGCCATGAAGCAAAAGACTGTCCTCAAGCTACGTATGCTTCGCTATCTCGCCATGCCAGATCACGATACTAATGCGCGTGGACAGGGTTTCTGAACGCCAGGATTCTCCTCCATCGACAGTTCATCATATCAAAGACACAAGAAGCGGACCGTAACACGGTTTCGCGGCACGTTACATCATGCGTCAAAGCTGCCACCGATACCATCAAGTTTATGCACACGAGCTACCTACATCGACCTTACTTCAGGACATGGTACCACCTTCGCTTCTATTGGACCTCAAATCTGAAGACAGCTAATCAGAAGTAGGTGGTACAACTGCATGTACCTACTAGACGCCTGCATGGTCCTCCTCCATGTCCTCATCTCAAACATCTGCCCATTCCCTGCCGAAGAGGTTATGGAAAACATCGAGCTGAGCCTCGACATCTTTAAAGCAATGAAGATGCTCGCAGTAGCCAGACGATGCGCCGATATCGTTAAAGAATTGCTCAACGTCGCGGCAAAGACTCATTCCGTACAGCAGCGTCAGACGAGTGTGACTACGGAAGCTGAGCCTACCCTTAGGATGAATGAAGATGTTAGCCAACTAATGCAGACTTCCCCAGCTTTCATGTCGGATGGTATGGGCCTTCATCCTGGGGATACCGAGCTTGGAGACGCCATGATTCCTGGGGACTTCGATGCAAACTTGGTGGACCCGAATGTTGTCTGGAATTTCCTCAATTTTGAGCATTGGAATGCGTGGTCTGATGCAGCCTTCAGATGAACGATGTAACAATAGCATAAAACAGGTATGACACAAGCAGCATACAAGATCAGTTAAGTAGGGCATGGCTCTGTAAAGACACTTAGACAAGCAGGAGCTCAATCGGCCCTCTAGTGACATGGAATTGAACCCATCCGCAATGTTCCAATCTTCCATTGAAGCGATCAAATAAGCCTTTTGCCTACATGGACATAACATGCAAAACATTGCTTCAGCGCTGCGTTGGGTTTTCCCCAGCTTTCTAATCTGGGTGGGATTGGTGGAACAAGCTAGGCCGTCAGGAGATGGGAGTTCAGCTAGATGCTGCATAGAGTCTTGGCAGCCATCGATGCAGCAGAAAGGAGGATTTGAGCTCTTAGATTTATAGGGCGTCTGCGGGTCTTGGCGGATAAACTCATGATGGATTTACCACGACTAGAATCCATCGAAAGACGCAAGACATTGCCACCAGCTTCCAACTCATGGCCACTCAGCATAGTCGCGCTTCATAGCTTCCTTGCTGTAGGACTCTAATGAGCCGATGAGTATAAAGTGAAGCTGAGGTTCGCCATCATCACAGACTTGAACTATTCTCAGGCTTCAATTCTCATATTAGGACAGGATCAATCAGCATGCTTTCAACCACTATTGCCGGGTTAGTGCTGGCCATTGGCCTTGCATCCGCTCAGTCTACCAAAACTACCTCGACGCGAACGACTTCAACAAGCACCATAAAATGGCAAGCCTCTGGAGGCGTATCGTGCCCACACCCGTCCGTCAACACGAAATGGCCCACAGCGACCGGAAGCACCTCGTTCCCAACTGCCTCCTTGATCCCAGTCAACGCGGTATTTGACGGCAAGATGGCTCTCTTTGATCGCAAAGGTAGCTCTGGCGACTGCAAGGGCCAAGCCGAACAAGATGTTGTTGTTGTTGTTGATCTATCTAACGCCATGGCGGCAAGGGCGCAGCCGCCCTTGCGGCAGACCTCCCGGAGGGTATGTGGCGTGAAGGGTCGCAGGCTCTAGCTGTATACTATATAGTACACGCCGTATCCTGACGTCCTCCAAATCTTGCTCGTGAGCTACTATGTGTTCTATCCATCCCTAGTTCCCACTGGTGCCCTAGTTCCGTTATAACCATCTGGTTTCTTAATAGAGGTAGTTTGTCGTTTGGAGGATAGGTTATGACCTATCTCCTAGTACCGCGGGGAGATCTTCTGGAAGAAGTCTGTCACGCAGAGGAAGGCCTGGAAGCCTTCAGAGTCAGTGATTAGCCCCTTGAAGTAGCGATCGAGGGACCCTATAGGTCCTACGGGCTCCTGGCGGCTGTAGGGGTAGAGGGTGGGCCACTGTTGCCTCCTCAGTAGGGTCTTTCGGCAGTAGACTAGATGGTCTGCCTCCTTAACCCATCCACAGGAGCAGGTGAGTAGTGCTTCTGTGTGGTTAAAGCGTTGGTGATATTGTTTAAAGTCCCCGTGGCCTGACCGTGCCGCGAGGAGGTGATGAAGGGCAGCCCTAGGGAGGCCAAGTTCAGGAGGGCAAGCAAGGGTAGCCTTGAGCCCTAGTTGGGTATAGCGGGGAGTTGCCTCTTGTTTCCACCATCGTCTATATTGGCGTCTTGGCCGCTCTTTAGCAAGCCACTTGATACCTGATAGAGTAGCTAGTTGGCCCCTAAGGACTGGTAGAGTTGTGCCCTCCTTAGCTAGGCTGTCTGCTTCTTCGTTTCCTTTAATACCTTGGTGCCCAGGAGACCAATGGGTTTGTATATCGTGTATCCTAGCTACCTCCTGGATCTCAAGGAAGGCCGCTTGTGAGGAGTCTGGGACCTTACCGCGAATCCCCTGAATAACGCTGGTATTGTCGATGCAGATGTGTATAGGCTGGCCTTGGGAGGTCTGAAGGGCCCGTCGGAGCCCAGCCCTCGCCCCCTCCGCCTCACCATCAAACACTTCTGCTAAGCCGAGACGGCCGCAGCCCTGGGCTATACGTTTATTGTTGCGGTAGATAACAAAGCCGAACCCTGTAGCCCCGTCAGGAGCTTTGGAGCCGTCTGAGTATACGACTGTATGCTGACCTGGCACAGTCTTGAGCCAGGCCTGGAAGATCCTAGCTGCTACTTCCTTCGTCTGTGTAACTATCCCATCGACTGCGGCATGACGTCGGTACATAGACTCCACAAAAGAGGCCCGTTTTTTCCCCTCACAACATCTGGTACATCTATTCATACCAATTACCCCTATGATTTCCACTACGGTATATCCATACAAACCAACATTGCCACCATTTCTTTCATGGATTCTGACGATTCTGCCTCATCTACGGGCTCGGCGAAGTCGTGTATCTTTGTATTACTACCCGATGATATTACTGCTGCCTGTACGACCGACTGTACGCCGTAACGATGTGATAATGCCACCGTTCGGCCCTGTGAGCCTCCCGAGCTCGAGCCCGGCCTGCCGGGGCAGTTCGTACCCCTCGAGGTGCCGCACCGGCCCGCCGAGGTGCTCGAGCTGCCCAGGCAGCCGGTAGACCTCTTCTTCGAATTCGTGCCGGCCGAGCTCGTGGGCCGGTGGGTTAAGTAGACTAACGCGGGGCCGTCCTCCGCGAGGCTCGCGCCGCCACAAAGACGTTCTCGCAGTCTTCTGTGGAAGCCAACGACTTCAGACGAACTCTACCTCTTCTTAGGCATTCTGATTTATATGGGAATACACCCTGAAGCAGAAGTCGCAAGATATTGGTCAGTTCAGCAGGATCAAGAAGATCCTATCCATCCTTTTACTCGACTCATGACGAGAGACCGCTTCCAGCTCCTCTTCCGCCGGGTTCAGATCTTCGACGCAGCTCTAATGACAGCACCAACCCGGCCAACCCGTGGCGGCCGTGGCCGTGATCCCCGAGAGTCTCGGATGCCGAAGGTGTACAAACAAGTCAATGAGTGGTCCGCCCACATCCAAGAGACCGGCGACCGCTTCCTCCAGCCCGGCTCGGACCTCACCGTCGACGAGGCCATGGTCCGGTTCACGGGCCGGTCTATGGAGACCACAACGATCCCGACGAAGCCGATCCCGCAGGGTTTTAAGGTGTGGGTGTTGGCACAAAAGGGGTACTGCCTCCGGTGGCTCTGGCACGTCCACGGCGACGGGCCTTACGGACTTGTGCCACAAGCCCGGCCCGCAGCAGGTGACCAAGCGGCCCGGAAGACGGGACTTACGCCGACACAGCTGGTGGTCACCTCGCTGCTTGCCCTCCTTCCATTGGCTACTTACCATGTATTTCTGGATAATTTGTTCGCCTCCGTGAAGCTCTTCCGGGCCCTGCGGGACCAAAAGATTGGTGCCACAGGCACTTGCCGTAAAGACGGTGGTATTAATAAGACTCTTGTGGCTGAGAAGGAGACGGAAGATAGGGGAATCCCCTGGGGGCAGCTCCATGCAATCTCCACGGCTGACGGACAAGTAAGCGGTCAAAAATATCTCTTGCTATTGACTTCATACTTATCCATTTGTTTGGATAACTCCTAGGTCAACCAGTTCACTTGGAAGGATAATGCCCTCGTTCTCTTCCTCACCACGGTCTTCGACGAGACCTCCGAAGTGGTCCGCAACCGCCGCCGGCCTGCCGGCAACACTGCCGCGAAGAAGGCGGCCCGGGAAGTCTTTGGTCCGGACGTCCGGAAAGATCTCAGGATACCTCTAGCAGTAGATGAGTACTACCACCGAATGAACGGTGTCGATACGAGTGATCAAATGCGGTCCTATTACAACTTTAACAGGCCCGTGAGAAGGGGTAGTTGGCAGGCCTTGGCCTGGAACTTCCTCCTCGAAGTGATTATTATCAACACTTTCCTTCTCCAACAATGGGGTAATCCGGACTGGCCCCGGGTTAAGACCCAACTTGAATGGCGTAGACAGCTGTCTACCCACCTAATTCAGAGGTTCGGAACATTGGCTGCTGTTCGTCAGCGGGCACGGCCACGGAGGGCAACAGACCGTCGGAACGAGGCGGTCCCGTGGCAATTACATAAACGCGGGAGCAGAAAGGTCTCCTCGCCCTGCGTAGCTTGCAGTCAGATCTCGCAAATTAAGGATAGGACTGCCCTAGGGCCCATAAGTGGGAATAGCCACACGCAGCGTACAAAGCGGAAGTACTCAAGGAGGGGTTGTTTAGAATGTGATGTGGCCAAATGTACTAGCGAAGATTGCTGGTACCGATTCCACACGCAAAATCTATAGGTACTGGAGTTACCGACTATCAATTACGGTCATTGGGTGGAAAAAGGGGCCCGACTTGATCCAATTGGCTACTACTCCGCATATTAATGTACCGACGTCATGCCGCAGTCGATGGGATAATTACTTTGTCGATGTTCTATTTGCTTGCAATTATGGAAGAGGTTGGGCCCGGCACGGAAGAAGACTGGAGTGGAGCTGATGTCCAGCTTCCCGTGCCCATATGCCGCGATGTTCTCGGACAACCCCTTTGTTTTGCTAGTGGTTCCATCTCTTCCGCCTCTCCGGTGCAACACGCTTTACCCCGCACGATGTCACCGCGATCGCCCTCGTAGAGCATGAATGTCCCGTGGGGAGCCGCCGAATAACCCGAGAAAGATGTGCGACATCCAACCTTTAACCTGCCTGTAGCCACTCATGTGCATCGGCTTTAAATCGGCAAGTACAGGAGAGGCCCGAGCCATTTGATATAACACTTATATACCAGTTCATCTGCCTATCATCAATGGTATTGATCTCGGTCGTTTCGTAGTACAATTTCACACCATGAGCATCTTAAACTATCAGAAACAGTCAGGGTATCTACTGGTGGCCCTCCAAATAGCACCGGTAGTCCTGTTACTCTCATGGTTTCTCTACCAGCGTGTCCTCTCACCATTTGCCAAAGTCCCGGGGCCCTATCTGGCCAGTCTTTCTAGAGTATGGCTTGCGTATCACTCATACAATGGCGATCTTCACGTTGTGATGATGCGTCTACATGAGGTTCATGGCAAGATTGTACGCATTGCGCCAAACGAAGTGTAAGTATCACATGCAATAGACCGTCTGAGTTTTCACACCTAGGGCTAAAATTTGGGGTTTCCTGTGGTAGGAGTATCTCAGATCTCACATCTATAAAGACAATCTACGGTAAGAGCTCGAAATCGTCCTTGTGGAAGTAAAGGTTAAAATTGACTAAGGTGCGTTTAGGCGCGGGGTCTAAGTTCCGCAAGTCCGACTTTTACAGCGTTTGGCAAGGAAGGCGCAAGTTTGACATATTCCCTGAACGCGATGATCGGGTCCACTCGGCTCAGCGTCGTCTAATCAGTCGGCCATATGCGATGACATCGTTGAGAGAGCTCGAGCCATACGTGGACAGCGCCATCCAGGTGTTACTCGAGAAACTTGGCGGTATGCTTGGAAGAACGGTGGATTTAGGCAATTGGGTTCAACTCTACGCTTTTGGTGCGTTCTCTTCCTAAAACCTTTCTTTAAGCCTGGTTTCCTGAAGATAGTCTTTGCAGACGTGATTGGAGAAGTTACCTTCTCAAAACGATTCGGCTTCATGGATGTCGAGTCTGACGATGGCTCCTTCAAGCAAATCGAAACTGCGCTAAGATCTGCCGCTTGGATTGGACAAGTTCCATGGCTATACTGGCTTTTTGACTACTTGTCTCCCGTCATTGGAACGTGGCTCGGCATCTCATCTCGCCATGGAAGTCTGCGCAAGTTTGCTGCACGCGAAGTCGCTGCTAGGCAAGACCGAGGATCCGATCACCAAGACATTCTCACCAAGTTGCTTGCCGTTCACAAAGAGAAACCCGAGCACTTTGACTACTCCGACTTAGTTTCCATGGCAAACTCGAACATCTTCGCTGGAAGCGACACCACCGCAATCTCGATTCGGTCAATCATCTATCATCTTTTGAAGAATCCTAAAGCGAAGCGCCAAGTCATTGAAGAAATCGACGAGCATTGGAGACAAGGAAAGCTCAGTGATCCGATCACTGTTGTCGAGTCCGAGAACATGCCTTACTTGCAAGCGACAATGTACGAAGCCTTGAGAGTCCACCCTGCCGTCGGCATGACTCTACCTCGTGTAGTGCCCCAAGGTGGCTATGATATTGGCGGCTACCACATGCCCGCTGGTGTTAGTACTTCCTTCATTTGATCCTTGATGACAGTTTCAGTCTTAATTTTGAAGCTCCCGTGCCGTTGCTGACTAGAGGGCGTTTAGTCTGTCGTTGGAGTCAATCCTTGGGTCGTTCACCGTAGCAAGGAGGTATATGGCCAAGACGTCTATTCGTTCCGCCCCGAGAGATGGCTCAAAGAGGATAATGGAGACATGCGTAAGTTTTACTAATCAGTAGAGTTTCCATCTGCAAGTAATTACTAATGAAATCCTATACAGACCGTTTCTTCTTCGCATTCGGATCCGGAGCTCGGGTGTGTCTTGGCCGGAGTAAGTGAATTGGCGAGCAGCCAGGTCAACTCCTTTACTAACTTTCGGACGTTAGATATAAGTTGGATGGAGATGGCCAAGGTCTGGCCCTCCAACGCTTTTAGTCATGTTCACTGCTGACAATATGATCTAATAGCTTATCCCTACCCTTTTCTTGCACTTCGATCTAGAGCTAACTGACCCCGAGGCACTTTTGGAAGAAAAATGCTAGTAAGCAACTCACCATAAAACATCTATTTGATGGATGATTGACCACTTTCCCAGCTGGTTCGTTTCCCAGAAGGGCCTGAATGTTAGGCTTCGACGGAGACAGCTGCCATCTATGGAGAATACCGAAGTCTAAGATCAAAAAGCTGCCTGTACACAGCCTTACCTACATAAGTAGCCAGTAGCCAGGCGGAAGGCTTCAAGTTGATGTTACTCATCCAGCTCTGGCTTAGTCAGGACGTCTAAAGCTCGCATCACTCTCCAAGCTCAAGTCAATAATTCACGAGCGAATATAAGAACACAATCATCCAGCACATTTCATCTGTTGTGTGGTCTATTGCTTAATATCTCCTTAGCATCTGATATCTATTCATGTCCGTGATCATTTAAGACTTATCATGTGGCCACGCCTACTCAAATGAAACCTTCGAAGTTGCGTGCTCGGTTTCCTCAATATCAATGGGCCCGTCCCCCTTCCCATTCTCAGCAATTCGAACATTGGCCTGCTCGCCATCAAAGATGACAGCAATCTCCTCCAAAGCTTTGCCTTTAGTCTCCAAGAACCACCCATACGCGATGCAAGCCTCCACAGCCAAGATGCAAACATAGACGATATAGAAGCGCCACCCAATATTCTGAATGCCAATCGGGTTGACATACTGGTTGACGAAGACGGCGGCTTTGGTCGAGAAGACGTATGTTGCCATGCCCTTGGCGCGAATGGAGTATGGCAGGACCTCGACGGAGTATGCGACCGGCAAGGGCGAGAAGGCGATGCAGTAGAAGATTTGGTAGATGAAGATGAGGGCCATGACGGCGATGCCGGCAGAGCTGGCACTGGTCTCGGCAAAACGGGCTGAGGCGATGGTCCAGCCGATGAAGACTATGAGCATGCCGCAGGTCGAGATACGGAAGAGAGGTCGGCGGCCAATACGTTCGACGAAGAATGCAGTGGTCAAGGCGAGGCCGAAGTTCCAGATGTTGAGGAGGCCGTTGACCAGAGCTTGGGTGTTCTTGTTCGTGATGCCGACTGTATCCATGATTCTCGAAAGGTCTGATCTAGTTAGTTTCCAGACACTACGATGGGGTGGGGAAAGAGAGTGGGAAGGTACTCACAGTAGGCAATCAACCCATTGCCGGACCACTGAGAGAAGAATCCCATGCCTATGTCAAAGTTTAGTATCAGGTGACACCAAAAACTCCGGATTTAGGGCACTTACAAACGACAAGGAACATGCGGTATCTGTTGCCTTTGGTCTTGACCATCGATGCCCAAGTAGTGCTTCCAAGTCCTTCAACACAATGAGTAAATGCTTCGATGTTTCATGGGCTTCTTTGGCTTACTCTTCTCATTGTCAATGGCCGCTCTGATCTCTTCGTACTCCAACCTGACCAACTCCGTCTCCTCGCCTTCACCGTGGTATTGTTTCAAAGCCTCCATCGCTTCATCTCCACGATCATGTGAAATGAGCCAGCGTGGAGACTCGGGAACAAACCAAATGGCCGCGAGCTGAACCACACTAGGTGTCATTTGAAGAAGAGACGGGATTCTCCAGGACCAAGTGCTAGGGATGTTTCGAGTGCCAAATGTGATCCAGGCCGCCGCGATGCTACCGATGTACCAACTGCCAAGTTCACACAGTCAGCCCCTGATTTCCATCGCTCTTCAACACATTAATATGGACAAGACATACCAGGTATTGCAGATAGCTGTAATGGTGACTCGATCCTTGGGATGCGACAGCTCACTAACCAAGCTCGGCGCCGAAGTCGTCGCAAATGACAACCCGAATCCAAGGATGAATCTGCTCACGACAAACATGGCAAACGCAGTACTCTCGCATTGCAAAATCGCACCAATGATCATGATACAACTTCCCGTCGTGATACCCCATCGTCGTCCAAACTTATCAGCGACCCAGGGAGCAATAGGCGTAGAGCAGATGCTCCCCAGAGCCATGATGGCGCTCATCAAGCCGAGGACCGCGCCGCGCGGGTTGTCGAAGAAGTCGTCAAAGTAGGATACGGTCTGGAGGGAGTTCATCATCGAGCCATCGTAGCCGCTCGTGGCGTACGAGACGACAGCGGCGGGGAAGAGGAGGAAGTAGAGCTTTCGGCGGGCGGCGGACTTGTACCAGGTCGGAGACTCCTGGGCGAGTTGCGCGATGCGAGAGGGTTGGTAGCTCTCGCTCGCTGCCTCCGGTCCGCCTTGCTGGCGAGCTCGTCGGGCTTGCTGATCTTGCCTCGGGGCAGGGAGGCGTTGGCGTAGGAAGTTCATTTTGACACTGTCGTAGAATAACAGAGAAGTTGACAATGGCTCGGCTAGGAGAAAGGAGGCAAGGTTGGCTCAGCAGCGGAGATGAACTTCTGAGTTGACAACCGAAACCAGAGAGCTGGGATCTTGCGTCTCCTTATATGCGCGTAGCCAAAATGACATGCCGAGGTGGAACGATGTCAACAACTCTCCTGGAACGCTCTGAGACTCTGCCGGGTTCTGCTCGTTGGGTTGGTGTCAAGCAGTCTGGTTAAGTGACGGCGTTACGAGGTCGGCATATGGGCTTAGGCGAAGAAGAATTCCGATCGAGCGATATTATCATTGGCGCGGGAACTTAGCCCTTCACACCCACTCATGACAGTGATGGTAGAACCGTACGCCTGGGACGCGAAGGCTCTGCCTGCCGAGGAGGGCTTGAGAACTATCGAGACAAAGACAGGGGTTGGCAGGTCGGATGATGGGATGCGGAGAAGATCCGGGGGCTGGGGTAAAAGCAAACTGGGTCCCCACATCCGGGGCATCACGAGATGAAGGTGTCTGGATGTGCCTCCATGGGGAAACGAACGATTAGGAGTTGCGGATGAAGTCAAGCTCGTCTGACTCGTCCGATTGTTTCCGTAAAATGGAGGGCAGCAAAACCGTGTAAACCAAGGTAGTTGGAACAACACAAGTTGTGTAGCGGCGGCCGATGATAGTGTGGAGAACACATGAGATTCCTGGGTCCTCTTTTCTACCAAGATTGACGAATCATAAGATCTCGGGGGAACTAAATGCTTCCCCCGATCTGGTCTGGGCATCTTCGGGGCATCCAAAACCTTGCCCCTAGCGTTCTTTGAGACCTCCGGCTGATGTCGTCCGTCGTCTAGGCTATGCGGGGCTGCCAAATGAGTCCCCCGAGTCGGGAACGTGGGGGCCGGGGGAGCGTCGAAGTCTGCCCCGACAGCGCGGGGGACTTTCGGTCGCGTGTTTGGTTTCGGCGGCACGCATGTGCGAGTTTACTCGACCGACGAGTTACTCGAAGACGATTATGGGACGTCATGTGGACTAACAGACTGTGGACCTCATGCGTAGACTCCGCAATGCGAGCGATGGATCCAGCGAGGCTCTGGCTTGGTGTTGTTGGGAACATGTGAACGGTCCTATTTAGAAGCTTGAGTTACCCTTGGTGTTGTCTGGTCTCTGTCCCTTGTTCCTGCTATCCTCGCTCAGTTTCGCCCAACGTCACGATAGTTGAGGCACTCACCTGACTGCAACAATGTCAAACGGAATCCTGAGAACGTCCGGCTCCAGCATTGTCGATGCTGAGGGCAAGCCCGTCCTCCTTCGCGGCGTAAGTGACCCCGACTTTGTGTCCATCAAGCGCCCGAAGGCCAAATACTGACTGATGTTTGCAAAACAGACGGCCCTCGGTGGCTGGATGCTCATGGAGAACTTCATGAACGGCTTTCCCGGCCGTGAACACCAGATTCGAGCCGCTTTGTTGAAGGTGCTAGGCAAGGAGAAGTGTGACTTCTTCTTCGACAAGTTCCTTGAATACTTCTTCACCGAGAAGGACGCCGAGTTTCTTGCCTCAATTGGATTCAACTGCATCCGCTTGTCCTTCAACTACCACCATTTCGAAGATGACATGAATCCCTTCGTGATCAAGGAGGAGGGCTTCAAGCATCTTGATCGCGCAATTGGGATTGTACGATTCTCCCATGCTTCTCGCATTCTTTTTCCTGGCTAATGTCTCTACTCGCAGTGCGCTAAGTACAACATTTACACAATTCTTGACCTCCACTCTGCCCCTGGCGGTCAAAACCAGGACTGGCACTCCGACAACCCGACCGGCTACGCCGCGTTCTGGGACCACAAGCATTTTCAAGACAGAGTCATCAACCTGTGGCAGGTGATCGCGAAGCGATACAAGGGAGACCCGTGGATTGCAGGATACAACCCCCTCAACGAACCCGCCGATGTCGAGTGGACACGTCTGCTCGCCTTCTACGACCGCATCGTCCCCGCCATCCGCGAGATTGATCCCGAACACATTCTCTGGCTCGAGGGCAACACTTTCAGCATGGACTTCTCCGGCTTCACAAAGGTGTTTGATAACTCTGTGTACGCTGTGCACGATTACTGTGGATTTGGCTTCCCGAACCGCATTGGCAGGTATCAAGGCTTGCAAGATCAGGATGCCTATATTCGCCAGATGTACGACCGTAAGGTTGCATTCATGAAGGGGCACAATGTGCCGATCTGGAACGGTATGAAGAACTTTTGACCCTAGCAAATAAGCTACTAACTATCAGAGCTTAGGTGAATTCGGTCCGATTTACGAACGGAAGGAGTATAATCCGGATTACGAAGAGCACAACGAGGAACGGTACAAGATGCTCGACAAGCAAATGGCCATCTATACCGACGAAGGCATTGGTGAGACAACTCATGACGCGAGTTCTTTAAACATTTGCTAATTGCCCCATTCACAGCATGGAGTATCTGGGCCTACAAGGATGTCAACGTCATGGGCATGACCTACCTATCCCCCGACTCCGCCTGGCTGAAGCTCCTCGGCCCCATTATCCGCAAGAAGCGCGACCTCGCCGTCGACAGCTGGGCCTACGACGACGCACATCTCCAACCCAACCTCTTCGGCCCCCTGCACAAGTGGTTCGAAGACAATGTCCCCGCAGAATACAATAAGAAGTACCCGTGGCAGTGGCGCATGCACATGCACGTGTTCCGCGGAATCCGCGGCATCACCATGACTGAGTACATGATTCCTGAATGGGCCAACTACTTCAAGGACAAGACATTTGAGGAGCTTGATGAGCTTGCTGCCAGCTGGAAGTACGAGAACTGCGTTCAGCGCGAGAGGTTGAATGAGCTGTTGAGTCTCTATGCCCCCATGGCGCCTGGAGACAAGAGGTTGGAGGGTAAGGTGATTCCCTCAGAGGTTGAGAAGGAATCAGGAAAGCTCAAAGAGACGGTGTCTGGAGTTGGCGTTTTTGAGCTGGCGCCGGATGAAAAGAAGAAGAGTTTAGCTCAGGCTACTGCAACTCCCGTTGCTGTTGCCTCATGATCACGATGCCTTCACAAACCCTGAATTTATAGGGATGGGGGTGTCTGGATTGCATAAACTGGCGTTATTTGATATCATCAATAGAGATTAACATGGCTTCTTCACTTTCATTCAATTCATACTTGATGTCTCTCATATTGAATTCAATGGCTACTTGAAGTCAACATGAAGACTGAGGTTTTCTCTGCTTGCATATCTCCAACCCGGACTCTATTGGCGGCTTCTGAGACAAGATCCTCGCTCAGTAGAACATAGTTACTTACCGAGACACAGACTACTTAACTCAAACGGTTCATCATCCACAGATGGTTCTTCACGCGACAGAGGCCTGGCCGTAGTCCGAATAGTTCGGACAGACCTCCGGCAAGATCCCGGGCTCGGCGACGCTAGGACAGCCGGGGAGTAGCGGGGAAATTTCCCACGTAATGCCCCCCTGAAGTCACTTAAACTGTGGCCCCAACCAGTTAAACCCCGTCAAAAATTCCCCTTTCCACAGCTTCCAGTTCCATCTCCGCAAATCGCACAAATCACCTCGGAGTGTTCCGGTGGGCGGCCGATCATGAACGACTCCGTGCCGTCCTCTTCCTTCTCCGCGGCCCATTACTTCCCGGCACGGCGCCGAGTGTGGCAGGCATGCACCAACTGCAGGGCCCGTAAGACGCGATGCGACGCTGCCAAGCCGAAGTGCAGCCTCTGCGTGACCCAGAACGTGGAATGCGTCTACCGCGACTCGAACCAGCCGCGCATCGAGCAGAATACCAGGATCTTGTTAGAGCGTATCCAGATGTTGGAAGATCGTTTGCTTGCCTCGCCAGTGTTTTCTGGACAACAGCAGCAGCAGAACCAGCAAAATTCGCGGCCGTCTTTAGATACGCCGTCACCTCAGGCCACACGACATGCGACAACTCCGGGATCGGGGCCTCGCACACAGCCCGATGCAGCTCTCGATTCGACATCTTTAAGAGACCAAGCGGATGCAGTTCATACGAGGAACCCTGAGGGAGATGCTCAAATTCCAATCCCTCTATCCCATACAGCAAATGCGAATCACGTGTTTGAGTGGCCGATAGTAAAGCAGTTGCTATCAGAAACGGACATGGAACCATCACCACCACGGCCAGCGTTCTCAGGAGGACTACGCTCAGCGGAAGCAACTGACATTTTCTTCTGCGAAAGGTCAGCTGCAGACTCTGCAACTTGTCCTCCAGAGTCCTGGAGATTGTTCCAAGACCGCAGTCTCCCAGTCTCCATCGATGCCGCTGATCGATATCGAGAGGTGATTCACGAGTACTTTGCCGAAGTGAACATCTTCTTTCCTCTTCTCTCACCAGAGGATATTATCCAGACTTTCAACGAAGTAGTCGCCTCGGAGAAGACTGCAAGTGTAGTCGCACCCCTTACTGCGCCGTCTCGGTACTGCTTACTATTGCTGGTCCTTTGCATGGGATCATTTGTCTGCACTGGGGACTATCGTATCTCATTAGATAAAAGAGCAGGCCGAGACGAAGGTCTTCAACAAAGATCCGTGAGTTCTAGCATCATTGGGGACTTTCCAGGGATCGATGAACAGCTGTGGCGGAAAGCGCGGCTATTGTTGGGGTTCATATCTTCCAAAATCAGCCTCGAAGCAGCACAATGCACGATGTTGGCAAGGTCAGAAGCGCGCCCACGTTCTGGGCAATTGTCTATCTAAACTGACAGCTTGCAGTTTATACAATAATGCGAACGGTAGAGTGGCAGACTCATTCCATTGGGCACATGCAACCGCCGTGAAGTGCGAGGCGCTCACGAGAAGGTAATTTGAGAGACGCCCGATTGACTCATAGAAAGCAAGCCTTTACTGATACAAAACAGAGCTGCCATAGCCGGAGACAACAGCGAGAGATTCTCAGATGCCTTCCGCAGACTCTTCTGGGTCGCTTTGATTTACGAAGGAGACTTTGTGTCCGAGATCTCGATAACATTACCATCAGGCATAGCGAGATACGAAGACGTCGTGCCCTACCCAGCCCCAGAAACACCCAAACAGCACAAAGACTTCACCATGGCCCAGACGACCCCGGAAGCCGAAGTGACGAGTCCGGCTTCGACGTCCTTCTACAGAACCGAGGAACTAGTCGCCTTCCAGATCAGTACCAACGCGGCTATCAGGCGTTTCCTCAATCGAGTCAACAGCGTAGTCTTTGACAGCAAAGACCAGTTCCGTATGACCCGTACCGACTACGCAAACTGGCTACTGCGTATCACGGAGGATCTCTGGTCATACCACGGCGCGCTCTATCGCAACCTGCCTGATTTCTTACTCACGAGCCAGCCTAGAAGGACGCCCGGGCAGCAACTGGAGAATGCGAGCTCGCCCATGACGCCGGGCATCATCAGAGTTGAAGAATTGGGGAATAATCCGTGGAATGTGCTTAGGCTCAAGGGCCGGTATTATGCCGGACAGTACATCATTCATCGCCCTTTCATCGAGTACGTGATGTTGAACATGGCGCATTTTGAGACGCATCCGTGTCGAGAGGCGATATTAGAGCGGTGTCGATTGTGCTTGGAGGGGTGCAAAGGGTTCATCAATGTTTTCGATATTGACCCTGCTAACAGTCTTACTGGCTTGTTCGCCGGTGGTATGGTGTAAGTGTGGACCACATTGCTGCAAGCTCTTTTCTGGTAAAGACCCATTCCTAACATCCCCATAGGACCTTTACCATGGTTATCATCCTTCGCGTGGCGACGATGTGCACGGTCTTCAGAGATATTCTGCCAGAGGATATCGAAGGGGCAATGTTCGTAGGAACGCGGAATCTGCGGCGATTCAGTATTAGCGTGAAGGAGTTTGAGTGGCACTTGAGTGTATTGGAAAGGCTGGCGGCATCTTGTAAGAATAGGATGAGTGCTTAGCCGAAAATCAAACGGAAAAGGCAAAAAGACTGAGGCAGGGAGTTGCAAGATCTCAACGAGATATACACAAATCTTGCTTTACACAAGTGATAGTTAAACAACACCTCATAACGTTGTGTTAGTCTCGGCCCAGAATTTGATCGTAATTCAAGGGGCACATCGCCCAGGCCGTTAGGCACGTATGCTGACTTTACTTGCTTACTTGACCTAGATAAGTTTCGATATTGGTGATAGAATCACATGTTGCGACGTATCACGTTGTTGAAGGCTGTCTTCTGCCCTCCGAATAAGGTTTAGTCTAGCTATCTGCGTGTGTTTCCCTAAATCCTGTGTGCCATATGGAGACAAAGCCAACTCTGAAGAGCCGATTGCAGTCCCGATCGACCTCGCAAAAGCAATCTGCCAAGCTCAAGGTGCCGAGTTGTCTCTATGTGGGGCTATCGCGAGGTGAAAATTACCTAAAGATTCAACTTCTAGGAGCCTCAATATCTAGCTTTTATTACTGTACATTTTCGTTTCCTATACGTCGATCAGACAGCAAATGCTTCCATTTCCTTGGGTCAGGTGGCACATCAAAATGCTGAAAATTGGGCTAACTGACTCAATAAACGTGGGCGGAGTTTCGTCTAAAAGAGTAAGTGGTGTCAACTTGGGTGCCATCCAAACTTGTGACGTCGCAGGTCGCTGTAAGCGAAGCCAAACCTATCGAGACCGAAAGCGAATTAGTGAAGATCTCGTCTACACCGGCTACGACTTGAAAGGTGATATTCTCAGGATTAGGAAGTTGGTTAAATAGGAAAGCACATCTCAAGTGTTAAAGCCGTTTAGGAAAACAACTCATCAAGCATTTCTATTCACTCGCGCTGGATTCGCATATCTCTTGCTTAATCAATTCTAGTTCCTTTTGCTCTACTTCCCTGATTTTCACCACCAGGCGCTTCTTAAGATCCCGGACTCAACACATATCAATCATTTATTTCGTCAACGCGCTCCAAAAATGAAGTTCTTCACCAACGCCGCTATCTTGGTCTTGGGGCTGACTGCCTCTGCCTTTGCATGTAAGTTCACTCGTCCTTTGCCGCGAAATCTCTCATCGAAATCGCGTGCTAACATTGCTGCCAAAAGCTCCCCAAAAGAAGGGTGGTGGCGTCGCAGGTCAGGCCTGCACTGATGGGACCTTCAAAGGAACTTGCTCCGCAGATGGTCGCTGCGGATTGGAAATCCCACCCAATGAGTTGTCGAGCCAGATTGTCGCTGGTCAATGTGGACGATAATTGGTGTACCCCACTGTTCCAACTCCATCGAAGAGACAACTAAATAGGGCAAATGGATGTATCCAATACCAAATGCACTAATTGCCTCGAGCAGCACCTCTGAGCTTGTGACAGTAGTAGTGGTCTCTGTGTTGCTTGTGCTGTATGTGAGTTGAGTGGGGGCTATCTCTTCTTCAGACTCTCGGCTACTCTCGGCCAGTCGCGGCTCTTGACTTCTCAGTCTTCTGATGACAACGCTCAGTTGAGGCGCATGTCAGAATGCGAGAAGAGAGAAAGAACGGTTTCAGGGTCTTCGACATTCTTGGTCTGTCCCACGTTCTTGAGTGAGTCAATGTGCAGCTGATTGGTAGAACACCGAATGTGGCTGCATCGTTCATTATGAATCATACCTCGTCAGCGAGATACTAAGATTTCATTGGCAGAGTCCTAGAGTTATAGTGGAACGGGTCATTCATGGCGCGCATTCGAGGCCTGCATGGGCTTAGTCCAGCGGCTTAGACTTCCCGGCGGTTTTGAGAGCTGTTGATGCTCGCAGAGCCGTCTAGTCGAGGTAGTCCCAATACCTGAAGATTCTGTCATCGCATATCATTATATAACCCTGAACAGGATACTGAAGAAATCAGTTCGTTCTTCAATTCAATCAACAACAGAAGTTCAGTTCTTAAGTAGAACAAGAGGATTTCCTCCCGCCACCTCCTACAACTTACCTTAGACTAGAAGCCCCCTCCACACAACCGACTCCCTCTTATAAATGCCGGGTGCAACTACAGCAACAAACACAAAAACAACCATGCCGCTTTTGAATTCAATGGAGTGGCCCTCAAAACAGAAGAGCAATGTCACAACGACTTTCTCAAAAGAATCAATGGACTCCCACAACGCGGCCATGCAATCATTTACTCCCGGGCAGTGCCTTTTCTGCCCCAATCTCTCACGAGACTTCCATGCCAGTGTAGCCCACATGCAAAAGTCACACGGCCTATTCATTCCACACCGGCAACATCTAGTCGTCGACCTGGAGACTCTCTTCAAGTACCTGCACCTAGTCATATTCGATTACCGGGAATGTTTGCACTGTGGGACAGAGAGGACAACGGTACAAGCCGTACAACAGCACATGATCGGCAAGGGTCATTGCAGGTTTGATCCAGCAGAACAAGACTCCGAATTCGCCGATTTCTACGACTTCACTTTCTCTGAACAGGCAGACAAGGAAGAGAGCGCACGTGGCTTTGAGAGTGGCGAAGAAGAGTGCGATGGGCAGAACGTGCCATCAAGCCCAAGTCGACAGCCGTTACAGGTTGACGAGGACTCCCTTCGGTTGCCGTCAGGCAAGATCATATCCAAGCGGTCATCGGAACAAACGGGGCCATCTATCAATAACCTAAGACGTCGAATCCGGTCCCCACCTTCACAGCTAGAATATGCCCGGGTAGAGTCCGAAGAAGAGGAGTCCAGTGAGGACCCGCAACACTCAGATCAGACACAAGCCCTGTCGAAAAGAGAAAAGCGAGAGAGAGCAATGATTACACATCAGCTGGCAAATATGAGGACGAACGATCGAAATGCCATGATGCACTTGTCCGCGTCACAGCAGCGTTCGCTACTAGCGGTGCAGCACAGGAACGAGGAAAAGGTGCAGAAGGAGGAACGCCGCCGCCAGGGCAAGATTGACCGGAAGGGGAATAAGAACTTGTATGCGTACTGGAACACTGAGACGCCTGTTAACCAGTGTGGATAGATCATAGACAATGGGCTGTATCCTGAATGCTTATTGTCGTTGTCTTGTATGTCGATCTCTTTGAAAAGTAGCCATGAGCTGCTAGTGTATTTGCAGCATTAGGAATGGGTTGGCAACCGTTCTTATCATAGCGGAAATGGAGAGAGGACCTGTCAAGCGTCAGACAGATTGGCCCATTACCCCCTTGCGCAGGGATTCCATTAGGACCGGAGACAAGAAGAAGGTTGCTCATCTGACACCTATGGAGTACATACTTGCCATTGTGTGATGAAATAAGTCTGTGAGCTGAATTTCGCTTTACAGGTCTTCCACGCATCCACTACAGGTATCTAATATGGAGGGTTCTGTGGCCCTCTCAGCGAGAACAGGGCGGCCCGATTTAGTTCTCTGGGAAGAAACGTACTTATGCTGCGTACCTCTCGCGGACTGCGGACTATCTCACTTAAATCAGACAACTTGGCTGCGATAATCGGAGAAGACTCTGTAAACTTGTGACGTAATTCTGTCTGCCAATGAAGCTGACTCGGCGTATATTGATTCCTGTTAACACAACGAGGTGAACGGCGCAGTATAAAGAATCCAGTAATCTTCCTGCGCGGAGTACACGTATATAGTGTAGTGAAGGTTACAGGGGCTCTCCCCTGTCCAAAAGACGTGCGCTATGTACCAATCTTAAGATTACCGGCTACTTCTGAAGAGCGAGACCGAACTACTCGCATACCTTCGGCTTCACGTATCGTGGATTTTCCTACAAAGAATTGTTTGTTAGAATGAGAGTCAGTACGTATTGTGGTTCATCAAGTACCAAGGGGTATACCGAAAGCCTCCTCTCAGACTGGGCCTAAGGTAAGTCTTTGCTATGAACCCTATGCATCGTGATGCTACACGCAGTGTGGTTATCGCTCGACTCCGAGGTAAGGGGGCACGAACGAGGTCCGAACAACATGGCAGGTGCCGGTGTCAGCAGTTGATTGCCCCCCTTGGAGTCTAAAAACCAAACTGGTCGGCAGTGGAAACAAAGTTACTTACCAAATCTGAGTTGTACGCATTGCCACACACCATTAAACAAACTTGATAAGGCGGCACAATGTCCGACAGGCCGCTCTACTTTGTCCATTGATGCAAACCAGGGAGCTGGATGGCTCCGTGCAGCTGTTGGCCCTCAGTGCTGACAACCTGACAAGGCCTAAGACTAAATCGGCATGCCTATCACCCTGTCAAGCACGTTTCGAATCGAAATTAAAGTCATGGTCGTGCGGCGCCTGTACCGTCCCCATCCCAGTCGCGCTACCTCATCCAGATAGCACATCAATTCGCTGAAGGCAGCCGTAGTGCGCCGCCCAGCCGGTCACTGTGTTTCAGCTGCCCGAGCCCGCAGAATAGGTGCATCCTCACCCCTGAAAGATAGAGCTTCCAGGGATCGACAGCCCCCGGGATGTGCGGTGGGTCTGCAGGGGCGGCGGAGGCGGCAGCGATGGGACGAACAAACGTTGAGATCGGGCGGCTCGGGGGAGTAGAGGTGGTTGATACTAAAGAAACGCCGATGACCTCCTTTGGTAGAAGACTTCTTTCTTTCGTGCTTTGACTCTGCCAGTGTGAGCTTGTCCTTCCTTCGTTCAGTCCCAAATTCGTGTCTCTCTCTTTGACGGGTTTGGTGATTTTCATTCGTTTCCATCTACTTCTCTTCTTCTTCGCCAAAAGCCACTTCAAGATGCTTCCTACTACTTCTCTCCTGCTTGCCGGTGCTGGCATCGCCAACGCATACACCATTGCTGTGGCCGAGCCCTTCATGCGCAAGAACATCGATCCCGTCGTCATTCCGGGCCAGTACAAGAGCCACATGCACACCTTCTTTGGCTCAGGCGCTGTCACTCTCAACACGAACACTTCTGCCGAGCTCCAGGCAGGTTGCTCAACTGCTGAGAACCCCAATGACTACTCTTCTATTACAAAGCAAGGTAGCAAGTGGAAGACATGTATAGTAGAAAGTAGCTTGATTCCTCCAAGTAGAAGATCCGTATAAGGTTCATATCTATATACCATATAAGATAGGTAATCGGCTTATATAAAGCGGTCTTATATAGTAGTAACTAGTAGCGCTATATATAGCGCTATAATATACCCCCTTAGTTACGCCCATATAGAACGATATTAATAAATTCTAAAGCGAATTTTAAGAAATATAGTAAATATAAAATAAAATAAATTAGTTATTTAGTAGTAGTGTTACGAGCTGGACAAGGCAACCAACTGTGGCACAAAGCAAAAGCTTCGATAATGATGACTCCGGCATCATTGTCCCTTGTTCTGCATTATATAGCTACGCGCCCACAGTGACAAGTTGCGGCGGGCGTAACACTTAATTCCTCTAAGTAAAAGATCCGTATGAGGGTCATATCTATATACCGTACAAGACGGGTAATCGGCTTATGGAAAGCGGTATCGTACGGCAGTAACCGGCAGCGCCACATGTGGCGCTGCGACATCTTCTTACTGTAAGCTCAAGCCGAACTCTTTGATGTGCTGGAAGTGATAGCCAGTTCTTCTACCATAAGACGTTCTCTCGCTGACATGAGCTCGAAAGGGATCCCAACTCTGTATGTCAAGAACGACACCGGCATGACACCCGTCCCCTTCTCCCGGTTCAGCGCCTACTACGTCGCCATCGAAAGCGCCGAGGTCGCCATCCCCCAAAACTACAAAACCGTCGCCGGAAACTCCAAGGGCACAACACAAGCCGACGTCGAGGACCTCGCCGGCATTCAATGGTTCTGCGAAGGCGACCCCACCGAAGAGGGCAAAGACGTCGCGGCCTGGCCGACGAAAACGTGCTCCACGCACTTGCAGACCCTCCTCCTCTTCCACGACTGCGTCAACGAGCAGACGCTCGAGTCGGCCTACTCGGGCACCCAGAATTAGAAGGACGGCTTCAAGCCCGCGAACCGATGCCCCGAGGGCATGAAGCGCCAGCCGCAGCTTCGGTTCTCGATCCGCTACGATCTCCGCAAGGTGCTTCCTGATGGATGGAATGGCACGCCGCCCTTCGAGCTTGCGTGCGGTAACTCATTTTGCTCGCACGGTGACTTTATCAATGGGTGGTTGCCCGCGGCTGCTACCAATATGCTCAAGGCGAACAACAAGCGCGAGTTTGCTGGCGTCGATGGGCCTGATGGGAAGTATAATGCTGGCTCCAAGTGTGGCGCCGAGAACGCGGTAAGTTTTTTTGTTCTGCTGAGACGAAAATGGGGGAATAGGGGCTAATATCATTAAAGAAGGACGCCGATCCCAACAACGGCACCTCCGACTACGATGAGCTACGCTTCGCTATACGCCTGCAGAAGGTTGACCAACAGCATCCCTTGGTCCTAAGGCTGCTGCAGCCAGGGCGGCAACAGACCAGGCTCCAAAGAACAGCTGGCCTGTTACCTAAGTGTCCAAGGCCAGCACTCCTACAGCCGCAATACCTCCCAGGGTCTTATGACCTTATAGTTACACAGACGAAGGATGTAGCAGCTAGGATCTTCCAGGCCTGGCTCAAGACTGTGCCAGGTCAGCATACAGTCGTATACTCAGACGGCTCCAAAGCTCCTGACGGAGGAGCTACAGGGTACGGCTTTGTTATCTACCGCAACAATAAACGTATAGCCCAGGGCTGCGGCCGTCTCGGCATAGCAGAAGTGTTTGATGGTGAGGCGGAGGGGGCGAGGGCTGGGCTCCGACGGGCCCTTCAGACCTTCCAAGGCCAGCCTATACACATCTGCATCGACAATACCAGCGTTATCCAGGGGATTCGCGGTAAGGTCCCAGACTCCTCACAAGCGGCCTTCCTTGAGATCCAGGAGGTAGGCAGGATACACGATATACGAACCCATTGGTCTCCTGGGCACCAAGGTATTAAAGGAAACGAAGAAGCAGACAGCCTAGCTAAGGAGGGCACAACCCTACTAGTCCCAAGGGGACAGCTAGCAACTCTTTCAGAGATCAAACGGCTTGCTAAGGAGCGTATACGTCGCCAATACAGAAAATGGTGGAAACGGGAGGCAACATCCTGCTATACCCAGCTAGGACTCAAGGCCACCCTCGCTTGCGCTCCCGAACTAGCCCTGCCGCGGGCTATCCTTCATCATCTCCTAGTAGCCCGATCAGGCCATGGAGACTTCGAACAATACCACCAACGCTTTAACCATACAGAAGCACTACTTACCTGCTCCTGCGGGGAGGCAAAGGCGGTAGACCATCTAGTCTACTGCCAAAAGACCCTAGTGAGGAGGCATCAGTGGCCTACCCTCCACCCTTCTAGCCCACTCGATCCTATAGGACCTGTAGGATCTCTTGAGCAGTACTATAAGGGGTTAATCACTGATCCTATTGGCTTCCAGGCCTTTCTCCGCGTGACAGACTTCTTTCAGAAGATCTGCCCGCGGTACTAAGGACTAGGTCTTGACCTAGGCCCGACTTACGAATTTCTCCTCCTAGAGGGACAGACGGAAACAACGGAACTAGGGAACCAGCGGGAACTAGGGACGGATAGAACAGACAGTAGCCCACGGGCAAGATTTGGAGGACGTTAGGAAAAGGCGTGTACTATAGAGTATATAGCTCGAGCCTACGGCCCTCCACGCCATATACCCTTCGGGAGGTCTGCCGCAAGGGCGGCTGCGCCTTTGCCGCTACGGCGTTAAATAGAACAAAAAAAAAATAAAAAAAAATACTACGATGAGAGCGTCGAGATGATGAGCGCCAAGCGCAGCATCGGCCGGCGCTCCCACTCTCGTCGCGCCTGAGAATGATGCCTGGGCCTCATTAGGTAGACTACGACGAGTCACGAAATCTGGGCCCCTTGGTGGCATTAGTGTCCATCGTTTTGAAGGGGACCATGGCATGTACAATATTGAGCTTCATGTACATACACTAAGTTATACATGTTGAGTGCAGATGAATGATGAAGAGGGGCCTTGTTTGCACCGACATGCTTTGAAGTACTATTTGATGATGACCAAAAAGACACGTCAAATCATTTCTATGACAGTAACTTGTGTTGATATTATCGACATTTTCTCGGAGCATTCAGGCTGTGCAACGTCGGATTTGCGGTGGAACAATCGGGAAAGGTACCCGTGGTATCAGCCTCATCATTCCATTTATTGAAGCTTGTTTTAAAGTACAACGTACAGAATGAGATCTGTAACTTGAATGCTGCAAGGAGTTAGCCCGCAGAAGTCGCATTCCAAACCATTAGCTACCAAGGGTTGAGTTTCTCCCTGCAGCACCGTTTCGCGTGACGAACAGTAATCACTGGGACTGGTGAAGACTCTTGATCTTGCCCACGGGTGTAAACAGCATATTTCTACAGCTCTCTGAGCACACTCAAGCGATTGTCTACACAAACCCAAAACTCGACGAGTTTTACACCGGACCAGTGTGGGAGCCGCTTTGTGGCGGGCTGAAATCAGAAATTTTGTTTCAATGGACATATCAGATTCAGCCGCGATGGCGGGGTGTCGACCACCTCAGTCTGTTATCGTGGCGTTTGTGAGGCTATCTATTCTCGATCTAGCTGCATACCTACATCGCGCCTCACGTTTCACAGCGTTCCAACCCAGTCTTTTCCCAATCATAATCAGTCCATGGTCTAGATGCTGAGGTTTCATGTCTCGTTGGAATAAGATTTGATGTCTTGTTTTAATATTATGGAGCATCTTCTCTTTGTTCTAATTGCTTCAAACACGAGCGACCCTGTATCGGACTCTGCACCTCGTCATTAGACCTTGATGTATATGTATTTGGGAATCAAGTCGTCTGCTTGCTGTTGTGCTGACGATCTTTCACTGTTCCATAACCTACTTCACACATCATCCACATCATCACCATCATCATTGGCATCATGACACCTCGTTCTATACTAAGTTTGTCCTTCTTACCACAGAGAATTTTAGCGTCTGTGTCGTCCTTCGACCATGAGGGTGATTTACCAGCGACTTGGTGCTTCACTTACCTATCGACTTATCTGGAGCCTACGACGATCACGGCTGGTCCGACAGGACTCGAGACAACACCAAACTCAACTTCTTCCGCTGATGCACCCTTGTCAACGGAAACAAACATCAATCTTTCCACAAATCCCACGTTTGGAGTTTCCGGAACGCCCACCTTCTCTCTCGACACTTCACTCTCGGCCACTGGCCTGTCAGCATCACGATCTGCACAACAGACTGCTACAACGGCAACGACCCCGTTGACAATACCTACTTCGTCCTTAGATCCTTCCTCATTCTCGGCCGCTGGATCTGATACTTCATCCATTCCACTTACCACATCTTCGCCTGCTAGTCTGACCTCGAACAGACAGGTCCCGATCACTGCCACTAGCTCTGGTCCCTTTACGTTAACATCCGCGCAAGTTGATCAACCTGTGATCCTCTTCGTTGCCTCAGGTCCGCCTTAAACGTTAAAAGAAATCTAGAGAAAAGGATGCCGGGTGGATTTGTGAACCAAAACATCAGTGCAGATCGGCAGAAATGCGACACCGCAACAGCTTTTTCCTTGGTCGCTGGCGAATTACTAGACAGCGGCGTTCCAGTTCATTACTCCCCAGGTGAAATCTATAAACCTCTCAATGCTATGGGGACGCCACAGAACAACGCCATCACAACCACATTCGACGTCTTTGAGGGGGTCCTTCGATTTTATCATCCATCCCTCCCTAGTACCCAGGCAGGCTTCTGTCAGGATGCCACTGGACAGGTCCACGTTACCTTCACGTCCCGTCCGCCTGATTATGATCCAGTATCTCTCTTGGCATACGGAGGTAAAGTTCATAGCTTCTCTACTTTGCGGGTCCGGAGGCTAACATTCATGGGATAGTCGACCTGTGTCAAAGCGGCCAAATACAGCTTCCTGGCTTGTCCAGTCAGGGTATCGCGATATCGACTGTACCAAGTGCAAATTCGATGGGAGTCTCCAGCACCACGAGTCGTTCCACCGCAATTATGCCGAGCGGGTCACTTCGAGACTCTTCTACATCATCGGACACGATTCTCCAAGCTATTTCGCCATCGACACTATCATCATTGTCACCGACCCTGTCCCCTTCGTTGTCCTTGTTGCCTTCGCCGTCCTCATCGCCCTCGTTGTCGCCCTCGCCGTCTTCAAAAACGACCTTGCTCACCCAGACTTCTGCAATGGCAGAATCAAGATCTTCCACCTCGATGCGCTTCTCCAATTCTACAAGATCGAGACATCATCATTTTCGGCGAGCATGTCTGACACTTCTTCAAGCACCTCGCTCACAACCAGTCTGTCCTCCACTTCATCCATTACAACTCCAAGCTTGCCGACTACCACCAGTTCGAGTTTCTTGTCCAGCAGCTCCAGTTCCTCGTCCAGCGCCTCAACCTCCTCATCCAGCACCACAAGCACGAGTGCTGCGCCCTCCTGTCTTCCTGGTAGCGAGTTCGCCGCATACGTCTTTGATCGACTTTCTGCGCCCTGCCAAGAACTCTTGCGGGTGTTAGGCGATGGATCCAAGAACCCACGAAACTTGAATTTGACTTTGCTTACCCAAGGTCAAACGCCTCTTGGCAGTGGAATCACTCCGTTTATCTCATATACCAACAGCCCAATTCAGGCAAATAATCCCGCAAACATTTACAGAGTGCGCGGTCCGTCAGGCACAACCTGGAGCAATTCGTGTGAGGTGATCCAACAACGAGGCTACCTAAATTTCAACCAGGCAACGATCTTTACCATCACTATTGATGTACCTGATGATTATATGTTTGTTTGGCTTGACGCTTCAGCATCATCAGGAGTGCCATATGTGGCCGGTAGCAGTCAGCTTGTCTCAGACACCTTCATGCGACAGAGCAGAACCAGCTATAAACTCGTTGTAACCGAAACTCAAAGATACGTCCCTTTCCGCGTATGGTTTGCCAACTCTGGCGGCCCCTGTCACTTCAATATGCTGCTGCCGGCGGTTGTCCGCTTGCCGCTTGTAGTAGTGTTAGTCACTTGGTTGCCTGTTTATTTAGTTCTTTCTTGTATTCTTTTGAGCCATAAACTGCGTTTACTTGTCTCCGCGATGCCTTGCAAGCAAATCCATGAATCTTTTGCACTAGTGGCCCTCTGTTGTGCGGTCCGAAAGACTCTGGACTTCTGCTCCTTGTCTCCGAAGGCCGCCTAGTAACAAAATTGGCTGCGGCCTTTACCGTTAAAGTGTTAAGGCACTCTGACGCCCTCTCTAAAGTAATGGCCGCGAGTAAGAAGATGAAGGACAGGCAATCAAACGATTACTGATAGGGGCGTGCATAAGCAATATTGCACGGCATCCTGTTTGTGTACCGTCCAATCTATTCCCGACAAGACGATAAAACCAGCAGCCAATAACTTGTGTGCCCTAGATCCGTGGACATTCTCTATCCGAACAGATGAGCGTCTTTACAAAGTCGAATGAGAACCGCCAACAAATATTCTTACCTTAGGGTTTCCTAAGCTTTTGAATCCTTGCTGCTGTGGGGCGTTGTAGGCGGAGATTCATCATACTTCTCGGCACCCTCAGGAACCTTCACTACCGATCTGCTCGTCCAGATATGCTTTCCACTATCCATCTTGAGTCCCAAGATCAATCCTCCTTTGATGCTGACCGTCGATTTGGGTACTCCCTTCTCATCGTGGGTGCGATGAAAGACTCGGGTCCCGCACAGCCGGCAGAAGTAGCAATCCATGTACCCGCCGCTCTTTGTGGGACGAGCTCAGACTTGGAGCTTTGATTCGAGATCCCCCAAGAGAGGAAAGAGGCCATTGGCGGGGAAGATTGCCGATGTACCGAATGCTGAAGCGGATTGCTTGCGGCATTGCGAGCAGTGGCAGCAGTAGAGATCGAGGGGCTCTGGTGCTGGGGTCTTGAACGTAACCGTGCCGCATTGACACTCAACGTCCATGTTGAGGGTAAAGTCTGATGCTCGGTTCCGGCCGGTCGAATTTACATATGTAGAGCTGTGGCGATGCTGTTGCCATAGGTCGGATATCGGCTGTGAAAAGTATCGTTTGTCGATGGCGAATGTGAACACAAATGAGAAGAAACACAAGCTTCCGCAGGCGCCGTGATGTTAATGTTCAGGCTTGACACGAAGGGCGCCGTTGATCAGCTGAGATCGCCTCAAATTAGATAATTCGCCATCGTTGATTGGCTGGTTTCTTGCGGGCGCGTGAGCTCAGCATTTGGATCGCAACCTTTTGACGACTAAAATTACCTTCAGTGAACAAGCGACCGCGAGTATGCACTTCACTCCCCAGTCATTTCGTGAAGTGAGATGAGGGAGAACGAGATGAGTTAGCAACGAGTCTAAGTTGAGTCAGCACTCAGACAGGGCCTCAAGCCCCTAAGCGCTCCCTTCCCCCGGCCAGGTGCAGTCTAAACTAGTGCGAACTTCAGCGCGTCACTGGTGTTCAAGCTTTCACATTTAGCCGGTACGAATAGTCGCATTGCAACATCACCATCACCAACTTCATATGGCTAAGAATCACTTCTTCCCCAGAGATGCACCTCTTCCCTAGGTTCCGGAAGATCTCATCCTTGGTACACTTGTTGCCGCTATGCCGATTCAGCCGCGCAAAGAACGCACGTGGACGTCTTCCCCGGCACCCAAAGAGCTGAAAAGTCTGGTTCCCTTCAATATGCGGAGAAACCATCGTCGTCTGAATAGCAGCCGCCCTGATATACCCCCAGTCAACCCGCCGGGATGGCCATCAGATCCCCGCCAAAAATTCTCCCTTTTGACCGTCACCCTCCGTTCCAGATTAAGCACCCCGCGACCAGGAGAAGAGCCTAAATGAGACTGCTCAATCAATGCTGTCTCCCGTTCCCCTTCCGCATACTCATCTAGATTGCTCTTGACCTGATGCAGTCGAATCGAGCCCCTAGAGGCCCCTCACTGCCGGCCTCGCGCCGTGGTACTCTTGAATCTTGCCCCTGTGAGAAGCAAGGTTCGCCTCGAGCCACGAAGCGAAGTCCCGAAGAGGTCGCATCCGGCCATTCACCCCATGTTCAATAACCCCACAAAGGAGGTTTTCCTGTATTTTTCGTTCTCCAGTCGTGACGAGATTGAAGTGATTCGTGTGGGCTCATCATCGTCTTTCCAGCTCGCCATAATGGGCATATATAGCCGGTTTCCCAGCCAGGTCATTCCTGTTTCCGAAAGCTTGATGTCCACATCCATCACCAGTTCCTTCGATACTCTTCTCTCTTCGACGAACGTCCCGATTCGCCCAGCATGCTTCTCGACACCATTGTCACCGGTCTCCTGATGGCCGCCAGCGCGGCTGCCATCCCCATCGAGAACCCCATGGAACTCATCAAGCGCGCCCCTAGCGCAGGCGTCGTGATCCAAAAGTGCGCCAAGTCCGGCGTCTTCGCTCTCGCCTATGACGACGGCCCGTACCAATACACCTCGCAGCTCGTCGACATCCTCAACAACGGCGGCGCAAAGGCCACCTTTTTTATGACGGGCACCCTCTACGGCTGCATCTACAACCAGCGCACCGCCGTCAAGAAGGCCTTTGACTCTGGTCACCAAATCGCTTCGCACACCTGGACGCACCCTTCCACCTTTGGCAGCCTGACCGCGGCGCAGCTCACGACCGAAATGCAAAAGCTCGAGCAGGCAACGGTCAACATCATCGGCAAGAAGCCCGCCTACATGCGCCCGCCATACCTCGCCACCGGCGGATCCGTGCTCTCGACAATGCAGACGCTGGGTTACAAGGTCATCACAGACGACGTTGACTCGGGCGACTGGAACGGGCAGACGCCTGCGCAGAGCGAGGCCAAGTTCACCGCTGCCGGCGCGAGCGGCAACGGACATATTCCTCTCATGCACGAGACCTACGCCACCACGGTGCAGACTTTGACGCCGTGGTTGATCAACTGGGCAAAGTCGAACAACCTGAAGTTGGTTACTGTTGGTAAGTGAATTGTTCTGGTAGACTATTGGGATTGACAACTAACGTGTTGATTAGCTGAATGTCTTGATGATGCCAGCGGAGCCTATCAATCCGGCTCTTTCACCGGCAACGGAGCGACTACTTGCTAGAGGGGCAAAAAAGGAGAGAACATTGACATCCCTAATGGGATGGCAACAGCCGTGTGGAAATTTCATGGACATATTATTCCGTACATACCTATGATGCCTAGCGCACGATGAAAATACGAAAAGGATTGATTCCTTGCTACAGACTATGGTTTTATATCTTCACACCATATGGTACTCCGCACATGAGCTTTAAGCACATACAAGGGTATAGGTACTGAACGTCGGCACACTTCGGATCGCGTCCAACTTGACTTCAGTGAGACTTCTCGCGAGCAAGCCCCACATGGTGACGAGGCGGAGGGGGCAAAGCATCTTTACTCCGGATCCCTAGCAAGTGGGTGACATGATATTGCGTCGATCGCGATATCATTACTCCCGATGTCTTATCTCTACAATCCTCGTTGCTAAGATTATTTTGCCTAGATGCTCTGCATCTATCTATTCTTCACTGAATATAACACGACGAGGAAAAGTGGTAGTACTGATGAGACTAGAGATAGGTTTAGTATTAAGGTAATTACTAGAGGCAGTACGGGCAGTATAGCTAGGAGTCAGGCTTTTTTAAACGGTAGGCTGTTCTTTCACTGACTACTAGTAGTTATAATAAATAATTTTTGGGCTTTAATTGCCCCTACGTGAACTCCCTTCTGATACTCCTATATCAAGACCATCATTGACCGCAAAATCGCACTCTATACGTCTTTGAAGAGGTCGATGTGCACAAGCTTCGAGAAATCAGGCTGGTTCTCGTCGATTATCACCCCAGGCTGCCTGGCCCTGCGAGCTGGGTTCTCCCTTCCACGCATCCGGGTTGCGGCGAGGCCGGCGTCGGTATCTAGAAATCTCACCTTCATAGCGGAGAGACTTCAAGAGTGCATTTCGGCACCAGTATATGGTAAGACTGGTATTTGCCTTTCCGAGCCGCTCAAACTCTGCTGTGTCCCGGCGATCGATCGCCTGACCCTTTGCTTGGTTGACCGAAAGGTTCTCTAGTGGGTTGTATTGGATGCTGGTTTGAAAGGTAGATCCTTTGACATCGAAGAAAGGGAACATTAGGTCATTGGCCTCCTAGTTGATGTCGACTTCATGGAAGATGGGCGCTCCTCTGTGGTGCCAGACAGGGATAGCGCGGACCGACTGTCCCAGATTTATCTTTTGTTTATTGGCCAAAGACACGCTCGTATCCTCTGTTAGGATACCAACCTGTCTCGTGGAGTCGCCGGCTTGTCTTTTCGCCTCTGGCGCCGGGAGGCGAATGGCCGTGTTGGTATCCCAGCCCGAAAAGACGAGCTCCCGCAGTCGCTTAATGCACTTATTGGGCTCCTCTTCTTCGTCGAATTCGGGCATTCTGTTTCGTTCGATGTACAACTCCGTCCACAATTCTGGGATGGCCTTCTGCGCAGGAGTCAGGTCTTCGTATGGACTATTGGACCTACTATACATGTAGGAGTTGGACGGAGTAGTTGGAGAAGGCATTCTATTACCTACCTAACATCTCTTGATGCAGATTACGTAGAGAATATGCCCAGGGCATGTTTTACTAGGGGAAAAAACAGTAATGTTGCTTATAGTGATGGAGAGTAGGTCTTGGTCTTATCATCGACTGCAAAAACGGAGTCGATTAACGTCGAAAGACTATCAAAGTAACGCAAAGAAAAGAAAGGAGTTGATTGTGGATTACACATGTAATCAACGCCACTCAACTCCCCTCATTGATAAGACAAGGTTTCCCTCTCACACCAGTTCCAAAACTTCTTTCCCAGGAACTTCTTCCCGCTTGATCCCGGCTTCATTCTCTCCGCAATGTCTTCCAGGATACACCCGAATCTTCCCCACGGGATAATGTACGAACCAGACTTCTCTACAGAGACATCTGGTGAACAAGCTGCAAAGAGCTCGCTGTAAGCGCCTGTGGAGGCAATACTACTGTATTGGATCTGATGATGATGATGATGATGGGAAAAGCTGAGGGCTGGCTGGGCTGGATATCTGGGCAAGGTGTAGGTGGGGCAGCTCCGAGATGTGAAGGAGCTGCCTCACGTGACCCACCTGCACCTGCCACAGCGCCGTATTTAGGCCCTTTGAAAACGACACCCTTGGACCCGATTAGCTTTGTGACGAAAACCACAATGTCAGATATTTTTGGACATACCATTACGACACTCATTGCTGCTGGAGCATGTCTCTGCAACTCTGTCTTGACTATTCCTGGATTCACGCTCTGTTCAAGTCAGCCATCGCTGGCCGTGATCGAGTGAGAGGAGTTGAGAACCAAGCTTACCGCAGAGATGATGCCATCTTTTTTCACTCGCCTTGCAAACTCATCCGCAAGAAAAACGCAGCCGACTTTGCCCTGCATGTAATCGCTCATAGAATCACCAGACAGCTTCGGCGCACCCTTGGCGTCATCCCAGATTACACCACCTTTGGGTGCTCCAAGCGATATCATACTCGCGACCCAGATTACTCTCACGCGTCCTCTTGGCATCCCTTCAAGCCGAGCGGTAGCCTGTAATCTCTCCTCCAGGCACTGTGTTAGGAGAAACGGGCCAAGCGCGTTTGTGCCGATCTGTAACTCGTGGCCCTGGGCAGTTTTGCTGCCTTGAGGCGGCATCATGACGCCGGCGTTGTGTACCAGTACATCTAGTCTTGTCTCTTTGGCAAGGAAAGTTTCGACTGCTGGCTTGATTGTTTTCAGATCTGCGAGGTCGAGGATGAGTGGCTCGAGTCGGCCATTGCTTGATGGGTATATGGTCTTGATGGTCTTGGTTGCCGTGGCTATCTTCTCGCTTGAACGTGTTGCGATATATATAGTCGCGTTGGCTGCGTAAAGGATCTTGCAGAGTTCTAATCCGATGCCGGATGCCCCGCCTGTGATGATAAAGACCTTCGTCTTGTTAACTTTCGATGTTGAAGATATTTGGGAAAGCAGGGCATACTCTGCCTGCTTGGTTCGACAGGTTCTGTTCTGTGAAAGTCGGTTTTGGTGGGAAAAGCTGGTTCATGTTGCGGTTCAACATTATGGATTGCGGACGACGCGATAGAATGGGGATCAAACCTGGTTGCTCTGATATGATGCGGGAGGTTGAATCAGGTTGTTGGTTGAGTTTTCCGATGCTGTGATGTTGAACCGTATTGCCCCTAACTCACGAAAAGCAGAAGATTGAATCTATATAATGACCCGGTCTCTCCCATCGCTGCGCCGGGCGACTTATGTTTCTACTAAGTCTGCCCTCTCGCAAGTCTGGAATAGCGTCTTGAAAAACACAGCCCCAACTTTCAGGCATGACCGCGCAAGGATTTGCGTTGCCTGAAGCCACAAAGCAGGCTCCGGCTGAGCGATCGGGCCAAAGTCTTGGCTGATGCCAGCAGCGGGTCGGGAATGGGCAACTTATTTGGGCCGGTGCAGACCAAAGCCGACCCGGATCGGGATAATGACACAAAAGTTGCCTTGTAAATCCGAGACCATCGGGTCCGGCCCGGCGCCCCACATTGCAGAGCCCCGAAGGATTCGGAAGCATTCAATTTTGACTGTGCTCTGGTACTCACGACTACCAGCGGCGTGGAACATCTGAAATGTGGACCTTCGAGTTGCTTGTCTGTAACAAAGAGGACAGAATCAATCAACGGCTAGCTTTAATTCTCGGGGGCCTCTTTGTGGTAGACATTTACCTACGGGTCAAGCGGAAAGCCGTGAGGCCTCAAAATAATTGGTGCTACCCCGACAAAGTTGAATTTTCTGGATCGCAAAATCGCTTAATGAAGATAGAAGACGATTATTATGGTGTGAATTCTAAAAGCAAGAGAAACATTGCGATCGGCCCTTTCTCAAAAGTAGTCCCCAAACCCTCCAGATTCCCCACTGCAGACTAATTCACAAACGGAATGCTGCCAAGGTAGGAGAAGAGAAACCAACTCCTCTTTGATGGGAAATAGGAAAAAGCAAACGAATCTTCCGGGGCAACATGAGAAAGCGCCCAAGCGAGATTCCACGCTTTTCCTAAAGATCGGCACAGAGCTTCACGCTTGTCAACAGCTCATTCGCGTTGTCGGGCGTCTTGTCGATCACGTAGGGAAGTTGGGCTGCGACGTCCGTGGAGTTTGAGGGCCATCGTACAATAGTACGAGCCTCGGGAAGGCTCGCTTCGTCACGGCCTCCCAAGTTGTTCTTGAGGGAGTACAACAGCTCGTACCTATTCCAGTAGACTATGAGGTGGGTATTGACTAACTAGACAAATTCGGCGGAGTTCGTCACGGTCCCAACCTTTTGCGCATTCTTCCATGGCAAAGCTAGGATAGTAGCCATGCGTCCACTCAAACTTGATGTCGGAGGTGAAGTTTGCACCTCTAGCGTCGCACAAGCTGAAACCCAGGTCTTCGGTTGCCCAGTTGATGTCGGCCTTGATAAAGACGTCGGCGCCGCGGGAACGCGGTCCATGGGGACGTGAAGCAGGCGCGGGGACACTCGAGTCATCGGCCTTTCGCTTCTTGGAAGGCTCGACATCCTCTCTCAGGATCCCAATTTTGAATATGCTATCCGTTGTCTTTCTGGCGACGAGACGTGCAGGTTGCGGTGGAGAGCTGTCTGTGTCCCAGGTGGAAAATACCAGCCCCCACAGCTTGGCTCTCGCAGTCTCTCTCGCTTCCGCCGTATCGAGCTTGCCCAAATGGTTACACTCGTAGAATCTTGCCATCCACCGGTCAGGTATTTCCTTTTCGGACGCTGTCAGGTCGTTGTATTTTCTCAGCGGCCAGCCGGCGGCTCGTCGCTTGTCGCAAGCGGCAATATATGACCGCCCTTCCTCGAGGATTTCCCGCAGATTCAGACGAGAGTTAGAACTCGAGGGTCTGGCGCGTGCCATGGTGGTTTGGTTGTGCGTGTGGCTCCACGGAAGGCGTCGTGGTAGGCGGAAAGGTGAGATGGTGAGTGTGTAAAGTTGTGAAGAAGGCGGAGAGTCCGAAGGTTAAATATCGATTGGTTCGCGTCGTGCTGCTGCTGATGAGATGTCCTGGTATGATGAAAAAGCCGTCAAAGTTGTGACGGCGATGGTTGGGGGAGTGAAAGTTGGAGTGATTTATTGTGAGTTGAAGTGAGAAGAAAAGTATTTGCGGGTGGTTTGTGAATGAAATAAGAATAGGTGAGAGAGCAGGCGAGAGGGAAGGTGAGAGGGAAGTCGTAGAGGGAAAGAAGCGAAAGGGCGACTAAAATTCTTTGTCGCCAGGTGAGCAGATGAAGTTGAGGCCATGTGGTCTCACGGTCTCTACTCAGGATGCTAAGAGGAAAGCAAATATCTCGATTGAGCCCTCTATAGTTGCTCCGTAAGACGCGCGTATCCGAACCCGTGATTGGACTTGGGCGTGTACGAGTTTCTGCACATTACATAGTCTTCTCGGATTGAGTCATATTCAACCGACCTGAATGGAATAAACACATGTTCTTCGTGACCTTGAAGATTCTTCGGCCAATACCAGCTGCTGAAGGCGATCTCGTACAATAAGGAAAGAGCTTCGGTAAACACGCGGGTACTTTACCACGCTCTCCCAGCTCCGAACATAAACATAAAGCCGGCTAGGCATACCGGCCCTGGTCTCACGTCTCATGAATATCCTTACTTACGGCCTTGAATACACATAGCATTGTAGTGACAAATGTATCGCGGCCAGGAATACTTGAGTGCCCCTGACTGTGAGGCAATAACTGTCCCCTAGACTCATGCCTGCTCTGCATGGTCACTATATCCGAGATCCCTCTAGGATCATTTCGTACATGGCTTGTACCACACTGCGTTATAGTACATCTTCCACTTAACTCCCGGATTTCGAATCATCCATTTCTACATACTAGCTGCTCTCCTTGAATTAGGAAGGAAACAGCAGCTCAAGTGACCCTCAGAGTCGATGTTGATCAAGTTCACCAAGCTGTGTCAGGGAAGATGCATTCGTTTGAATTACCACAATCACAATGGTGAGTTTTCGGTTGCGGCGTAGGGCTGTCCTCGCCATGACTATGTTTCATCTTCTTGTGATAGAATGTCGGCTGTTGACATCATATCATGGACATGTATGTTTTCCACTTGCTTATCGGGTCTGTCTTCTGGTGTATAACGCCGGATCCAGTAGGGTACCTTATCTTGACCCAACAAAATTTCGGTTTACTTCAGATGCAGGAGGCCAAAGTCCTAGAAAATCAAAAACAGCCTCTTGTTTCAAGCTTGGTGTCGCGAGCTTCAATAAGATGATGACACGAGAGACGAGAATCTCAAGTAACGGTAAGTGGGTAGTCGAGGCCTACTACGGTGTGAGGATGTGTCGGCGTGTTCCGGACTTTGCGGCTTTCGGGAAATGGGCGAGAGTGCTGGGCATGTGAACGGGAAGCACTAGTTTTGGACTAAGTTTGCGGCGCGACCAATCGAGTCTGCATGTGCTACTTTATTGACCTTTGACCAGGAGGGCCTCCAGCGTTAAGTGCTACGTTTTCCAAACATCCTCTTCGGCCTGAACCGGCCGAGGATGCTCTAGACTGCCCTTGAAGCCTGCCCAGACTCGTCATCTCTCGGACATCATCCGTGAAAGAAGACCGTTATCAGTCTTTTGCCGTTGTTCTTCTTCCAGAAATCATCAACAGCATATCGGAACCTGTTCGCCAAGCCGCGAGCTTGTTTCCCCAACAGTTCAGTCTATTCATTTGAACTCTATTTCATCCCATGACAAACAACATTGTCACCTGAGGGAGAGTTTCTACGTAGGCCAAAGGCTGTCTGATGAAATTGCTAGGAAGCCCGGCTTTTGATCCTAGGGCATGGTGCACTGAAGAACTCCTACGCAGAATTACAGTTGAGGCCTACGGAAATGCCAATGTGTGTTCACAGGGGAGATCTCCGAGTATCATTCCCAACAGCAATAGCAGACTTTGACTCCGAGGAGGTAAAGTGTAAGTCATGTGTATAACAGAAGAAAGTGGTACGGGGGGTTTTAATAAAGCGAGACATCCCTCAACTACCACTCAGGCCATCCCAAAATCTGCTGAATCAATCTTATCTACTATCTACAAATCTTGGACTCAATATTATTAGTTACACAAGACCAATAATTATCTTAAGTTCGAAAAACCAACAAAATGGCAGAGCAGAAAAGTCTCTATGTCTATCATCATGTCTTCTTGCCGCCTCAATTGCCCCAATCAGATGACTTCAGCCCGCGAAATGAAAGCGCCTTACTCGAGGTCGTCCAAGATTCTGTTGTCGAGTTTCGAAAGTACGTTCCCGAGAGTCAAGCAAGCTCTGTGGAGATTGCCATCGGCTTGATGCAGGCCATGGTTCGTCTTCATCAGACCCTGGAAGATACTGTCGCCGTCGATGAGTCAGAGCTGCTCAAAATTCTGGAGAATCCCGTGAACAAAGGTTTGCAAATGCCACTGAACCGTGATAACAAAGCTGATGGCTCATAAGGGCCTATCGGGGGTGTCGTTTCTTTCAACATCAGAGCCCAAAATGCTGGAGTTCTTATTACGAGGGACCATGAAGCAATCAATGTGGAGGCGTTTGAATTGTCTCCGACCAACGAATCAGTCATGGCTACGAAAGGTCGTCTTCGCAGAAGCTTCCCCGGAGTCGGAATCTCTATCCCTCTCAAACGTTTCGTTGAACCAGGATTCCAAGAGGTTTTAGCTGCGACCCTGGCCAAGATGAGTTCCCAGGCAATCGCCGGGACCCAACCACGCGCTAAGAAAGCGGGCCGATTCCTCGACGAAAGTCGTGATACTGCCAGCCCCGAGATGATCACAGAGTTCATCTATTCCTATCTTCTTGCCAACGGAGAGGCTCTTGCCACAACACGAATCCTGAAAAACACTCGGGAGGAGGTCAATTGGAGCAGTGCTTTGCTTCCGTGGCACCGTTCTTCAACCTGGCTGCTCATACGTGTGAGCTTGCAACTACTTTTTACCCGGATGGTCGCAGAGACCGCTTCGCACCGTGGCCTATACAAAACGTTCATGGTCTTCGTGATGGCGAGAGTGCTTGATCACGCTCTGAACATCGGATTGCCGTCTGACATCTTGCTTTCCATGGTCTCGAAACTGTCAAAAAGAATCCTCAAACTTCAGTCTAAGCCCGCCCCGGCTGCAATCGACTTTGTGAAGGGAAAGATGTGCCTCGCGAACAAGTTCATTTCAGACCGGTGGACTCTTACCCAGCAGCAGAATTCTCCTACCCTCGGCCCCAAGTTAGATCTTCTGCGGATGTTGGACTTCAATCAAGACTCCATCATCCGTCTTGAAGAGCTTGACTCGTTTTTGAGGACTCTTCGCAATCGCAAGAACTCAGCCACTTACCATGAATTCACACCCTCCTGGCTACTAGTCAGCTACCGTCCCTCTGAGTTGCAGCGGGAAATACGAACCCCCGACACGGAACACCTCCATCTTCACTTGATTTGCTTCGAAGGTTGGGTTGAGGCACATCTACAGTCGTGGCTTCAGAAACAACTCACAATCGGATCGCACAGCACATGCTCAACGCTTCGCCATGCCATGGAAAGCTATCATAGCACTGCTAGCTCATTCTATGCCGAGAACCCCGAGACGACATCTATCATGCTTTTGACAATCTTGGAGCTCTGGGTCGCTTGTGACAAAGCCGCAGTACATTTCTGCCCGCTTCTCGCAGCGTTTGACCATGAGATTCCTCGAGGACCGTTTCAGAACCTCCTTCTTCCTACCCATGATCAAATGGACAGGCTTCGAAACGCTGAGTTGTACTTGAAACGACGACGCCGCAACTCGTCCGGCCCACCCATCTACCACGAATGCAGAAGCTCGGCCTGTTTCGCAGTGCGATTCTTTGATGATTCAGATTTGCACCAACAGCTCAAGAGATCCATCGAAGAAAAGGCTACCCGAGATCGAGAAGCCAAGAAAAAGGAATTACAAAAGCTGAAGAGCCAATATGAGTCGCTGATGCAACGGCATCGGAATAGTTCTTGCGAGTATTACCAAAAGCTTTCATGTCGGAACTACACATATGTAGACGTTCACAGCCGGTCTTGCTCGCGATGTTCTTACAAACAGCAAGCTGACAGACTGAGGATCGATGTTCACGAGTGGCCACTTCCTAGGCATATCTCTGCAGCAAAGTCTACAGTCTTTGAGCTTTCGGTTCCGGAATCATTCGGATACTGGAGAGAGGCTAGCATGTTCGTGCTGTTCAAAGTTCTCAAGGTACACGCGAAAACATCAGAGCAGCCTCGTGCTGACTTTCACTTGAGAAAATATCAAGCTCTTTTGAGATTCTACAGCCAAAACATCGATTCACAGCATATCGGCCTGCTGTCCCAAGATAAGCCTCATATGTCAACTCATCGGAGAAAAGTCTCTGTGGGGACGGCGACTGAGGCCAGTATCCTACTCGACAACGCGCTGAATTTCGCTTATTTCGACGACAGAAGAGGCTGCTTCATTTCCTCCTTTGAATCATCCGATGTGGTATCTCAGCAATGCACATATCGCTTGCCAAAGCTCTCCAAACCTTTGCAACAATTTCTCTTCCGCCCATCGTCAAGCCCAAGCGGCCCGACGCCCAACACCGTGGTCGCAACGCTGCAGAACTGTCCCGAAGGGATGACACTCGAAGAATACAAGGATCTTGCTTCAATTCCCATTGGTCACAACCTCCAGTGGATGAACATCCTTCGTCAACTCTTTGCGTCAACTGTGGACTTCAAAAAGAGGGAAACAGGGCTTATAATTCAACAGTGCATCTATCAAGCTGGCCCGGAAGGCGATAATGCACTAAGAAGCTCTCATGCCATCTGCGGAAATGATTCGTTTCCTATCATGATGTTAGAGGGCGTTTCAGAGGCAATGCAGCGTTTCAAAGAAAACTGGCAATCATCAACAGCATTGTCATCATTCACAGCAATATCTCGTCGTATGATTTCACTGTCCCAGTGTACGGCGATACAACAGAAGGGTCTTGCATGCTTGACAGAAGCGAGAGACACTACATTCGCATGGGCGAAAAACCTCAAGACCATGAGTCAGAATGTTCCTGACGACAAGGAACGACTCAAACTTCAACGGAGATCGCTGGAGGTTGCGTTAATATGCGCAGACTCATTCAACGTCGACGAAAAATTTCAACGGGCGATCTTCTCGACGACTGAAAGCGCCTCGGTCTATTTCCAGTGTTGTTTCGCCATACAAGAGGGCTCACAGACACTCCTCGATTCTTCTGATGAACTAGTCCGGTATCTTTACTACCGTTGGCAACGAACCTCCTACTTGCATTGGGGCTACTTGGCGAAGATGATCCTCGTTCACAATAGCTTCGCACTCGACGATGCTATTTCTGCAACATGGTCTGCTTACGAGCCCAGTCACAAGTGGACAACTCTCTCTGAAACACACAGCTGTTGGTTGGCGAGCACCACCACTTCACAATCTGGTCAAATGGCAATCAGCTACAACCTGATTACTGGAGAGCTTTTGGTGAATGGTGTTCCACTTGATCATCTTCCTGGGAGATACCTGAGCCACCTTTCCTACCAGGGACTATTCGGAAAGATGTCTCTAGAGATCATGCCAACATCAATCCAAGGGATGCAGTACTCGGCGAAGAGGCAGTATGCAGGCCATGTCATACACCTAGGCACCAGTCAAGATCTCGGTCACGGAGAGCTTGACGTCTTGGTTCAAGCCTATCACAACCAGAATCGTTACGACTTAATTCCAAGACGTCTTCTTACGGGGAAGTTTCCAACCAAGTTTGTCAACGATTATGTTCATTGGTACGACTACAACAGGAACTGCGTAGAGTTCTGCGACAAACAGGTACCATGGAAACATGATCGGTCACACTGGAGACTTATACCAGCCCCTTGGAATAGATGGACGCTTGTGAGAGATGGTACAGCTCTGATAGATGTCAACAGTCGATCCGCCAAGGCGATATCCTCGATTCTTCGCCCTCTCGAAGACCAGTACTCGATTCATATCATTCACAACGAGACGGACGGGTCGTTGTTTGTGGACCTCGCCAAAGCTAGGCTCGAGTTTACGTACCAATCTAAGGAGACATCGTTAATGTCAAGACAATATCGAGGGATGTCCGTGGACGCAAATCAATCCATCGGTACTTTAGTGGGTCTGAAGGATAAGCTCATCCTACGTATCGATCAGCCTTGCCATGCTGCCATTACTCCTGGTCGCAAGGTACTCATTCTTGAGGGATGTGTATCCCATATGAAGCATGGAGAGCATGTCAAGGTCTGCATCGAGAAAGGCAGAGCAGCAGGTGTGCACCAATACGACGTGGACGCGAGACTAGGAAGACTTGTCCTCAATGGCAACCTGCAAAGCAAGCTCTTCCTTTGCTATCTTCACGCCTTGACATCATTTGGGATACCGGACCCTTTGACAGGCAAAACCGGCACTGAGGAAGCTCTCAGCATTCTCGATTCAGCGTCCGTCAGGTCTTTTGACGTCCTTACTCGCGAGAATGTGGCTTTGCTTGGACTACTCGCAGAGCTGACACCGAGTAGAGCCTACTATCCTACAAATGAACGCGTCATGCAGACTGTGGGATGGTCGCCGCAACTGAGCTTTCTCTCCCAGCATGGGTTATTCCACGACTCTGTACAATCCATTCTTCAACAGGCAGAGAAACTACGGTTCTTTCATCCTCAATTATATTTCAGACCCCCACCACTAGACCACGCAAATCACTTTCTCCTTGATCGTGACAACCTTCGCTCGTCAACTTTTCGAGTTTCTGGTTTTGGTGCTGAGCGTCAGTGTCAAGAGCATGATGACACACATTATGCGGCCAGAGATCGACGCAGCTCAGATCGACGAACTTGGGCATTCATGGTAGCCAACTTATTATCCCGCCGGACCCCGTGTCTTGTTGATTTTTTACCTCACGGACTGAAAGGCTGCTTGTGGAACTTTCTGCGGAGTCACAGTTCAGTCCTTGGTAGCGCTCAAGCTCTCTCAATTAAGGAGATAGCCTATAACCCCGAACTTCTGTCCAAGACATCTCAATTCATCACGCGCAACTTCCTGACGATGCAGAGGTCTTTGAGGGGGGATGTCAACAAATATCGCCTGATGATATGGCTAGCGATGGTGGCATACTTCAATAGAGCAGACATAACCATCATTCAGACCTTAGCCTCATTCCACTCGACAAGCAAACTTTCGGAGATGGTGTCACCGGCGGCAGATCAATTTGATCTGTCTGAGGGGAAGAGTTTTGTCGCCTCGAAGATTCGAAGTTGCCTAACAAGTAATCTCGTCCCGCTCTCTCAATGCCCCGAAGCCAGGATGACGCAAAACGAATCAGGACTGGAGTCATCTTGGGAATTTAGGCGACGACAGGAAGAACAATACGATCGAAAAACGATGGAGTCAGTCACGGTTTTGACGAAGATACTTGAAGCACAGTGGCCTTGCAGTGTTCCTGTGATACCACGGCATCATCCAGATAGGACAAGTTGGAATACATATGTACGCATGGATGCAGCCCTGCCTGCCATTACAGCGTTGTTCAAGAGTTGGCACGACAACCTCCAGTTTTATGCCCATCTTGGCGCTATTGCTAGCCACCTACCAACCGAAGTCAACACTGTGCCTCCCATGGAGTCTCGACTATCAACCCCCGATTTGCCATCAGCGATATCGTCTCAAAAGCAGCGATACCTGGGCGAAGACGACTTTTTCCGAGAAACGATACCGCATTTCGTCAGTGAGAGCGTCTCTGTCTTGGACTACGATTCTATCTGCCAGCGCCCGAAAAATGCAGGTGGAAGTGTAAAGAACTTCAAGCTACCGAACCTGCTCTCCAGACTCGGGAACAGGCAACTTGGCCAGTACGAAAGACAACATGTCAATGGACTGAAGACAAGTCTCGAGGCTCTACAGCATCACGAGTCGACCGAGGTGTTCCTCAAGCCCTGTTACGACGAGGCGACTCTTGCTTTGCTGGATTACTTGCAAAACTGCAAGAAGACCGTCCAGAAACTTCACAGTCTCATCATGATGGCGTTGTTTGGTCAGAATGGCGGTAACTGTGTCGCGAACATCCATGACATTTATCAACGGCCAAGATTTTCTCCCTTTTTACTTCTGAGAAGACTCAATCACTTACATCGAGATCTCACTCCAATTATTTGGAGGAAGTACCTTGTTCAGTATGGGATTGCTGTCACACAACTTCAGCGAGCCGAGCGCATGCTGGCCTCGTCAGGAGATGCCATCGCATTGACAAACGAGCTACGGAATTCTGGACACAGGAACTGGTCCCCAAATGACCACCCCGATACCCTGTTGTTGGAGATTGAGAGCGGAATGATGGTTCGAGATGTCCAGGAACGAATTGCTGGGCAGATGAGAGATCCACCAGCTGAGCAGAGTGCTGTCATGCAATTGAACATGGGGGAAGGGAAGTCTTCGGTGATTCTCCCTATGGTCGCCGCCGCTACCGCCAACGGATCACAGATGGTGAGAGCCATTGTAGCGAAGGCTCAGTCGAAACAGATGGAGCAAATGTTGGATGCAACGCTCGGGGGTGGTCTGATTCAACGACCAGTCTTCCGCATGCCGTTTTCGAGGGCGCTCCAAATCGGTCTATCTGAAGCCGAAACTATTCACACACTCTTCAAAGAGTGCATGGAGTCCAAAGGCGTCCTTCTCATCCAGCCTGAACACATTCTATCTTTCAAGCTCATGGGATTTGAAACCGCCATCGCAGACAAGGCCAAAATCAGTCAGTCACTAATCAGGTCTCAACAATTTCTCGACGAATTCTCCCGCAACATTGTGGATGAGAGCGACGAGAACTTCAATGTCAAATTCGAACTCGTCTACACGATGGGATCTCAGCAGCCAGTAGAGCACAGTCCAGATCGATGGGTGTGCATTCACGAAGTTCTTGGGGTGATGAGAAGATTCCTCCCAGCGGCCCAGGAGGCTGATTCTACTTCGATCGAAGTGTCTAGTCGCCACAAAGGATGCTTCCCTCGAACACGCATTTTGCGGGAAAGCGCCAAGGATCATCTGCTCAGTCTGATCGCGCGTCATATCAGTGAGGCTGGCTTGGCTGGTCTTCCAATAGGTACCCCTCAGGCACGTTCACTACAGCAAGCTGTCTACACATACATCACCAAGTTCAACCTGACGCCGGCGGAAGCGTCGGAGGTTGAGTCATCCACGATTTGGTCGCCAGCTACCAAGAATACCCTTCTTTTACTGAGAGGGCTCATCGCCTGCCAGATCTTTAGCTTTGTATTTTGCCAAAAGCGATGGCGGGTGGATTACGGTTTGGACTATACGCGTGAGCCAGGCACAAGACTCGCAGTGCCATACAAGGCCAAAGACAACCCAAGCGCTCGATCTGAATTCAGCCACCCAGACGTTATCATCACGCTCACATCGCTCAGCTACTACTACGGCGGATTGAAGGATGCGCAAATTCATCAGACTTTCGAGCATCTCCTGCACTCGGATCAGGCGGACATGGAATACTGTGTCTGGGTGGAGGATAGCGACCAATTGCCGACATCATTTCATCAACTATCGGGCATTAATCTCGACGACGGTCAATGTGTCAGGCAGATTTTCCCTTGCATTCGCTACGCAAAGGGGACGATTGATTACTTCCTGCAGCATATTGTCTTTCCTAAGGAGGTGAGAGCATTCCCTTACAAGCTTTCAGCGTCAGGGTGGGACATTGGCAAGGAGACGGCGAATCCGACCACAGGCTTTAGTGGAACGAACGACTCTTGTGCTTTCCTTCCACTGAGCGTCAGGCAACTTGATCTCCCCGATCAAAAGCATACCAACGCTCTAGTACTGGAATACCTTCTCCAGGACGAAAATTCTGTGGCGTTGATGCCATCCACGAAAGAAGCATCAAAGACAGATGCCGAGACCCTTTTAGAAATGGTCGTCAAGCTGGATCCTCCGGCACGAGTTATTCTTGACGTCGGTGCTCAGATCTTAGAACTTGACAACGTTGGGGTCGCAGAACGATGGCTCGAGATGACGGTCGACAACGACAAAACACAGGCTGTGATTTTCTGCGACGAGGATGATCATATTCGTGTTGTAGACCGCAAAGGAAGAATAGAAAGCTTCCAGACCTCGCCTTTTGCAACTCAGACCGACGTTTGCCTAGTATTTCTCGATGAAGCTCACACCAGAGGCACGGATCTGAAGCTTCCGGAAAGCTATCGAGCAGCGGTGACATTGGGAGCTAATCTGACGAAGGATAGATTGGTTCAAGGTAAGCGTTCCTGAACAATTCCATATTTTGTAGATGTTTGCTAAGATCAAGTGGGATCAGCATGTATGCGTATGAGGAAGTTGGGCAAAGGCCAGTCTGTGGTATTTTGCGTCCCCGACGAGATCAACCAGAAGATCTCCTCTGCTTTTGATCTCAGAGACAATGATTTGGCGGTAGATCATATCTTAGAGTGGTCAATTATGGATACATTCAAAGACTTACGCCGTGGGATATGGCTGTGGGCGAACCAAGGCCGCCGCTATCAAAACCAGAAACTTCTCTGGGAGGAAGTAATGACAGACGACTCACCAATCATCAGCAAGGTTCATGCGGAAAGATTTCTAGAAGAAGAAGCGCAGACACTAGAAACACGATACAAGCCTACTTTCCAGCTCGCATCAGAGGGGACACACGCGAACGACCAAGGTAGCGTTGACGCCATTACCGAAAGATTGCTCCAACTTGGAGGCGTCAATCCGGAGTCTACCACATTTCGAGAAGAACAAGAGAGAGAGCTGTCGCCAGAAGTGGAGCAGGAAAGGGAGGTTCAGAGACCGCCCGCAGCAAAGCCTGCACGACACGCCATACACCCCGACGTCCGCGCATTCATCTCCGATGGCGTGGTTGAGAGAGGATCAGAGGCATTTCTGCCGGCCTTCAAGTCGTTCGGGGAGACCAGTGCTGCGAAGCAGTACGATGTCAGCAGGATCCCGCGGGGCCTTTTGGTCACTGAGGACTTTGCCCGGACTATCGTCCCTCTAGGCAATGGTTATAATTCAGATCTCTTCCAGAGGTCAGTTCAATGGATTCTGACTAGTGCGTCGAAGACGGGAAAAGTTACGGTCGCGGCAATAATCAGTCCACACGAGGCCCAAGAGCTTTTGCCAGAAATCGAGAGATCCAGCTTCGTATCCATTCATATTTACGCCCCACGGCCCAATCTTGGTTTCCGGCCTTTGGATGGATTGGATCTTTACGTGACTCCGGGACGATCGGTCCCCCGGACTATGTGTCAACGACTGGTTACAGAGCTAAACCTTTTTTCCGGTCAACTTTACATCAAGTCGATAGACGATTATCTTGACTTGCGAAGATTCCTTACTTTAGACTCGGAGGGCACACAGATAGGTGCCACAGCCGATTTCGGTGTTGATTCAGACGAAATCATGAACCGAGGATCCCTCATTCAGTTCTTCAAAACGATATTGATGAAAATTCGCAGGAATTGTGAGTCGATAGACAAAACTCATGTCGGAAAAATACTAAACCAGCGAGCCTTGGATGCTTCGGATCTAGAAAAGGAGAGATGAACGCAAGCGTAAGATCACAAGAGGAATTGGAGAGAAGGGGGCGACATGGTTTACCTACTACTACTGGCATAAGGGTATGGGATAAATAGTACAAGATTGTTTTAAATGAAATATCTGCCCCAAATATTCATGTTGCACTACTTCCAAAATTTGGGACGCAATCAAGTCAAATATGTCACTGCACTGAAGGCTGACCTGGTTAACCTCGACTCAAATACGCAACCTTGAGCATTAGTTCACAGCATTCAAAGAGATGAACTTTCTCGTATGAAAGAAATCAAATAAAGCGCTTTTCTTTCAAATCTATGAAATCGATAATTTTAACGTAGACCAAACCTCATCGCTCTCGCTATAGTCCATTAGATTGATGCAAATCCTCTATTGCCGGTTTTGTCTTCCCGAGTCTCATTACATCCAACCCCTGCCCAGCTCTGAATCAGATACGCTTTTCATCCTGATCATATTCTTCCTCCATCCAAGTACCAAAGTCCAACATATTAGGGTCCTCTCGCTTCACGGCCGCGATATCGACCCCAAATCCATCAGTGTAAAACCACCTGTACATAGCGCCAAACTCGGGGATCATCCAGTGCAAGAATCTGACCAGAAACTGGAACGTCTCTGGAATTTCCGTTCCCTTCTTAGACTTGAAGATGGTACTGGCAGCCTCCAGTGTAAGCTCGTCGCCAGCCAATGGAATCTGCCTGCCAGCGAACTCTTGGGGGCGAAGGAAAGCCCTTGCGGCGGCTCTTCCCACATCCTTAACGGACACCAACTGTAGAGGCTTCTCCTTGACGGCAACTCTCCATGATGTACCCATGATCTTGATACCCATTCCCGGCTCCATATTCTCCATGAAAGCTACGGGTCGAAGGATGGTCCAGTCCATCTTGCCGCGTGCATTGTCGACTAAGTGATGCTCGGTGCGATATTTACTGACGAAGTGAGTTACACTAGGAACGTAGTTGTCGTATGAGCCGTCGCCGCCTCGGTCGATGGAGCTGTAGATGAAGAATTTGACATTATTGGATAGAGCCGCATCGACTAGCGCCTTGCCTTGGGCTTCTTCGAGTTTTGCTGACGCACCCTTGCCAATGGCCGTCTGAATGTCCGTTAGCATCACAATCTGACTAGCCCAGGGTTTCCATAATACGTACTTGTACACTAAATACACCCCAAAGATCAGTGTTCGAAGAGTTCAGAACTGCTTTGGCGTCGGAAAAGATGGCAGGAACGTCGTTGAGATCGCCCTGAATGACGATGACTCCACGCGATACTAAGCTTTTGGCTTTGGAAGACGCAACATTGCGAGTAACGGCGATGAGTTTGTAGGCGCTGCCGCTCTCTGACTCCAGAAGTGCATCAATGACGGCGCCGCCTTGCTTACCGGTTGCACCTGTGACGAGGATCGCCCGACTTGATTGAGAATCGCTAGACATGGCTAGGGAGATGAAATATGGATTGTGTTGTTTGAGACTTGATGATTTTGCTTGTATGGATAAGATTACTAGTGTAAAATTGCAGCGGTGTTAATCCGTAGCGTGTCGTCTGGTATCAGAGTAGCTGGTTGATGATTTCAAAAAGAGTTTGAGATCAAATCAGTGAGCTCATCTTCCTTATATCTCCAGACCATCACGCATGAGAGCCAAGCTCCATTCTCCCCAAAAGACCAGATCATTGCTCAAGCTCGCTCCTTCGCTTCTCGCGACACCTCAATCGCCGGACTTCTTCATGATTGCTCATCAATCTTATCTCGTGGTGGTTGCAAGCGAAAGGATCCTACCCCTGGCCAAGCATAAAGTAGTAAGGCGACAGGTCTCGCGCGCCGCGCAAAACGGACAAAAGCGCGTTTCGGCATGCTTCCTGTCAGCTTAGAAATCAGCACACAATGCTGTTATTCTAATTATTGGCTAATTACACGATAGGGAGAATGACGCTGACTGCTGATGTGGCATTTCAGGGTGTCAAAGATTCGTCAGCTGCATGGGAGACATGAGTCTTACCGCATGCAGACACAGTGGCTGCGAATAGTGCATCAGTCGACTGTCAAAAGAGTAGCTTATATCGACGTGCATGTAGCTAGTTGTCCTACCTCAGTTTGAGTGCGATTGCTTGTCACAACCACCTACAAGAGCTATCACGTGTGACTGCTAACCGGGACGGATCAAGGACATGTTCGTGATCACTTTCGCAAAGGACTTGACATTAGATTTGTTGTTTGACCATATCATTTTGACGGGTTATCATTTGCAAAATCAATAAGCTCAATTTAAACATGAAATACCATCGTGAATGAAGAATCAGAAAAGACCCCCAGAAGTCTCCGTCCCAAACAGATTCACCCGCATCCCACCAGCCTTGGGAGCAGAACACTCTGTCCCATTCACACAGACATTGAAGCCGCAACAGTTGTCAACCAGACATACTCCACCTCCAGCACACGGAGATGTAGAGTTGCACTGATCATACCCAACGCATCTCCCCGTCCGGAACCCAATACCGCCACCCTCCAAAGTCTTACCGCAAAGGCAATCGGAGTTAGGAATCGAGGCCTCGGGCGGGTAGAATCGTTCTCCATCTTGGACGACGCACGCATTTGCATTCGGGCAGCATGCAAGGGCTGTGGGATCCGTGACGTTGCGCTCATATTCTGAGCCCGTGGAAGGCAGACTTGTAACGTTTGCGAGTGAGATGGGCGTTGTAGAGGTTCCAGCCGTGAATGTGAGGTTCAACGTCTCAGTTGAGATGAGGGAGCGGCAGACTTCCGTCTTGATCGTAGTAACCCCGTATCCCTCGACGATATCACCTAGCCCCGACCCAGAGCCCGAAGTCGAGTTCTTGAAGGTCGCGGCCGAGAAGTCATAGAGATTCATAAAGCTGTCAATAACTGACAGGATTCCTCGACCGGCATCAGAGCCAAGTTGTAGCCCAGCGTCAATGAAGGGTTGCAGGAGCTCGTCGACGTTGATGACGCTGCCAAGTTGTTGGAAGAGCAGACTCCAGACTGACGTGAGTGATGGGCAACTTCCCACCAGAGAACCCTGCGTCAAGTGATCCAGAGTCTGTTGAACTGATGTCTCGCATTCCATAGAATCACTGCCACTACCAGGGAATGCACAATTAGCGACGAAGTCTCCCGTCGTACCTGGGAGGACGATGCATTGAGTGCCGCCCAGGGCTACTGAGACTGGTAGATCGGCGCGGACAGGGTTGCCGCACTGGTCTTTGAGATGGAGGGTCACGTCGAATGCGTCTTGCGCCATCTCGGCCAAGGTCCCCTTGAAGACGGGGAGACGACCTGAATTTGTGCCGTTGACTGGGATGTCGGTGGTATTTGTGCAAGTAGAGTTTGTCAAGGTGTTGAGTTGCTGGAAGAAACCAGATATGAAAACGTCAATCTTGGGTGAACAATTTGCGGAGGCGAAGTGCAGGCCCTCGCTGTCGATGGATAGCACATTGCCGGCTTTGTCAACGATTCCCAGCTTTGACGGATCGGAGACGTCGACGAGAACTGGGTTGGTGGCGTTGTCTATCAGACGGAGGTATTGAACGGAGTGTGTACTCTCATTGAGGTAGAACGCTTCAATATATGGAGGCGTACGATCGGTGACGTTTAGGAGAGATTCGTGGAGGGAAGGTGTTGGGATGGGAAGTGCATAGCATGATGTCGCGTTTTGAGCTACAACGACAGAGATTCCCGTGAAAGCTGAGTCGTAGCTTGAGGTCGAGGTTACTGAGATACTTGTCGGCGCAGATGAAGTAGCAGTGGCGGATGAAGACCCTTCCGCTGTCGGGTTGGTTCCATTGAGTGTGCTCACGAACGTGGCGCCGCCAGTCAAGCTGACGGCTGTCGGTGTTCCCAAACTCGAAGAGCCCTGCGACAGGGTACCGAAGATGGTCGAACCACCGATTACTGTCCAAGTGGAAGCCACACCATCAATTACACTAGTGAAGACCGTGGGTGTAGGTGTTGCAACAGGAGGTCCGGCGGTGGCGTTCGAGCTACCGAAGATGGTTGAGCCTCCAATCACCGTCCAAGACGAGGCAATGCCTCCAATTACACTCGTGATGACTGTGGCACCGGGTGGAAGACTGGGTGAAGTGGACGTCGGGGTTGGAACCGGGCTAATGGTCGAGCCTCCGATTACTGTCCACGAAGAAGCAACGCCTTCGATGATACTCGTCACGACGGTCGCGCCAGGTGGCAGATCAGATGGAGTAGACGTCGGACTTGGCACCTGACTGACTGTTGAGCCTCCAATTACGGTCCATGAAGAAGCGATACCTCCAATTATGCTCGTGATGACGACCGCGCCACCAGTTGTGGTCGGTGTAGCAGTTGGGACCGTGGCATTTGTCGGGTCCAAGATAGTCGAGCCTCCAATGATGACCCAGGTTGACCCAGCCCCTCCAACTACGCTCGTAATCACAGTGGCGACTTCAGACACCGTTGAAGTCGGTGGTGTCTCGCTGGGGTTTGCGGAGAAAGTGGAACCCCCGATCATAGTCCATGACGAAGCAACGCCATTGATAATGCTCGTGATGACTGAGGGGGTAGCACTTGGAGTCGGTGAACCAACAAGTGTTGAACCTCCGATGACGGTCCAGGTTGAGCCAATCCCACCAACAACGCTAGTGATGACGCTGAATGCGCCAGTCTCTGTTGCAGATTGAATTTGGGAAGGTGTTGGGACTGTACTCCCATTTGACGGGAATCCGATAGTCGAGCCTCCGATCACTGTCCAGGTAGAGGCAACTCCACTAATGACAGTCGTGATGATGCTAACCCCAGCAGTCTCAGAAGGCCCCGGCGACGATGTGGGCGTAGTTGAGTTTGGAGAGCCGACAAGAGTTGAGCCGCCTATCACGGTCCATGTTGAAGCTTCCCCGTTGATGATGCTCGTGAAAACAGTGAAGGATCCCGATGTGGTTTCGGAGGGAACTTGAGTAGATGTGCTGCTGTTGGCGAAAGGACCGCCACTTGTGCTTCTGCCGAGGGTTACAACCCAAGTCGATGCCCCACCGCCAATATCACTCGTAATAGTGGTGATTGCCGGCGGCAGAATTGGCGTGGCGGTTGATTCCTGGCCGCTAGAAGCAATCGTTGAGCTAGACACCCAAGGTAGACTCCACGAAGAGGCTCCGTCAGGCAGCGTGTTCGTGAGACTGCTAATCAAAGACGACTCAACAGGAGCTCCAGTGATAGTCGTGGTGACTCCGTTGATGACGGACGTGATTCTCCCCATGGGCGGAGTAGAGCTCGGCTCAGATTCACCTCCAGAAACCGTCTTGACTGTCGTGTAATTCCCGTTGATGATCGTAGTCACCCTCGGCACCGCCGCCGACCCAACCGTCGTCCCAGGCTGCGTAGGCAAGCCAACAGTAGAATTCCCAATCAACGTCACCGTCGATACGAACCCAGACGCAGTCCCACTAGCTTCACCAGTAATAGTCTTCGTCGTGGGAGGCGGGCCGGGACGACCACCGCTGTCGCCATCGCTTACTGACGAAAGACTCTGCGCGTTGGTTGGGTTTGGGATCTCGGAGCTGTATATGTAGATTGTGCTGACTTGCGTCTCCGTGACTTGGACTGTGGCGGTGACCTCTCCCCAGCCGCAGGTTGAGGCTCTTTCGGATGGGAGGGCTGGGCCGGGGAATGAGTAAGAGTAGCCGCCATCGAATGTTGCGTAGGCTGTTGGATTGCTTTGGGTATCCGAGAGCGTTGTTGAAGCTGCGTCAGTTGCTCCCGGGTCGTCAGTTTCAGTCGAGTAGTCGGCGGCCGGTGTTACGGTCGCATTTGCATGGCATGGCGCTCGCGGTGTTGGGTCGGGACTTAGAAGACAAGAACACTGTAGCTTGTTAATACCCAATCCATCACGTTTATGAGGTATGTATGGGTAAAGTGCAACTTACGGCTGATGATACTGAGAGCGCAGGATAACTCGTCGGAATAGCATCAGGTAGACTGAGACTGGCAGTAGCCTCGCCAGAGTCTAGGAGCATGGAGCAGTACATCGTTCCGTTATGCCGCTCCATGGCGCGGAGGAGGTTATCGCCGTGGCATCCGTCCGCTGTAACCAGCGCCGCACTCCCTGCGAGAAGAATGAGAGTTGAGAGAAACATGATATTAGATGATCCTGAGCTAAAGGCCAAAAAAACAGAGAGCAAATCGAGAATGGTCAGATTGGAAATGGGAAGAGAGAGCGATTGAGCGAGTGTTGACGACGGAGGCTGTCGATCTTCGTCGGCCTGGTCCCGTTGAGGTTTCTCGTTACCAATATCACTGTATTTCTACCGTCTTGAGACCTTTATACATAAGTAGTGACTTGACCCACGATATCCTCACGTGTCGCAAGGTGAATATCCTGTGCCGAATCTCCGAAGTAGACCACAACGCCGAGACAAGCTCCAGCTTCAAGCCATTCATCCTACCTAATCCCCAGTCCACTGCCTCGGTGAAAAATTGGAAGACACCATCGCGACACCAAGTCACAAGCCCTGAGCGAAGCAATATGTCTGTGATGCCATCGCTTCTCAGATATCGACGACAGAATCAGAATCGTGCCACTCGCTAGGTACCGTCCGACATCGGGCCCAGCGAATCCGCGATACACAACGTTCCCCTCGTGCCCCCAGCTGCATGCGCGTCCAAGACCGACGCGGTCCGCCATCAAGATCATGCAGGTACCAAGGTGATAGCGCCGAGCTGCACAACGGCTCGTATTCAATCGCATGTATGTCTCCGATAGACTTCAATCTTCGGTGTACACTGTCCCCATCTCTATTGCCAGGAGGATTGGCACTAGACGGGCTGATGAACGACCCTCGTTTCAGCCACCCTCATGACCGATAACAAACCCATGATCCCGTCTCGCGAGAGTCAACGACACGTTCTCCTGGCGTGGGTACCGCTCGCCAATCGGATATTGATGATTCACATCTTGTTATCAAACAGAAATTGGACCAAAACCTTGTGCCATCTCCCAGAATGAGAGAGAAGAGTAGATGGGGGGACAAGATCATGCACTTCAGGTTAAACAACACGACCCAAGAAGCGAAAGGCAACACAAACTAAAGGCAGCGGGGTTCACCCGCAGCAGTCACAGACAGAAACGATATATTAGAACTCGCTCAGGTCTGACAAGACGCGTAGAACAAAGCCAGAAAAGCCTCCAATTTTCTTTTCAATCATTACATCCATGATGCGCCTCCCCTCGTACAGTCATTATACCGATGACACACGAAGAACCGACCCAGGGCCCACCCACGGGGCGACGATATTAACAGGCATGATCAACACAAAACGCGCGCAAAATAGCAATGAACCCATCATTCGTAAGACTCTCCTCTCTCCCCCCCTTCCGACGTCTCCTCATCGCGCCATGGTCGTCTGTTGCGTGGCTTGCTGAACCTGGCCCTGACCCTGCACGCGAGTCCGCACGATGTAGTCCTGGTTCTCGATCGTCACGCTCTTCGTCATGTGGTTCACCTTGTAAACACCAACAAGACGGGCAGCCAGCTCGAACATGTTGTTTCGGAGCGAAATGACAATGAACTGGGCGTTCTTCGTGCGCTCCTTGATGTAGTTGGCAACGATTGAGACCTGGGAGTGACAAAGTTAGCAGGGATGAAGAGCGACAGGAACCAATGGCGAAGGGGTGAACTTACGTTTCTGAAATCCAAGGCAGCATCAATCTCGTCCATGACGTACAGAGGCGTCGGCTTGTAGTGATGCAGAGCAAAGACAAGCGCCAAACTGCTGAGCGTCTTCTCACCACCAGACAAGTTGCTGATGTTCTTCCATGACTTCTTCGGAGGCATGACGCTGAAGAGGATACCTTCGCTGAACGGGTCGAGGGAGTCGACCAACTCAAGCTCGGCGTTACCACCCATGGTAATCATTTGGTACATCTCCTTGAGGCGGAGAGAGATTGTGCTAAAGCCCTCCATGAAGCCTTCCAGACGCAAGCGGCGAAGCTCATCGCAGCGCTTCTTGGCAGTGTCGCGCTGGCTGACGGCAGTCTGAAGGTCGGATGAGCGGGCGGCGTGCTCCTCAACACGGCGGCGGTATTCGGCGAGAACACCGAGATCGACGTTGACGTTTTGTGTCTTCTCTTCAAGGGCGGCAATTTCTCCCTTGAGCTTCTCCTTGCTCATATCCGCCAGTTCATCTGGGGTGTAGACAGGCAGCTCGAGTGCTTGGCTGCTTGGCTGAGATGGCAGCTGGGACTCGTCAGACTCTGCGTCCTCTTCCTCGTCCTCGGCTTCGGCAGGTGGCTGGGAGTCCTCGCCAGTGACAGCATCCTGGGTAACTGTCTTGTCACCATCGGTTTCTGCGTCGGCCTCTCCCTCGGCAGCTGCCGGTGCAGGGGTGGCCTTGGGGGCAGGGTTGGAGGGTCCGGTCAGGTCGTCTACGTTTTGAAGCACCAGCTTAGACAGCTTGTCGTTCCAGTACATGAGTCTCTTCTGGTTCTCAGTCAGGACCTTCTGGTTTTCCTCAAGCTTGTTGCGCATCTCGATCTCGCTGGCCCGAGTAGCATTCAACTCCGAAGTCTTTTCATCGAGCTCGGCCTTGAGGGATGTCAGCTCTCGTTTCTTAGCTGCTAAACCCTCCTCGGCCTCTTCGACTTGGCCTTGAAGAGACTCAGCCTTCTCGCCTTGGTTCTCGATCTCGTGCTCGAGCTTCTCAAGATCGCGGATCGCAACCTCAATGTCCTTGGTGGCCTTGGTGTGATCCCTCTCAAGCTTAGTCTTTTGCTTCTCGGCCTTGACTTTGCGGACTTCAGCGTTGGAAGTCTCCTCGTTTTGAGAGACAATCTCTTCCTTGAGAGAGTCGACGTTGGCCTTTTGCAGGCGAAGCTTCTCACCACCAACCTGCATAATCTTGTCTTGCAGAGCCTTGATCTCTTCCTCAACTCCAGATGTCTCGTCGTGGAGCTTCTCGACCTCCTTGTTGAGCTTGGCAATCTCCTTGCGAAGAGCCGCGATGCGGTTGTTGTCCGAAGCGGAGGGTTGGTGCTCTTTGCTCAGCTCCTTGATGCGACGATGGGCATCGGCCAGGTTCCTTGCCGCGCTCTCGATTTCAAGGGTGATCTTCTGCATCTTAGTGTCGAGCATAGGAATCTGATCGTTGAGTTCGCGGAGTCTTGTCTCAAGCTCGCGCTGCTGCTCTTGGAAGTCTTGGAACTTCTCCTCGAGAACATCGCGGTCTTCCTCGAGCTTCGAGACCTGCTCCTTGGACGTCTCAGCGACAAGCTTCGAAGACATCAGACCTCGCTTGACAGTCGTGCCACCACCAGACATAGTACCAGACTTGTCGATCAGCTCGCCGGCCAAAGTAACCACGCGCCACCTCCTAGCGCCGTAGGCAATTCTGTTGGCCTGGGCCAGGTCGTTGGCCACAAGGGTATCCTGAAGGGCGTGGTAGAATGCTGGGCGGAACCTCTCCTCCTTGGGGTTAACCAGGTCGAAGAGACGAGGCGCATTCTCGGGAGTCTGAATGGCATTCATGTCTCGAACTCTCAGCTTGTCCAAACACATAAAGTTACCACGACCCAAGTTGGTCTTTCGAAGGTACTCAATGCATTGTTGACCGGCCTCAACAGTATCGGTGACGAAGTTGTCGAGGGCGCCGCAGGCCGTAGAGATGGCCACATCGTACTTTTGGTCGATTGCGCCCAAGTTGCCCAGTCTTCCGTGGAACCCGTCGATACGACCGGATTCGCGCATGCGCATCAGAGCGGTGAGAACGTTGCCCTGAGTCTGCGTCTTAGACAAACTCGAGCGAGCCTCGTCCGCCTTTTGTCTGGCGTTAGACACTTTGGCGCGAATCTTGGGTTCGTGGGCATTGAATCGAGTCAACTCGTGCTCGGCCTCCTTCCTCTCTTCCTCAAGTTTGGCCTTTTCGGCCTGGCACTCCTTAAGTTCCTCAGTCTTGGCAGCGCGAGCATCCTCGATGGCGGCGATCTTTGCCTCCGTCTCAGAAATGGCCACAGCACCGGCGTTGGCCTTCTCCTCGAGGATGTTCATCTCGCTCTCTGCGACAGCAATGGCCGACTGCTTCTGGTTGATTTTCTCCTTCCACGGCTCCAATGACTTCTGCTTGACTGCGATCTGATCGGAGAACTTTTGGGTCTTGCCCTTGAGGCCTTCACGGATGGTGGCGAGCTCGGCCTCCTCTTCCTGCACTCTAATCTCGAGTGAAGCGATTTCTTGGGCACGGGTCTCAATCTCCTCGGCACATTGGGCGACAGTCTCGTCTGCTTCGGCGGCTGACTTTTCGGCATTGGCGATGGTCTTGTCCAGCTTCTTCTGCTTGTCGTTCAGGAACTTCTTCTTTTCGTCAAACTTGACGCGCTCTTGCTCGAACTTGGCCATCTCCTTAACAAGGGCCTCGGTTTCCTTTGCTTGCGCCTCGAACTCCTTGCTTCCACGAGAGTATGACTTTTGGAGTTCCTTGATGACCTTCTCGCCGCCATGGTGCTTCTCCAACTCGTCGTCGAGCTGCGCCTGCATCTGACTAATGGCCTCCTCGGTGACGGCTACGTTGTCGTTGCATTCGCCAATGTAGAGCTGGTACAGGGCAGATTTCTTGGTTGTGAGCTCGTTCTCGTCGCGGATGTATGCGATAGCCTTGTTCTTCTTGTCTTCGAGCCCGTTCTTCTCCTTCTCAACGTGTTGAACGCGACCGCTCTTCTCCATGCAGATTTCGTTGAGAGTCTCGACCTCCGTAGCAGACTCCTCAATGGGCGCCTTGTACTTCGAAGTGCCGATGATATCCTCCAGGTATTCGAGAAGACCGTCGTCGTGTTCGTTGGCGGCCTTGGGCTTCATCTGGGCGATAGACTCAACCTCACCCTGCAGGATAAGGAAACGCTTGTGGTCAAGATCGATGCCGCGGTCGCGAAGGAGGGTAGTAACTGTGGTGAAGTTGGAGGTTTTGCCGTTGATGTAGTAGTTGCTAGAGTTGTTCTTGAAGGCTTTTCGCGAAATGATGAGATCGGAATCGGGAATGACTTCGTGACCACCACCGGGCTATGTATGGTTAGCGACTATTTGTGCGCAGCATTTGATGCAACATACCTGGTCCATGACTTCTCTAAAGTGCACAGAGACCTCGCAATGATCCAGATTCGGGTGCTGCGCTGAGTTGTGAATCAAGGCAGAAAGCTTGCCCTGACGCATCTTGCTTGCGCGAAAGCCAAAGACGAACAAGAGAGAATCGATAACGTTGGACTTTCCAGAACCGTTGGGGCCAACAACGGAAGAAAAGGATCCGTGAAAAGGACCAACTTCCTGACGACCAGCATAACTCTTGAAGTTGGTAAGAATCAGGTAGGAGATAACCAGACGAGGCTTAGGAGTTGTGTCCTCGACCACTGGCACGGTCAGGGTGCGTGACTTCAAGACGATGTCCATTGGCTTCTCCATCACCGTGTCCATTGCGCGGACAGGCTTGAATGTGGCTTGTTTCTCATCGGCGACGGGTCTCTGCTCGTTGACCGAAGAAGCTGTGATATCGGCAAGAGGTTCTCCATGCACCCGGGAGGGCTCGGGAGTAGCGGGTGGCTTGGGTATGGATGCCGGTGTCGCGGAGTTGGTGGAAGCTCTAGGTGCAGCGCTCATCCTGGGCTTTCTGGGAGAGGGCTTTCGGGCTGAGGATGGCGGCTCCTTCTTGCTGATAGTCTGATCGGGGTCGAAGATTTCGCTGGGCTCTATTGAGGGAGCAATTTCATGGGCCGTGGGGTCTTCGGCAATAGATGTCTCATCCGCGACAGACGGTTCCTCCACAGCTGAAGGCTCCTCTACTGCCGAAGGCGCCTCTGGGATGGACGTCACATCTGCAACCGAAGTCTCTTCCTCAAGTTTCGTAGGCTCCTCGGTCACAGTGGTGTCGGCATTCTTCTTAGGTCTGCCGCGGCGGCGAGGTGCTATCGGAGCAGGCGTAGACGAGGGGGCGGCGCTCTTGCGGGCGCGTGTTGGTCGGCGCACTGGGCTTTTCGATGGCTCGGGGGCGAACTCCTCCTCGCTCTCTTCCTCTCTCTTGACGGTGGTGTTTGCGATCTCATCCTCATCGGATGAGTCGACGATAGCCTGGCGGCGCGTCGCACGGCGCGGGCGGGCCGACATTATGCTTGTGGTAAGGTTGTGGGTTAGTCGTATGTGAAGCGAATAAACGCAGAGACGAAGGTGCGTAGGGTATATCAATCAAGGTGACAAGAAGCCAAGCAAGAATGAAAAAAGAAATGCAGCAGGCGCAAAGTGGTGCCGCGGTAACAGAATTTGGTGATGTCGGATGCGAAAAGGGAAAAGGGAAAACGCAATTGTGTTGTTTGCTTCCACACTTCCCCCACTTTGATTTGTTTGAATCGCTCACCGATTAGGCCGATTGTAAACAAACAGCCCACACCGCCCGCCCCCACCCGCCACAAGGCTGCGGAGACACGTCAAGTCGCGACTGTGGCTGGTGCTCTCTGTTTTCTGTGGCTGAAGCTCTGCATCGATCTTCCCCGGCGCAAAGCCGTCGCATTTCATCCCGCCAACTCAAAAAAGACCAAAACACACTCAACCCGAATTCGCAATACGCCTGTTGTCCCACGCATCTTGCCGAGGCATTGTCAACTCTCACGTCAAGATGTTCGACTACACCAACTTCGATCACATATTTGGCGCTGAACAGTTCCCTTACGATCGCAAATCTGTCCAGGAAATCGACACCTACCGCAAGAGTCTTGATGGCGCCCTTTTCATCGACAGGGTCCTGAAGGCCCTAGGTCTCACCAAGTGTATGCGTCCGTCCGGTTGCCTCGAGACCTTCTTTGACTAACATCGGACAACAGCCAAGACGTATCCTCCCAAGACCGAGAATGCACTGCGCACCCTACACCAGCAGCTATGCGAAGCCACCATGTCAACGCACCATCGACTATCCATCTTCTACTACATTCTCCTCGACTTTGACACGAGCCAGACTAGATCCCAGGCATCGTCGAAGTTTGCTGTGGAGTCTGGTGTTCCCAAGAACTACCAGATCTTCATGAAGGGCCTATGGTTACTGGACCATCAGCAGTTTGAGGTACGCTCATGTCTCTTGTTAACAACATGCACTTCACCTACTGACGACTTGGACTACCAACAGAAAGCACTCGAGTACATCGCGCACCCTTCCCTTACTACCGACTTCGCCGATGAGATCATGACAGCACTCGTGCGCAATGCCCCCGACGGCGACTACACCTTGCCTCTGTCATACTTCCACACCGTTCAGCCGATCCTCAAGACCTCCGAGGCGCTGGAGCTCCTCTTCGATGCCATGTCACGAACTAGCGTCACCGAAGCTCTCTACTTCTCCAGAACACATGCCGATGCTGTCAGGGCGCAGCTGTTCCGTCAGCTTGTCTCCAACGTGATTGGTGCCCCTGCGAACGAGGAGACAGCCGCGCGATCTACCGAGCTCATTGGCTTGCCATTCGATGCCGCGGAGGAAGCTTGGTTCGAAGACTTCCTCTCCCGTGAAGACGGAAACAAACTCAAGAGGGCTCGAGACACACTCCTCGTGAGAAAGCTGGTGACGGGCCGGCTAAGTGAAGCTGTGCAGGACAAGAACCATGGAGGCGGATGGGGAGTGGTCCTGGAAGGCGTCAAGAGCGGCTTGGGTGGCCGGGCAGAGTGATGGCCTGTGCATCTTTTGGGGCGACCGATGTATGCTCTGTACCATCACGAAGTCGAACGATTGTTTTAAGCATAGCGTTGGCGTTTGGGCATTGCCCTTCAAAATTTCAATTGGAATAAGAAGTAGGGCGGAAAATTAGATTGGTTACATATCGGTCCATGCCTAATGACTTGAGCAAAAGAATATCCCCAGCATGGGCATCCTGTCATGCGTTTGTTGAAATGTGACTGTTCACCTCGGTGACGCCAAGGTGTGACTGTACCACCGAGAATACACCGAAAAATCCCGCGAATGACTAAGCCCCGCGTCGAGTCACACCTTGCGGGTTCCCCCGGCCGCCCGCACCGCCCGCCCACACCATGGAGGTCGCTCGGCGTCAACCGCTTGCGCCGCCTTACACCAAAGCTCCCGTCCTTCACCGTCTCTCATCTCGCGCGCTACTTCTCACTTTGAACCTCCAGTGACAGCGATCTGCGGTGATGATGCTTCGTTCGCTTAACGCCTCTCCATCTCTTGTTCCGTTCGGAGTCACCATTGCGTCGGGACGATGAGCAACCCCGCCAAAGGCGTCAAATTTGTCGGCTCCGACTCTTCGGGGCTTCCCTTGAAGCGGAAGCAGGTTCTGCAGGCCTGCGAATCATGTCGCAGAAAGAAGGTCCGCCCAAATGAAAACCGATTCCACTCGACCAAAAAGCATTTCTTCTTACATGACAATTATAGAAACGCTGCATCCATGGGGAGCCTCCGCCGTTGGACCACGCGCATGACGGGTGTGCGGGTTCTTCGCCGCCGGATAACGCTGGGTTGGTTTCCTAATCAGGCAACATTGGGGAATCTCTTTTACTGACTGAAACCCTCTTCCAAGACAACATGTCGTCGCCGTCTCCGGTTCACCAAGCAAACATCGTCACTCGGCGTCCGTGACCGCTGATGCCGTGCTGACCACGACCCCTGCCCGCCGTGAGTCTGCCACGGCGGGCTATTCGGAGCCAGCGCAGACTCCACAGACGCGCTTCGTTGGCGATCTTAACCCGGAGGGCATGTTCGCCGAGGCCGCCGACTCAGATCCGGCCGCCAACCCTACGCAGAAGGCCGAAGTGGGTGTTTGGCTCCCGTCTCTCAACGCCGCTTCGGCACAGTCGACGACGTCGGTTGTCTCGCGTCCGTCTGCTATTATCGACAAGGTCTTGCTGCCTTATGTTAAGCAGAATTGTCTCACCTGCGTCCCGCCGGAGAAGGACTACAAACATCTCCACAAGGTGTATCGAGAAAAGATCCACCCCATTTTCGGGCTTGTCCCCGACGACAGCCTTGATGATGGCGATTCCGCAGCAGCTATTGTCATGCGACAGGTGGTATGTCTGGCTGCTGCGACTGACCCCGACATGAAAAGCCACTTGCGCCTCGCTACGCAGGGGAACAAGAGGCTCTCATACCAAGACTTCTCTCAGACGTTATCTAGCTCTATCCGGGCCATCCTGGATACGAGTTTGATCTCGGACCGGACGGTACACATTCGTGCCTTGTGCATGCTGTCACTTTATGCTCAGCCTTCTGGTGCCGATGAAGCAGACTTGCCCGCTCAACTCGGCGCCAGAGCGGCGCACCATTCGCAGACTCTCGGGCTGCACCTCTTCCACTCTAGCAATGACTCTCTCGATACCCTTTTCTGCGCTGTTTGGGCCCTGGATCGTATTAACGCAGCAACGTACGGAAGACCCTGCGTCTTGCATGAGGGTGACATTGGTCCCGGTCTAGACGACTGTTTCCGGAGACAAGCGCCCTGCTTCCAACTCTTCCTATCGGTCGTGCAGTGGCTGGACAAGGTGATTGAGCTCTACCGTCCAGGTGTCATTGCTCAGTCACTTGAAGCAAAACCATTTATCGATCTCCCTGTCTTGGAACCCATGATCCTCGAAGCCAATGCTTTACAGGTCCCCACACCGTTGCTTGGTATGTCGAAGAAGCTCTCTTTTTTCCCCTCGTCGACGTAAGATGTTAACCTTCAAAAGCGACGATCGAGGTCTTTTACCACGCCGTGATCATCCTATCATGCCGCCTATCTCGACCCGGTCCCCCAGCACAATACGCATCATCAGTACCACCGCCCTCAGCAAACGCCCGCCGCTCCCTCGCAGCCGAGCGAATATCCTCCGCCATCCGCCGCGATCACCTAAGCCCAGTCCCCCTCGTCCCATACGCTCTCTCCCTAGCCCTCAGCGTCGAGTACCGCAAAATGCGACACAGCGCCCTGCCAATGTTTCGTGCCCGCGCTCGTAGCGCGTTCAAGTCCAACTCGGAGCTGATGAAGAGGTTCGGCGACGTTTTCTGGAGCGCACGGGTCGTCGCGGGTTTAGGCGAGCGTATCCTGCGAGAGATGGAGCGGGCTGCCAATTCCCTTGCCCAAGAAGGGGGCGCGGCTTTGCCGACGGCTGCCATTGTTGACGTGCCTACAAATGGGAAACTCGATGAGCCTGTAGTGGTTGACGGAGCGGCGGCCGAACCGCCGTCGGCTCCTGTGGCTCCTGCGCCGACTACTGAGCTTCCGGCGTTGGAAGCCATTGACTTTTCGATTGTCGATGCGATGCCACATCTCGACGTCTTTGGCCACTTCGACCCGAGCTTCAACCTATCGGCTGTTGATAATGCTCTGGAGGCTAACCTCGACATAGGCCTGCCCCTGAACTGGGGAGAATGGGACCAGTTTGCCGGTTGAAGAGGACGCTCTACCTAGCTGCACATTCTTGTTCACCAACGCTGATGAGCAGGCCTCAAACCCCGGGTTTTAGGCCTCCCAACGCCCGAGATGTATGGATGTTACTTCAATCAAGGCTGCCGCCAGGCTATGTCTTGGGGCTGCTCGTACAGATTACCCTAACCAATGACCTGCCACTGACTCGCACCCAGTATATCTCGCGTCTGCCGGTCACATCAGAGGGTCTTCACATGATGCCGGCTGGAACGCTACACATCTGTATCAGAGTAGACCGGAAGGTCTTAGGCTTCGCAGAACGTAGTGGGCTACTATCTTGCTTGCAGGATGGGGCACTGGCGAGCACCAGCGGCCGATAAGACTCGAATTGCCTGGCAAGCATTCTTGGATTGGTCTCCATGTAACCAAGACATGATTCTATGCATCGCCAAAAACATCAAGCGGTCTCGAATTTTAGAAGCGATGCGATTGAAGAAGTAAAGCATCACATGGCTACCATGTACCCAGCTATGTAACTCGGCCACTATCCGTCTTTGAAAAAAAAGAAGGTCGGAACCACAAACCAACAACATCTTCACTGCTTCACATCGCGGTGATCAATCAAGCCAGTTTCTCTGTCCCTCGTGAGCACATGACGGCAAGATCAATAATAAACCCAAAAACAAAAATGAGCTGTCTGTGGCATTATGTAGGACAACCAATTTAATGAGTACAACCGTACTCGAACTCGCAGCCCTTGCGGGACCCATTACGCATTTACAATTCCACCACTAGGTCATATACACTTAAGACAGTGCTCATGCCTTCTCCAGCAATTCTTTCACCTAGAAGGGTTCACCGTAGGGGCTTGCGAAAAGTTGTGAATATCCTCAATCAGGTACGTACTCAGACGGAATACGCTGACGTCTCTCGACCAATCAGCAGCCAAATGCATGATGCTTTCATCTCGATGACTAAGCCTTGACAATTTCCACTTTATTTTGCCGATGGTCCGGTCGCCACCCTCCGCTGACCACGGGGAAAGCTTCAAAGCTTCTCGTGGATTATCAATCGGCAAACTATCGCACACAGGGCCTGCGCCTTTCGCTCTCCTTTCCTCATGAGCTTCTTGCATTGAACACCTCGTTGAACATGGCTCCGCCTCTGAACTTGCTCATTCGCGCCCTCGTGGCCTTCGAGGACGTACTTATTCGCCAGGTGTGCAACTCCCCATCCTCCCCGCCATACGCAGCGACCTAACCTCGAACTCCAACACACAGATCCTCAGAAGTCCCGGCTTCCACCGCGGCGTCGGCCGGATTCATCGATACGTCGACGAGAAGCGGAACGGGCCTATGCCGCATGAGCCGCTGCGGCAAGGACAGGCGACTGGTACGTGGGGATTCTGTTTCCACTGGGAGAGAGACACTTGGAGAGTAGGTAGCTAACATCTCGGATATAGCGAACCCTGAAGACCGAGGGTTTTTGCAGTACTTCATCGAGGAGTTGAAGAATCAGTTTCGGGGCTCGTCGAACCCACCCCCGCCACCTGGACCGCCGAAGCGATGAATGTTCGATTTGATAGAGCAGTACACAATGGGGTGGCCTGAGAAGCATATTTACGAGACAGGAATACATGGTCTAGTCGATGTTCGCGTCTAGACCGAAGCCAGCCCAATGCTGACATGACGTCCCAAGGACAGCCTCGACGGAGCCTCCGGAGCGAAGGATACTGCGCTGCAAAGCGCTTACTTGGTCGTGCCACGAGGACGTGCCAAACCCCTACTCAACCACCACCTATTACGATGCAGCGGTCATAGGATTGTCAGCATTGTCCGCGTCTCCCTCTCCCGGTATTACCAGGAGTCCACAACAGCGAGCCTCCGGGGAGCCGAACTTGAGCAACGCCGAGCTGTCAATGCGACAACTAGAGGTCAGCAGACTACTCATCACGGTAGCTATAACGATGTTCAACCGAGATGGGGCAGCAGGAAAAAGGCTGCCCGTTGCGTGATCAGACCAAAGCGGCTTGGCGCTTTGGATACGGGGCCGGCAATCCGGGTCGGATACCTCGCCGGGAGCAATCTACAACACAAGAGCTGCTGAGTGCATTCGTCTGATGTTGACGACTGCACCCCAGGCCATGACTCGGAAGAACCCGAGCAGCTCACGGATATCCCTCACCATACGCAGGCGAATAATTGCCTTATTGAGACACTCAGTAGCGAATAGCATCATGATCCGAAGAAGAAAACAAGCTTTCCAGATTGGGGGTTCCTTCAATCTCTCCGTCCCCATGTTGTGAATCAGATACTAGGTGACAACGGTCAAGAGTCGAACATGTCAAACCAATTAAGCAACTTTATGCTGCTCGCTTCCAAATAAGCGCAAATTGACTCCCAACCGCGACCTCAATCTACGCAGCCTGCCCCTGGCCTCTGATTGAGGGGTAAGTCGGGGAACGGAGGCAACAAGCAAAGTTGCCTCTTTCGGCCAGCCTTAGTTTACGTGATACAACCCTCCTTGATGTCGTGATATTTCCTGTTCAGGGACTCTGAGAGCGACACTCCGCCCTCAAAAGAGAATAGACATTGCCCGCATGCCAAATCCGGGGTCTCTCTGCATCTTCCGTATCTTTTATCATCAACTTTCGGAGTAACTTCCGCTCGCTTCGCCGCAGCCTTCGTAGCTTTTCAGCTCGTTCCATTCGTTAGATTCATAGTCAACATGACCTCACGCGATTTTCCACCAAGCGCAATGCTGCGCACTTTGGCAGTAGGCCTGGCCTTGTAAGTCAAGTTCCGGTCTGCTAAGAGGAGTGGTTCCTTGGTATGTTTGAGTATGGACGAGAAGCGAGTGCTTCGGCATTCGACGTATAACCAGCCAGGCTCCCTCGAGACAAGTCTACGAATTCATGTTCTACTGGTCCTGTAAACGCGGCAACCAGAATCCTTCATCTCTCACGATGAGATCAGCCATTAGCCTCGCCATGCTGTTGGCACTGGTCCAGACAACTCTCGCCCAGCAAACTCCGTACGGCCAATGCGGTGGTAGCGGCTGGACGGGACCGACCATATGTACAGCCGGATGGCATTGCGAAAAGGCAAATGACTGTAAGTCTCTAGCTATCAGTCTCACGAACAACAACTGAGTCCGATAAACAGGGTTTTCACAGTGTCTGGAGGGAGCTGGCTCGCCCTCCCCAACCACCCTTCTAACGTCATCCTCGAAGCCCCCCACTGCTGGAACAACTACCACTTCACGCGCGTCAAGCTCGTCTCAGTTAACAAGCTCTGTTAGATCTTCGTCTGCCAGCGCCGCGCCAACGGCTTGTTCTGGCTCCTTTAGTGACATCTCAGGGGCGGATTACGTCAAGGTCATGAACCCGGGTTGGAATCTGGGCAACACTCTTGATGCTATCCCCAACGAGGGGTCTTGGAACAACCCGCCTGTCGTCGAGAAGACGTTTGACGATGTCAAGGCTGCGGGATTCAAGAGCGTCCGTATCCCTGGTAGGTCCACGTCCATCTCGGCACTCGGTCAACGTCGCGACATGCTCATGATTCGGCAGTCACCTACAGTGACCACTTCACCAGCGCAGCTCCCAACTACACCGTCGACGCGGCTTGGCTGCAGCGCGTGTCGGATGTCGTTGATATGGCCACTGCCCGGGGCCTTTACGTTCTCACAAACGTCCATCACGGTAAGAGCACCCAGTCCGATCCATCCTTCGTACCAGTAGGCTTACACAACATGCAAAGACTCCTGGAACTGGGCCGACGTGACCAAAGCAACCACAGACGCAGAAATCCAAACTCTGAATGACAAATTCTACAACCTCTGGCTTCAAATCGGCCGCATGTTGGCCTGCAAACCCAACCTTGTCTCCTTTGAATCAATCAACGAACCCCCCGCCACAACAGCCGACCACGGCGCCCGTATAAACACCCTCAACGACCTCTTCCTCAAAGCCCTCGCCGACAGCGGTGGCTTCAACACGCGCCGCGTCGTCAACCTCGTCGGCGGCGGCATGGACGCCACCAAGACGACGCAGTGGTTCAAGGCGCCCGTGAGCATCAAGAACCCCTGGGTGCTGCACTACCACTTCTACAGCCCCTATGACTTTATTTTCTCCGCGTGGGGTAAGACCATTTGGGGCTCGGATGTGGATAAGGCTGCGATGAGGAACGAGATGGCGATTGTGAGGGGCAACTTTACGGATGTGCCGTTGGTGATTGGGGAGTTTGACGCGAGTCCGCTGAATACGGAGCCCGCTGCGCGATGGAAGTGGACGGATCAGTTTGTGAGGACGGCGGCGGAGTTGAATACTGCTGTTGTGATTTGGGATAATGGCTTGGATCACCTTGATCGCAATGCGCATGCCTGGCGGGATCCGACTTCGCTCGGCATTGTGAATACCGCCGTCAAGGGGACTAAGAATTCCTTGCCAGATAGTACTGTCGACGCATCAGCTACGACGCAGTCATCATCAGCGTACGTTTGGAACAAAGTTGGAATTGCGGCAGCGGATCAGACGCTTCCTTGGTTGTTCAACGGCAACACCCTTCAGTCGGTGAAGACCACTTCGGGAACCACGCTGGCTGTGAATATGGATTACACCGTGTCGGCTTCATCGATCACATTCAAGGCGCCGTTCTTGTCGAAGTACTTGAATGCTGCCGCTGCGCCAGGGAGCAAGGCGAACCTGACCTTAGCTTTCTCTGCGGGAACCACGTCGCAGGTCGAGCTCCTGCAGTGGGATGTCCCGGTAGTGGATGCAACAAGCTCCAAGGCCGTTGCGGGCGCGGACTTGAACATTCCCATCACATACAAGGGCCTCAAGACGGTTGCTGCTGTCAAGGCTTTGCGAAGCGATGCGGTCTACTTATTTGATGACTGGACACAGTACCTTAGCCCGTTGCAGCAAGCTCACATTGTAAGTGAAGATCCCCGACTTTCTCCTGAGAACATGGTCTTGTGGGATGAAGGCGATGAAAGAGTACAAACTGACATTGAGGATAGACATTCAGCGGACAGTGGAACTTTGACGGTGCCAAGATCATCCTGCCTTCTGCTACGGTTCAGGCTGTTATTTCCGCTGGCAAGGCGACGACGTTCACGTTTGAATTCTATCCAAGGGTTCCCGGGAACAACGTCACTTATACTCTGAGCCCATGAGTGCGTGCCAATGCTAAAGCTGTCTTATGAGTTATGAGCTTTGGGCAGTCATCATTGAATACAAGTGAAAGCTCGTCAAGTGCGTTTTCTGAGTCTTTGTAAATATCCTAGTTTACTTGCTCTGTACATAGTTGATCGCAATCGCTTCTCCATACGTCTAGACGGTGTACCCCTGACTCCAAATGCTAGCAGACCAAGTTGGCCTCATTGTGGGGTCACATTTGTCATGCGGAGTGATTGATGGAAGCCCAACCAACGTAATACTCGCAACATCATCAACTTCTCCTTATCCATCAATCCCCTCTCAGCCACAGCATATCATCCTCTCGTCTGACGTTATATCCTCAAAAAAAAGTAAGAATGCACGGCACGAAGGCATATTGGGCATCTCTGCCGCCGGAGTTACAGCTCCATATCCTGGAACACCTCGCGAATGCCCACGGCTCTCCCACCTTACCGCGTCGCGGAATAGCCCGCTTCGCCAGCGTATCCAAAGACTGGCAAGAATTCTTCGAGGAAACAACATTCAAATGCTTCGTTTTGCGGCTGCGAGATCTCATTCCGTTCCGACAGCACACGCAAAGCCCCAGGCGGCGCGGCTATGTCCGGCATATCTGTCTCCGCCTCGTGGAGCCCGACCCCGAAGACGAGGACCCGGCTATACCCTGGAATCAGTCGAGGAGCCCCTTCGGTCCCGCTACGCTGTATCTCTGGGATACTCTGTCGTCATGGGGAGTTCAGGAATCCAGGGAAGGGTTGACGCTCGAGATAAGCTCCCATACCCTGGCGGGGCTCAGCACATACGCCAATTGTATGCCCAAGGACGACGTGAATCACTATTCAAAGCATCTTGAGACGGGAAATCTTGCGCAGTATGATGATATTGAACCCTTCGGTCACACGGGCCCGCTCTGGTTTACCCACATAGGTCAAAGTACCTCGATGCTCTCTGGAGCTGTACAATCCCTATTTTCATACGACGTCAGGCTAGGCCGTATACGGCTACCATCCGTACAGGTGGTCACTAAATTGCTTACAAGGAGGGCAAACACACGCAATCTTCGCCCGGATTCTTTGGACCAAATCATCAAGAGTCTTCCTCGCTTAAAGGAGATCCATGTCGAGAGATGGCGGCTGCGTAGCGAATACGAGGAGAGACGTTGGCTTAAAGGTAAGATTTATTGTCTGCGAATGCCACATGTGACGCTTTATTCTTATTAATGCGATGATTGATGTTCTGTGAATCTATCCAGGCCTCAATGACATATGCCGGGATGGCTTTCCGGCTTCGGTCAAGAAGTTTGCAATCTTACATGAAGCGTCACATACGCCATACTTTTCGCGTCTTTTTTCGGAGAGGATTCAAAGTGGACAGGGGAGAACTCTCAGGCTCTATGGTCCAAGGGTGCCTTCTCCTAGAACATCTGGCGCTGCGTTTCATCGTCGATGCCGACGAGTTCCTGAACAACGCCCTTGGGTTCCCGAAACTGAAATGGCTCTCTCTAACTGCCGAGGTGTTCCGTGGCGAAAGCCGCGACAGCGACATAGAAATTGAGCGGCGCATAAAAATCAAGACGTTGCTTTTGCTGGCTGCGTTGGCGGCTTGCCGGATGCCGAAGCTGGAGCTCATGGAGATTTGGAACGGCCGAAATGGGCAGGCTAGCTTATTCCGCTACAAGATTGCCACTGGGGTTGCTGAGATCACTTGGAAGAGCACGTATGGAGATGTTATCGTCGATGACGATGTCGTCAAAGCTTGGGAGGCGACAGCGAGGGTTCATGGGAGAAGTGACCTGCGGAGCTCGGTCACGCGGCTAGAGGACGGCCACTACAGATACTATGGCTCTTTGTTGCCGCACTTGGAGTCGAAGGAGCACTTCATTCATGAGGTGTCTGCTGCTCAGATGAAGTAGACTGTTTACAAGCGAATTCAAAGGGGGGAAGTCATATAAGACCAGCTCCCATGCGGTTGACCGAAAATGGACTCGTATCAATGCCACGGATTAATGCAGCCAGTAATTTCTGTGATTATCGTCAGTAGCCGGATCTTGTAATGCAAAACACAAAAGTCGCTTGGCCCATACACAAGTTAAAATCTCACTTTGAACCGAGCTTTCGTGAACATTGAATATCAAGGTCAAGAGGGTAAACGCAGGATACAAAATGTGTAGCAGCGACATGACATTTCAAGCTGAACCAACTTAGACTATTACCACTCTGCCCGTCTCACTTGCAAACGTCCTATTTCCGAACATGATCTGATGAGGCCGACCGTTTTCATGCACCATTGCGATGGCCAGAAGTGTAGTGGTATCGTCGGCCGAACTTTTCCGCAACACCACCGGCCAAATCATACCGTCAAGGACCCAAACCTCATCTCCAAAGTGCGCAATGCTCGTCGTCGTAATCACTCTTTGGCCATCCGAACTGGAAAAGGACTTCCAGGGCAGGAACCCATCGTGGCCCCTGTCGAGGGCGCTTCCCAGAATGTCAACTCGGGTTCCCGCAGCGTCGAGGACTCTTCTCTCATTTCCATGTCTGTCTTTCAAAAAGTTCAGAGAGGCTTTGGAGCCATGACTTGTGCCTGCGCAACACGTGGGCGGCAGCTCCAATGCGTCGATAAACTTTTGCCTCTCGATATTCTCCCGCTTATCCCAGTCCGGGACCCACGATGGCAGTGAATCTTTGCCTTCGGGAAGGTCTCGACTGTATTCCGCCGTCCCTGCTTGCGCCAATATGTCGAGGCCTGCGTTCTCATGTACGACAATCGCACGAGCTACGTCGATGAGGACTGCTTGGATGCTGTAGCTTGGCTCGTACCGGATTGGTACTTGGTTTCCAAGATTGGCCAGTCCAACAAAGGCGTAGAATTTGTCCTTCGGCTGTGACGTTTCTGTGTTTCGTCCATGTTGAAGAAGATAAGAGAGGTTGATCTGATGGTGTTGCCTCTCCCATAGCTCTCTACCCTCGATGACCCTATTGACGAGTGCTCGACTAGTTAGTCTAGCGCTCGTCTTTCTTAACCGCTTGAAATGACTTTTCATCCCTATCTGACTTGTTCTATCACTCAGCTTTTTTGTCTTCCTGGCCTCGTAGCCGGAACAACAAGGGTAGCGAAAGAAGCAACAGCCAATCGCCCAAGGTACAGCGAGCGCTGCGGCTGAAAGGAAATAGGCTAAGCCAATACATGGGGAGCAGCAATAGCGAGCCACACTACGCTTTAAGGATTCATCCTTATGAGAGTCTTCATCATCGCAACATCCACAACATCCACAACATCCAGAACAGCATATGCAGCCTGCTGTGCATCCGTCGCAAAAACGGTCTATCATGGGCTTTTGGCTGGCAAAGAGTTTATACCGCCGCATGGTGGCATTGGCTCGGTTCCGATTCTGTAGCGCTTCCTTACATGCATCCATAGTGTCAAATTTCATGAAAAGAGACAAGATTGGTTGGAGCCGATTCCACGGCTTCGAGAGCTTGTCCGAGAAAAGGAAATAGACGTCCGACGCGACAATGAATTCCTGGTAAACCCACGACCTGCTCCACCAAGAATGATTGATCACATAGTTAAGGTCTTCCCAGAATTCTGCTGGCCATTCTGCGTTAATGATATCTTCGAATCTCCGCAGGATGTCAGGCTCAGCTGGCGGGCTCTCGTAGAGCATAGTCGGTGATGGCTCGTACCCCTTCGTCGTCCCAGCCGCCGCAAGACCTGTCAGCCATTCGAAAGCGGGACGAAGGTTCCGTTCTATGGGCATTGACACGTAAACATGTGTAGCATTCCGGTAAATCTCGCGCATGAAGTCGACTTGATGCGATTTCTCTGGTAAATCGCTTTGATTGATGCAAATCTGGTCCACCCATAGTCGTAGGGGCTGCTTCGGTGACCCTTTCTTCCAGAAGCTAGCGGCGTTATCGATTCCCTTGGCGAGATTGGCAAAAATGTTCATCTTTACGCCCTCGATACAGACCGGCACGGTGTCCTTGGGATTGCCCGAGTAGTACGAGATTGCGCAATATTTGCCAGCTTTTGCTAGAGATATCGAGTGGATCATTCGATGGTTATTACCACCTGTGAGGTCAATATCGAGAAGCCGGATCTCCTCATATTTTCTGTCTAATTGTTGGTACTTGAGATTGGCGTAGAAGTCCGAGTTTTCCGGAGTGTAGAAGTTTGTAAAGGGCGCAGGTTTGGGCGCAGACCGTTCGGTCTGAGACTCTAGAGGCTCAGGCTCCGATTGTTCCATCGGGGTCACTATGTGTGGAAACTGAGTTCTCGATGCTGTGATGGCACGACTGCCTTAAGACGACCAAGAGCAAGGCCTAGGACGAGAAGAGAGAAGAGGTTGGTGACTCGTTGGATTGAGAAAGTGAAGTCCGGCTGCACTGCTCTGGATCTGCGGGGAAGCCGGTGCACTTAAACAGTGGTATCATATGATTGAATTGGATTGCTAAGTCACATTGGCTTGGTTTATCTTCCCATTCCTACTCTGAACCCTGCATGACTGCGGCAAGCTGAAATGCAGCTGACGGAAGTGGACCAGTTGATACGTTGATGATTCCCCTTTGGCGTTGGACTTGCAGCTCCCCATGTTCAGGCTAAACTTCTCTCGGAAACTCCAGCCTGCACCAGTACGAATACTGCCTTGCTTCCTGCCTTTATTTCCTCAGCCTATTATCCCGCAACGTGCAATCAACCGTTTGAAAAAGTCGCCTCACAGCGACACAACGGAGAGAACTCTGGAAAGGGAAAAAGAGGGGGGGGCTAACTTCACACGTGCTCATATCGCACTTCTCGGGCGCTGGCCCAATGTTGTTGGTTAGCTCGTACTTATCCCTGTCTTGGGTTGTGAGCCTTACCTTTGCCCATACTAAGGTACCTAGCCTGACTTATGCGCCGTAGACTGTCGTAGACCACAGGTGCGAAAACTGATTGAGGGTTTTTAGTCCAAGTAGAAGCCGCTCACAGACAGCTCCGGATCACGCTGCTTGCAACTGTTCAAGGGGGGTTGAAAACTGCTTGCCAACCTTCACGACTATTACTTCGACTCTTGACAACCGCTAGATCTCAGATCCCCTCTGACTTTCCAGGGCAAGCTTCCTCAACTCTTCCACCGCCTCCTCCTCCCTCCCAAGGGGAACAAACAAATGATCATGATAATACCCGCTGACAGGATTGACCCCCATCCCTTTGGCCGCCAGCCTTGTCGCGATAGCAGCCATGAACCCCACAGCCTCGAGGCTCGAGTGCACATTGAGCGTTATCATCTTTGAGGGGAACGCATAGTCCCATCCGTGAGCAGTTGCGGTATCGAGAGAAGTGATGATTGTGACACCCTCGGACTCTCGGAATAGAAGTTGAATCTCGGAGAGGGGCGGTAGTGTTGCATCTGCGGGAAGGGTGACGAAGACGTAGGTTTCTGGGTGGAGGACGATGTTTAGGGTTGAGAGGAGTGTTTGGAGGGAGGTTTCGCCTATGGGGGTCGTCATATTGAGGTTTGAAGAGTGGTTTTTTTTTTTTTTTTTGGTGGAGGTTCCTGTAGGTAGCTGACGCAAATTTGAGTACGTGATCTCCGAGGCAGGTTGAGTGAGAATCTCTAGCAGAGTCAGTGTGAAGTCTTACCGGCGAGTCGTGACGGCTAGGAAGAGGGGTGGAGGGGCAACTATCAACACTATCTTAGTCAGCATTGATCACAGAGACTTGAACGACCTCAAGCGAGAGCCAAAGATGCTTTAACAAAATGCATGCCAAATCAATCCATTGATAACAACATTTGGACAAGCCTGCCAGAAACTCCCAACACCTTGGTTAATAGACTGAAAACTCCTTGGAGCGTTGTCCTCGGGAGACTCAGAGTGCTTGCCAAACACGAAGTAAAACTTTTCAGAACCAAAAGACATTACAGACGATCGCCGCACCCAAGCCATTTTCACCAGTATTACAATTAACCACACAACACCAATTTCATCTCAATCGAATCGACAACAAAACAAAAGCCAAAACACCCGCCCCAAAGATAATAATCAACAACGCAAGAACAACCGCCAAAAAGGTATGCAACCTCCTCTTCTTCACCCCAGAAGCTCCCAACTTCCGCCGGTACCCCGCGACATCAAAAGACGCGTCACTCTGCACCGAGCCCCGCGAGCCAGGGCGCTCCGTGTACCTGACCTGGTAAGGCGACATGTAACCCTGTTCCTCGTACATTGGCAGTGTGTAATTACTCGAGCACGCACCGGAGCAGGCGAGGCCATCGTGTCCGTAGCGTTGGTAGTGGAGGATGCGGGCGAAGTAGGTCATGTCTGGGACCGAGGGGACTGTGAAGGTGTGGTTTTGGCCAAAGATTTTGGGGGATGGGGTTGTTGATGGGGATGTGGATTTGCGTGTGTTGTTGTTGCGCTCGATTTCGCGGACGAATTTCGCTTTGGGGGGTAACATTTCTGCGGATTGGCGGTGATGGTTGTGATTTGCGCTGGAAGAATGGATTTGGGAATCTTGGGATGCTTGTGAAGAATCTGAGGAAGACATGGAAGGAATTCTGCCGGGAAATTAGATCTTTTGATTTAATTGGAAACTTGTATGGATAGAGAGAGTGAAAAGGGGCTGGGGGAGCCTGTTTTTGATGTTCGTGTAGGACATGTTGTCGGGTTGCGGGCTGGTGTTGCACGCATGCGGCCGTTTTTGTGTTACGCATCATGAAGATAGATGTGATGCGATGCAATGGTGTTGCGGGTGGGTGCGGCAGTTGGTGGTGGGGGGTTTTGGCGTGAACTGTGGAATGGGTGCGGATGCGGCATGGTTGTGAGATGATTGCGTGCGGGATGCGGCCAGAACATCAATTGAACGAGGTCGATAACTTTATTCGATACAGCTTCATTGTTGATCAAGTATTCTCATTGACATTAGGGCTTACAGGAGAGACGAACGAACACTAGTGCTTAGATGACATCTATGATCTGGATATGGCTTCAATTGCGCAAAATCTGACAACTTGGCGATGGCGAAGCGTCTAGACGGTCGATCGCTCACAAAGGTCAGTTGCAACATTTCCACTTTAGCTAGCTTCAATTGCTACCAGACACGATCAAGCTTAAAGCTGTCTTCAGCGATGTGGTCCACGTGTATGCGCATGCGTCAAGCTAAAAGCTCAAATTGAATCCCGTTACATTCCAACGCCCCGCCCGTTCGTCTACCCAAGCCCGGCGAAAGCAAAGATAAGTTTACAAGCGACAAAAGAATTACCGCCGCGACTACCGGCAAACGATTGAAACATGGGCCAAAACGCCCTCCTCTAAATGATGTGAGCGATTCTCGTGCGCCAGACACGCATGTAATGCTTCAATCCAAAGCTCGCACAGCTAGCTTCATGCATCAACCTCATCCTCTTCCAGGAATCCCAGGCCGCTGTCATACCTTCTTCTCTTCCTGCCCGACGACCTCCGCGCCAAATCCCCCGCAAGCAGACCCCTCTTCGCACCCGTCTCCGACCCGCCGGCGACTCCACTTCCCGGCCCCGCACACTCCACTCCGGTCTCCTCCGCCCCGGGTCCCAAAAACTCCCGACTCATCCCAACAACCCTCTCCAACTCCACCATCATCCCCTCAATAACCCCCTTCGCAGCCTCCCTCTCCCTCACCATCTCACCCTCCAAACCCCTCTTCTCGACCCTCAAATCCTTAATCCCCTCATGCGCAGCCCTCAACCCAGCATTCACCCTCTCCAACTCCTCCCTCAACTCCCTAACCCTCGCATCCCGCCCCGCGAGCGCAGCTCCGCCCCGCCTAGTCACCTCAGCAACCTCCTTCGTCCTCGCTTCCTCCGCCACCGTAAGCCTCTTCCGCAGCGACCGGCCCTGCGCCACCGCGTCCGCGAGTTTCGTCTCCAACTTCGCGATGACGTCCTCCTTGGCGCGCAGAACTCGCCTCCCAACTTCAACCTGCGCGTCCTTGGTCGCCATAGCATCGCGATTCTCGCTCTCCATGCGACCTACAACGCCATCTAACTCGGTGATATCACGCACGTAGCCCGCCACCGCGCCCTTGAGCCTCTCAACGCTAAACTCAAGCTCGCCAACGCGGCCCTCCTTCTCCGTGATCGTCTCCTTTGCGCGTTTAAGCTCTTTTTCCAAGTCACCCATCACGGCAACGCGCGCACCCAGTTGTTGGCGGAGAGAGAGCTCTAGCTCATGGTACTCGTCAATCGACGCCTCATCCTCTTTTGCGCGCTTCGCGAGATCACGTAGGCGCGTGAGGAGAAGGTCGAGGACCTCTGCACCGCGGGAGGAGAGGGGGAGGGTGATTTCGCCTGGGGTGAGGTACTCCAGCTCCAGGCGGGCTGTGCGCAGTGCGGCCGAGAGGGAGGTTACGATCTCTGCGCCGTCGGAGCCGGGGAAGCCTAGGGCGCAGAGGGATGTGTTGAGATCCTGCAGCGCGGCGGTACGGTCGGAGATGGTGCGTAGAAGCGCTGTGATTTGCGTCTCGATTGTGGCGATGGAATAATCTGACGCTGTCTCCTCCGGCGGGATGGAAGAAAGCTTCTGGGATAGTCGGTCGGTTAAAGCAGAGTAAGACTCCAACGTCCCAGTAAGCTTCGACATCTCCAGCCTCAGAGAAGCCACCTCCTCTTCGAGCCGCTCCTTCTCAGGATCAGGGAAATCGGCCTGCACCCCAACATCCGACGGCGCCGAAACCACAACCCTCTGCTTCCCTCGATGAGAAGAAGGCGTTGAGGGCCCAGCGGCAACGGGACTCGTCAACGGCGGTGTCAAGAACGAAGACCTCACCCGCGTGGGCGTACTACACTCCATCTCCGCCATCGTCGCCTCCCCAAACACCGTCTCATCAGCATACTGCACCCTCTCCCCGCACACAGACTCCGCCTCGACGGTATCCGTCTCCATGAAGTCATCAGCAAACGGGTCCCGCGCCGCGAGCGTCCAGTCGAAACAGCTCTTCTGCCTAGCAGCGGACGCAATCGCCGCGGGGGACCTGTCCGAGAGCTGGGTTCTGAGATCATCGACTTCCTTTTCGAGGGCCCAGATACGCTCTGTGTCGAGAATGATGGTCGCATTCTGCAGCTCGTAGATTTCCGCGTCCTTTTGGCGGAGTTGATCGCGGAGAAGTTGGAGTTGTTCCTTGGCTTCCTTTGCGTTGGCGCGCTTTTCGGCTGTGATGGTGTTCATTTCTTCGCTGAGGCCATTGCGGCGGATGCGGCGCTGGACGCGGCCTGAGAGGACTTGGCGGAGGGGGAGGAAGTGGACTTCGCCGCTTGGGGGCAGGTCTGTTGCCGCGCCGGAGGGTGCATTTGGCATGGAGTGACGGCGGCGCGAGGATGATGGGGTGCCTCCCACTCCGCCTCGTGATAGAGATGTGCGGTTGATCATGGGTGTGAGGCCTGTTGAGACGATGCGGGTTGTTCGTGGTGTTGTTGCTGCTGCTACTGATGAAGGGCCTGGGTCTGAGAAGCGGACTCGGCGTTTTGGTGCTTTGCGTGGTGTTTGGGATGGTGCTGGAGCTGGTGAGGGCTCATGGGCGGGTGCGGGCATGCTACGGCGTGCGCGCCGTAACGCGATGGGGAGGTCATCGTTGGTCATCGTGAAGCAAGTAGACGCCCTCGGGGAGGATGAGGACGCTGATGATCCGGGTTTAAAGGAGGGGATGATTCCACGCAGAAGCAGGCAAAGTAGCAGTGTACCTGTGGCAGGACGAGACTGACTGGGGATAAATACGAATCAACACTCCCTTCAAACAGGTAGGTATTTTTCAAACTCGATATCGTGTTTCGTTTGTCAACCCGCTCCCTTCTTTTCATATTCAGCCAACCTGTTGTTGATGCCAGACGGAGCTGTTGTTTACACACTTCCTATTCCAGTCTAGCGGCAGAGGCTCATCCCGGCCCAGCGGACCCACCCTTACCGGCCCCGCCCGCCCCGCTCGTTCAGCCAATCGTTCCCGTCCCAGCCGCGGTCGTCCAAAACAATTCCTCGACAATGCCTGCGGCGATTTGGCGTTCCTCATTCTCATTGTTCGCATCCCTTTCTGCTATTCTCAAGTCGCGACTGACGCGGTTGATGATGCCCCTGGCCTTGAGAAGTCGCGATTGTGTCCTTTGGGACGCGATCATTGGCCGAATCTTCTCACTAGGGTCTGTTCTTGTTCGGGGGCTCTCATGACAACGCCCACCAAGGTTGGAGAGAGAGAGGCATCTATCTGCCTGGAAATATTGGATCACTAACTTGTTGCCGTGGCGAGCTCTGCCATCTTAATTCTCGCTCTCCTTCATACTCGCAGCGATGGCAACAAGCTAGCTGATAGCCACGCCAGAATCGCATCTCAACATAAGACGCGAATGTTGTTTTCTCGGTTCCCGCATCCACCTGCAGCTCCCCTTCCCACTCTTCTACCCTTGTCAACGCCGACACAACGGCACTCAACCATTGGATGACACCCTGCATCTCGGCCCGCCTCTGCATCTGCTTCCGCTTCACGCATCTCCACCACACACGTCCCACTTCTCTCACACACACAATTTCGCACCGCAACATTCATATTCGCCAATTTTGATCGCTTGTTCAACATGGTCTGGTGGTGTAGTTGGTTATCACGTCAGTCTAACAACTCGAGAGCCTCGCTTCTCTCGTCTGCCACACTGAAGGTCTCCGGTTCAAGTCCGGGCTAGATCATACCACGGGCGATTGGTTTAGTGGTATAATGACCGCTTAGCATGCGGTAGGTCCTGGGTTCGATTCCCAGATCGTCCATTCTTTTTGCGGTTCCGTCTGTGATCCTCTCCTAGAGGTGTCGTCGGATTTTTCTATGAAGAAGCGGTGGGTCTGTTTGTTCTAGTGTAAGTCAACCTACCCACTTTTCGCCACCCAAAAATGCCTCCCAGCCTCTTCATTATTATCCTACCCCCATTGTTCAAACAACCACAACAATTGCAATTTTCGTCCAAACACACTCCTTTTTGGCACACTTATTTATCGATATGTAATGGTCTCGTATACCGAATTTGAAGTGCGGCAAGCACTTGATGCCATCTTGAACGGTACCCCTATTAACAGGGCCTCGATTGACTGGGCTGTACCACGATCAACACTACGAAGTCGACTCAAGGGGCATCAGAGCAGACTCACCGCATTTTCCGAGCTTCAGAGACTAAATCAATGGCAGGAAGACCGACTGGCAGAGTAGATTCGCATTCAGCACACTCTAGGGGTCTCTCCTACACATAAACAAGTCAGGGAATTCGCTGAGCGAGTTCTGAGAGCTCAGGGTGACCGCAAGCCTATTAGCAAGCGATGGATCCAAGCCTTCCTGCGAAGGAATCCCTCAGTTAAGGTCCAGAAGAGCCGAACTATTGATTCTAGACGTGTTAATGGAGCAACTACTGAGGTAATCAGGCCCTGGTTCCGTTTGCTCGACATCCCAGAGATCAAGAAGATCAAACAGTCCAACAGGTACAACATGGATGAGACTGGCATCCTTGAGGGCAAGGGGGCTAATGGGTTGGTCTTGGGTAAGGCAGAGGCCACTGCAGTGCGGAAAAAGGAGCCTGGTTCGCGTGCTTGGGTGTCGATTATCGAGTGTATCTCTGCTGATGCTAGATCTATCAAACCACTGGTCATATTCAAGGGAAAGTCGGTCCAACAGCAGTGGTTTCCCCTTCAACTTAACCCATTCGACGGTTGGAAGTTCACAGCAACAGATAATGGGTGGACGACAGACGACACTGCCCTAGAGTGGTTGAGGGAGGTGTTCTTGCCACAGACTGAGCCCCCTGGCCCTAGGAGGGCTGGTGGGGTGAAGGAGCCTTGATTATTGATTATGGATGGGCATGGGAGTCATACGACGACAGAATTCATGTGGGAGTGCTATCAACAACGTCTAGTTATTATTCTTGCCTCCACATACCTCCCATGTCCTCCAGCCCCTGGATCTAGCAGTGTTTGGACCTGTAAAGTCTGCTTATAGGAAGGAGCTCGGAAAGCACGAAATAGTAGACAATTCTACTATCGCTGGAAAGCGGCACTTTTTGGACTGTTACCAGAAAGCTCGTTTGGCTGGTCTGACGTTGTCTAATATACGAAGTGGGTGGAAGGCAACTGGACTATGGCCAGTTAATATGAGCCACCCTCTGCTGAGCCCACTGATGCTCCCCAGCCCTGCCACTCCATTAAACAACACTGCAGAGGGGCAGGCAGTGACTGGCAAGCCCATGGAACCCGTTGACTGGGTATCAGCGACGTCTGTTGTTGACTGGTCAACTCCTAGGCAGGCCAGTGAGCTTAGCCAGCACTTGAGGTTATTCACAGAGCTCAGTCCAGACAGCAACACTCAACGACTACTATTCAGAAAGATAAAAAAGAGCTTTGGCGAGAAGGAATACCTATTGGCCACATCAGACTATAGAAACCGTCAGCTCCAGGCCCGAATTGACCGCATGGCTCCAAGGAGGAAGAGAACCGTCCAAACAGATCCCAATACCAAGTTCGCGAACATCAGGGATATAAAGAGAGCTCAGGAGGATGCAGGCGACCGTCTCGTTAGTCCCAGTCGACTCGCAAGGATCGAATTACCTAGTGAGGGCAGTGACTGTATTGTAGTGGCAGTGGAAGGTAGTTAATTAATTGACTGGAAGTTGGTGGTGATGTTTTGAGACCATGTTGATTGGGGTGGCGAAAAGGGGGGGATAGCGAAAAGTGGGTAGGTTGACTTACTTTGTCCGGGCTTTGAGGGTGCCTGGTGAGGAGTTAGCATCTACACTGAGCATTGGCATCCGTGACAAGACAGGTGGTTCGAATCAGATAATTCCGACGGGGACGAAGATTGGTCGAACTACTTTGATGTCAATTCTGCGGGAAAAGAAATGCGAACGAACTAGTTTGACGTTGGGAGGTTCGCCATCGATTTGATATGTCGACCGAAGGTGGCTGGCCCCTGCGGCGCGGCAGGTCGAATTGAGTTTCCAATCTATGCGACATGAAGTAAGTGATAACCAATCTCAGATCGGATGCCCGCTTTCCTAGAACCAAGCTTTCCAGTTCATTCCGTTATGTGATTCTATCACTGCAAGCTCGGATTATTCTCGAATGATGACGTCGACTGGTGGTGAAACTTCGACTCCATTAGTTTCGAGCGAAACTCTACGCCAGACCCCGCCTGCAGACCAAAAGGAAAATCTAATCTTGCTTTCGATTCAAGCTCCGTGTGCTGGAGGGCCTCCTGCTTAATCTCCAAAGCATTTCTTATCTCAACGGACTTGCAACAGATTCGGTGAAAAATCGAGCGGACGAAGGAAAGTTGGCCTACGATGAAGGGAAGCCGCTGGCGGATGAACGAGACTCTCTGATCCATAGGCCAGCTTCCCTTCGTCCCCTCAAGTTCTCGATAGTGATCAAGCAAGCGAGGTTGTCAGACCGAATCACCAACCTTTTTATGACTGGAATCAAAACAATTGAGACCATCAACTCATCAACGCAGCCAAGACTCGAAGAACGATCGCGAAAATGGCACTTACACCTCGAATGGAACCTTATGCGCGCCTCCTCTTCCGTCTCTACGAGGCCCTGATTCTTCTCAACATCATCCGCCCAATCGGCGGGCCTCACGTCGTCTCTCAGCTCGGAAACTACACGACGCAAGATGTTCGACGACGCTTCCTCAAGAATCTGGCATTTCTCTGTGACTACAGCAAAGGAGGACGTACCGCTACTGCCATCGCCGTCGAGGACCGCAGCGACTGCTACGTCTTTTGGGCTGCGTCGAATGAGGGTGCTGGGGATAAGGTCGTAGACTTCCTCAAAGATGTGCTAAAAGGATTGCGCATGTTTTGTGAGCGGTTCAATGATCGGGTCACGGCGGAGGAGGCACTAGTAGCTCGGTGTACTGTGTTTACCGCTGCACGACTCCGACAAGAGGCTAGAATTCTTCGCAACTCTGCCACCAAGTGTCGTATTAGTCTGGAAAGCAGTGATGAAGAAGCCGGTAAGTCATCCTTTTTTTTTCGCAGACACCTTGCACTCATGGAAACTGAGACTGAACGATTCTAGATGCTAAGCTCATCAAGTGGCTTCGAAAGTTTGAGGACAAAACTTCTGATGCCATTCTATGCCGGACAGCATATTGCTCACGGAAAGACCAGGAAATGCGGCGCCTCGAACAGCTCGGTCATTCCCAAGACTCCGAAGGCATTGCCCATCTGGAGGAAATCACCACGGCTTTCCGTTCAGTCAGACACATGATCGGCCGTCTAGCAGCTCAGATCCGAAGCGTCAATCAGCTCCTTGATGACTCCAATCACATGGAGAGACTACTTAAAACCTACCAGGTTGCGGCGGTCAGACGCCCCATCAGCGCGTCGGTGCCAGAAGCAGATGCGCACACGACATTGCCGCGTATCCTGAACCGCATTTTGCCAGAAACGGACTCCAGATACAGCTCATACCTGGGATTTCTTCAGCGCATGGACCCGCAAGTCGAAATTGAGGCCAGGCTCCACGATAAGTTCGAAGTCGACGGGCTCCTGACTTGCGTTCACGCTGAAGTGCAGATGCTTCATCATTTCTTCGATAGCGGGAGGATATACGTCTCAAGTGATCGGTACATTGCTTGCAGCAAGCCGGCGTGCGTTGGCTGTGAGTCCTATGCTCGACATCATCCTGCTAGGGTTACTCTGCTTGACGCCCATCAAAAGGTCTATCCGAATTGGGGGATCGTGAGTCTGGAGGGTGGAAAGCAGAATCCTGGATGGATAAGTCAGCGAAAGATCATCAACGATGTGATCGGAGACTTGAAGCCTATGGTGATTGACCATCTGGGAGAGCTGCATGCGGCGACACTACAACGTCCGGACTCGCTGACTGAGATCACTGCGTCTTTGGTTGACGAAAATGACTCGGGCTCCGAGACGGAGGGATTGGATGGTAGTGAAGCTGGTCCGTCCAGTGAAGGTGAGTGCACTCGAACTTCTACGCGATCCAGACGTAGAGCGAGATTGGCTGACTTGGTACACTTTATCATTCATAGTATTCAGTCTGGACAGTGCTATTGGCTTACTGGATATTTCAACGGAGGTTGGAGAGGAAGGCCCAAAGGAACTTGGAGACGATGGAGAGCCTGGGAACGGCAAAAAGGTCAAGAATGATAGTGAGGCCGAGGATGATGATGGTGGCGCTCTACTTTGAAAAGCAGGCAGGGACTAGAAATTTTGAAGCTAAACGAGTGTGTTTATTTCTCTCCTTCTCTCTCCCGCACTTAATTTCTGTTTGATTTTTTTTTACATCTTTGAATTTTCAAATGTTTTGTTCATTTTTTTCAAGTTTTCCAGCTTCAAATCAAAATAAGACTTTCTTTGACACAGAGTGCAACAAACCACGGTGCATACTTAGAGCTTCGGCTGTGCCGTTTTCTCCTTGATGTGCTTCTTGAGATTATCCATCTTGGAGTAAATCTTCTCACACCGGCACTGGTAACGCGGCCGCTTGAAGTGAGTGTCGAAGTGCTTCCTCATGTCTCTAGTCCAGGCCATCCGCTTTGGGCACACGGAACAGAGTACAGGCCTACAGTGAGTCCTGAAATGCTTCCTATTCGACCCGTCAGTAGATATTACTTTTACTGTTAACTGTCCCTAGAAGGGCTCACCTCCTAGTACCAGGTGTGGAAAACCAGAGGTCACACCTAGGCCAGGTGCAAAAATAGTGCCCGTACCAGAAGTTCTCATCGTTACGCAGGGGTATATCTTCCTCTTCAAATTCCATCTGCCCCGTGTCGTGTCCTTCCTCCATGTTGGGAAAGTCTACTAAGCCCTTTGGGGGTATCTTGCCGACAAAAGAATGTTCCGATGTCTCATCATTGTCAATCTCTCTAGGACGATCCGGATCAGGTTCAAACAGGGGATACTGGCTCTGTCCCAAGCTCACGCTCTAAAGGGCGTTTGATGAGCTGGTGACGCCGCAGTCCTCCCATGAACCGGCCGAATCGCCCGTAAGCAATCTTGGGGACATTTCGTCGGTGAGCAGCGCATCAGCATTGAAGTTCACGAGCTGAGCGGGCTCGGGTTGAAAGTCAGACATTGTCTCCTGATTGACACCGTCGTCTTCGAGTAAAGCGGTGAACGACTCGAACTCCTGGACTTCGTCGAAATCCATCACGCCTAGTACAGACAACTGTCAATTTCTCCCGTAGCTTGAGGTGCGAAGCTTGGTATGTCCTACCTCTTTTTTCTTTCGTCTTCAAAGTAATCCGTGTTCGCAAACTTCTCCAATCAGTTTCCTCAACCACAACTCCTTCCACCATGCTCTACCTGACCATCTGGACGGTGGGCCAGACATCTGAGGTCTTCTTATACCCGATGCTGCAGCCTGTGCTAGAAATCTGGAGCTGGGTATCACATGGAGGAAATTGCCCATATACAGGAGGTTGAACCTTTCTGCTGGTGAGGGGATAAAGTTGGACGGTAAGTTGACGAGCAATGTGCAAATCGTGTAACTGTAAGATCGTACCAATCGGAATCCCAGCAGACCCCATGCTTCCAAGACGTATTGTGTCAATTTAGTGCTCTCGACATTTTCTACCTTTATGCTCCAATTGGTGGAACTCTTTTCCGATACTTCAACGTCACAGAAATCATGACGTTTACAGGGATCTCATTTGCAACAGTACTTTGGCTAAGCTGAAAAAGGCGCGAAGCGATGCTCTAGGTGGAAAAGATAAGAAGTACCGACGCTCAGGCCAAGGTTCATCACATGGTGAGAGTCTAATTACGAGGAGAACGTTTCCAGGCAGTCCCGTACCGACTTTCGGCATCGAACGAAACGGCCAATATCGGGGACAGAAATCTGGCCAGAAACTTTGATACATGTGCCAGGACAGAGCGCAGGTGAAAGGGAGATGACATGGGACTACTCCAAGCGCAGTTGAATGTCCATAGCAGAGAAAACCTCGGCAATCTCTTCGAGATATGCACGCTGATGGTGGCTCACATTTGGGCCCGACTCAGACTACACATCAACGTGGAAGCAATTTGACGATGCTAGGTCGTCACGTACATCCCGAACTGGCTTCGGGACACATAGACCATAGCAATAATTAAACCAAATCTCTTACTAATGCTAATTCATTGATCATTACACCTGCGGGTATCATTGTCATTACAGAGTCATGTAGACGTCTACCGGTTCTGGTCAATCCAATCCTGCACCATGCCGCGGTAATCCATCGGCGTGTAGCTCTCAAACAACTCGGCCCACATGCCGTCCTTCCGCGCCGTCTCCACCCCGACATCGCCGAGCAACATATCCCAATACGGCAACTGATCGAAAACCAGATCCGGATAAAACCGACCGTGCCCGTACGGCGCCCGGTGCTGCGCCCACCGCTGGAATAACGCCGTCTCCTCGAAGACGCGGCCCGCGCGGCGGTCGACGTCAAAGTTGGGGATCCCGTTTTCGAAATACGCCAGCATCCAGAGGCACTGCACCTCGAGGCGCATGATGTTAGCGAGGTTGCTGAAGGCGCCGAGGAAGACGAGGGAGCGGTCGTCGCGCGCTGCGAGGCCTGGCGGGGCGATGCCGCGGTAGAGGCGCCAGGGGGTGTAGGAGACCTCTGCTGAAGCACCGGGGTTGAATGACTTTGTCTTTGAGGATGTAGGGCTTTGGAAGGGACCGTCTAGTAGGCGTGGAAAGCGTGTACCAATTGTGGCGTCTGCCTTTGCGTTTGCGTCGTTCCAGAATGCTTCTTGTTTAGGTCCTAAAGATGTTGAAGGGATGCCGAGGTCGGAATGCAGAGATGCAGGCTCGAAGTTGATGGTTGGTTTTGCGGAGAAGCCGGTTGATGTGACCAAGAGATCGGCGGAGATGCTTGAGCCGTCGGTGAAGTGGATGTTGTGGTCTGATAGGTGGTCGATGTCTTCGCGGTAGATCTGAACTGTGCCGTTGCGGACGTACTCGAAGAAATCGTCATCGAAGCTGAGGATACCAGAAGCAGTGCCGTACCTGTGGGAAGAGTGGGGTTAGTAACGATGCTATGCGTGATCATTATGAGGAAGTTCAGCCTACCAGAACATGTTCTGCTCCGGCTGCAGCACCTTCGTCTTCTCGTCCGTCTGGTATCCGCAATCATTGATCGTGTCGTGCCGGATCAACTTCCAAAACGTCTTGCTAAGCACCCGGCCGACAGCGCTCTCGTGCAGAAACCGTCTAACCCATGCGAGACCCGAGAAGTCAGGGAACACGCACGGCGACATGAAGGCGCAGATTCTCCGAGTCACAAGACGCTCGCGCCAGACCTTGAATGGACCGAGCTGCGTGAACGCCGGCGCGACCCACACGGGCCCGCGGCCGGAGCGGCGGATGAGCCAGCGGACCTTGTGGCCTGTAGAGGCGGCTAAGTGAACCGCATCGTATGCCGACTTGCTCCCGCCTAAGACCGCTACTGTGGTGATATCGGGAGAGGAGAAGAGGGTTGCCTTTGGACCGAGATCAGAAGAGTGGATGATAGGGGCGTTAAAGTCTTCGGAGCCGGTGATGTCGGGAATATGCGGCACGGTGAGGACGCCCGTTGCGACGATGAGGCGTGCGCAGGTCACGGTCTTTGCTTCGCCGTTCTCCTCGACATCGACGTTCCATTGTCCCTCGTTTTCTGGACGAGTCACCCGTACGACCTTTGTGTTCAGCTGGATCTTGTCCCATACGCTGAAATGTTTTGCGTAGGCGACCAGGTACTCGTGCATGACCTTGCCAGGAACATGGTCACCGATCTTGACGCCGAAGCGCTCCGGGTCCATGGGAAAGTCTGAGAAGTCGATCGCCGAGACGAGGTTGTTGGTCTTCAGGTTCGGGTAGATCTGCTCTTTCGACCAGACACCGCCGACCGAGGCGCGACCGTCGAGGATGAGTATCTCGGCGGCCAGGTCATGTTGAAGGAGTGTCTTTGCGGCACAGAGACCGCTAGGGCCGGCGCCGATGATGAGGGTATCGATTGTGGGCGCCATAATATCTGGCAATGCGATTCACGCGGAAAAGATGGGAAACCTGAGATCAGGAACACAACCGAGGGGAGGGGAAATGATTGCTATTTAAGTTACCAGTAGCTCGTTGCAGCGTGCCACGCGCCATCAGAAAATCTCCAACGTGAAACACAGCGGAAGCGCCGAAGCGGCGTATCCCCCGACTACCTTAGCCGGGAGAGTTTAGACAGCGCTGACCTCCTGAACTCTGCCATAGAATTTGTTTACCAGACAGGCCCAACTGAGCTTAGACAGTCAGCCCTGCCCGGCAAAAGTGAGGACTGGGGGTTGAGTGGCGCCAACGGCGTGGTGAGGGCTGAAAGTCGTTGTCTGAAGCTAAGATCACAATCGGGATAGGGTTGTGGAACAAAGCGATAAGCTGACAAGTCTACGTACTTTTGAGCAGCTGGCCCAATGCAGAGGCATGTCTCATATAGAAGCAGATATCAAGCTTCCCCCTAATCCGCGCCATCTTTGACCCTAGAGCTGCCGTCGAGCTCCCACACTAACTAAGCGAACCACCACGCTGGATCGGCCACGCGACCCGTCAAGGGGGAATGGGAGCACGACACTAACAAGCCAGAGCATTCTAGAGGTGAAGCGGCAGATGTTCCTGAGGCATGAGAGTGCTTACACGCTGCGTTCCAGGCCCCAGGTAGTTGTCACGCTAGGTGAGCGTGCCGTGGGGCTGGGCCTCTGCGGCTGAGGTGAGACCGTGGTGGAGGATATGAGCGTGGCGCTCCCAGCTTGGAGCTTGGGGCACCTAGCGCACGCCTCGTTCATCGAGGAAAAAAGCTTGGTGTGTTGTCTCAGTTTGGCGGTCGGGATGAGGGGGTTCATGCACGTTGAGCTGAGGTGGTGGGACGGCATCTGTCCCCGGCCAGTGAAACTTACACGTTCTTCCTCATTTGATATGGCTGGAGTAGGATGAATCGTGAACTTCAGCCCGTAGTATTTTGATCCTTGGAGCTACCATAACTATAAATGACTACCACTATGCGTGGAATCCTACATGTGCCTCTAGCTGTGGTGGAATCGACGTGGCCATCTTTTCGTGGTTCTTTTCCACCAGAGGTTGGGCCTAGATGTTTCCACACAGGACATCTAGGAAGCATTTCAGTTTGCCGGAACTGAGCCACAGATTTGTTTTCTAGGAAAAGAGGAGAGAAACAAGAAGGCTGAGCATATACACGTGTCGTGTGGAGTTCCGCCGTTAGCTTTCGGATATCCCGCCGCCGGTAGAAATTTCCAATACCCCTGGGAAAATTGCGGAGAGCGCTGTTCGGTGCTTAATGTTATTTAGCCTAAGAGTCCACAACTTCTAAATGTAGACTGCTTGCTCAGCCGAACGGTTATGTGAACAGGAATTCACGAAGCGCGCTTCAGACGCCATGGCTGTTGGCGGCGGGTTGGCTCCATTGACTTGAGATTACAGGCTCGCGACGTTTCAATCATTCTTGTCGGGCAACTTGCGTTACGACAACAAGTTTCCACTTTTTTGAGAACGAGAATAGAATGGCAGTTGTAACATTACTTCATTACTACTTAAAATAAAAATACTAGTCAGATAACGTGCTTGATAAGCGAGTGTCGCAGACAAGCGAGTGTCGCAACTGATTGCAGCTGTAAGATAAATGCAACCAAGGAGCAACACTAAAAACATAAAAACAATCAAGACTTCTCCGAATCCTGTTCCTCAGACATTTCTTCATTAAACTAACATATTCGCGCATTATAGCTAGTGTTTCCGCAGACGCCACATCGCCATTAAGCTGTTTCCGTCCTCGGCCGGCGACCACAACTCCGACGAGTTTCCTCCCCAAGCTAGGCTATTGCCTCCCTCTAGGACTAAATATCCTCTCCCTCAGCTATAGTGAGGCTTCCTCCTTGTCTGAGACGGGGTTTCTTAGCTCTCCGGCGCCGGCTAAGTAGGTTATTTTCCTACTGAAGGACTCTAATCTCAGATTCCATTAAAGCAAGCCGATACATAATCCCTACTGCCCCCTTTATAAACTAGTCAACAGCGTCGTTAATAGGCGTTGGGGAGCTGCAGTGATGACGGTAGATTCGATCCTTAATTAAGGTAGACTAAGAAGTAGCCTTAGTTAGGTTATTTAGTGTCTTAGAAACCCAAGGAGCTGGTGTCCCAGGGAGTAATCCTGGAGGTATTGGAGTATATAGCTTCACGTCAAGCTTCAATAGCACACTCTCTGCACTTAAGGGGACAGGCCCTGCTCCTCTAAAGCCTCCCCGGATGTTCTGCTCTATAAGTGCTTTCGTGAAAGCCTTATGGAATGCAGAGAAGACGTCCTCCTTCGTAATATGGGTATTACCCCGTCGCATCTTATCCTCAATTTATCGACCGTAAGCCTTCGTTAGTGGCCCAAAACACCCAACTTTTAAGGGCTGAAGCAGATGAGACGAATGGGCTGGCATACAGAGCGTGACGATATTGTTTTCCTTACAATATAACTCAAAGTCGGCGGCATGGTGACTTTCGTACCCATCGACGACGAGGAGGCGATGACTGCCAGTTGCACGCGGTTTTATATGCCGATCAACGTGCTGGAGCCAATCTAGGCCTCTTTCGTTTGTTGTCCACCCGTTTTCAGACGTTGCGATGACCCAGTCGCGTGGGAGTCCTGTTTCCATGTACCAGGTAGAGAGGTGATATTGCCCCGCAACGATGATGTACGGCGGGACGCTATAGCCTAACGAACTGATAGCCTGGATAACTATAACCCATTCGCGGTCACCAGGCTGCATCATCTTCGTGTTTGAACGCCTTTCGGCACTTGTAATAACCACTCCGGATGCAATCTGGCCCATCATAAACCCAGTCTTATTAAAGTTATAGATATCGGAGTCCACGATGCCGTACTTCGCGATTATGTTCGCCACAAGGCGAAACCACGCATTTATCGCATCTGGATCTTCGCATTAGGCCCTCTTATAGTCATACTTCCGAAAAGAACGCGTTTGGAGCCTTGATTGTCTCTTAACGAAGTTCGAAGCCCAGCGCTTGCTAACCGGGGGCGCATCGCGGTCGGCAAGCAGACGAACAGCTATATCTTCCACAACATTAATCCGGGGAGGAAATGATCGGGAATTCAGATCAATAACATACTTAACCAGCTTCTCTTCTTCAAGCGCTGTCAAGTTCCGTGAGTTAGGTATCGTGTCGCGTCGTAATAGAATGCCCTTCATTCGTCGATGTAGCGTCCTAGAGCAGACTGAGTATATCTTAGCTGCAGCCCGAGCGCTAAGATTTGGGTCATTTATGATAGCTTGAAGGGCTAGTTGTATTTGGGATTCTTTATTACTTAGCGCCATGGTTTGTTGTGGAAGAAAAGTCATCGATTGCGTTGTTATGCTGTAGCTGCAATTGGTTGCGACACTCGCTTGTCTGCGACACTCGCTTATCAAGCACGTTATGAAATCAAATAAATACCAGCCAAGTATCTGATGTCAGGAGGCCCTCGCTACAGCACTAGCATTTTCATTGTCTGTAGGCTGGGCCGTTCCTGGCCGTCATCATTTATACTCGTAGCAGAAAGGACCCCCGTGGATATCCATCATCTCAGCAACAATCATTTCCTCGCCAAAATTAGGGTAAGACAGGGGATACTGCAGAGTGATGTTCTCGTAGGTGGGATTCGTGGTATAGTTGAACGGATAGCCGAATATCACATCTGGGCCGCCGATATCCGTCTTGCGCGCAGGCCAGTCTGTAACGATTCAGGGAGTTATTAGCAGCGCTGCATACCAATCAATCAAGCCAAGCTTGGGTGACGGGCTTGTCTGATTGACTGATTTTTCACAAGAAGCTTGCTTGATTTGACTGGCTTGGATTGAATTGATTAATATTACCTATTTAGGAAGTCAGTGAAGCTCTCAAGATGTCTCTATGCGTCAGAAACTTACATTATCTGATGTTCTGATGTCATCCTGCCCTCCGTCAACCCTTCCGCTTGAAGTAATGCCCACCAACAGCAACGCTGCCCCCTCGAACCCAGTTCTGGAGGCATTGTGTCTCCTCAAGCAGAGATGGTTTCATGGATAGCCTCTGTGACGTCAGCGTAAGTTTGGCAAGGCTGAATGCCCTCTCGCAGTCGATCGCCATCGCTGGGCAGCGGCCCCGCAAGTGCAATCAAGTCAATTTTGACCCCCATACTTGCTGTTGATGAGATTTTTCTTGGTGTTTTTGATTAGTTGGCTAACTTGCAAGTTATTCAATCAATCGCCATATAAAAACACGTGATCTACAATTACCTAAGCGGGAGATATATGAAGCTATTCACGATAGGCCCAGTAGTCCAAAGCCGTTGTTCTGCAGCATAACCCCCCTCTTGAGCCAGTTTTTCGACAGCTGGAGAATTTCTATAGTCTCTGGCTTCATACTCATCCGTTGCGACGTGAGGGTTAACTTAGCAGTACTGAAAGCCCTCTCGCAGTCGGCCGCCATCGCTGGGACGGCGAGGATGTCGATCGCGAGCCGAGAGAGGGTCGGGAAGGTATCCGAATGGTCCAGCCACCACCGTAAGGGCTCGGAGGTCTCCTCCGGAGGTTGACGGAGGTAGAGATCGAGCTCATCCATCCGGGGTGGGGTCTGCCGGCGCCGGCTATTAACCCACTGCCGGAAGTGACTGTCGTCATCATCTCGAGCCCCGGGGTCAACGGCAAGGCCTCCGCGCTGCCCTCTGTGGCCGGAGATACTCTCTTCCGGGCCGTTCTGCCGATACCACTTATCATAGTACTCTGTGAGGGATTTCTGAGCCTTGTCGACCCATCCCTCTTGGTGGTCATCACTCCATACATCTCGTAAGTATGAGATCCCGTATGACGGATGGAGAATGATCGCACCAGAGAACAGTGGTGACTCCCCTAACTTGTCATAGTAGTAAAAGAGCTTTTGCCACGACTGCTCAATACTACTACGGAGGAAGGATTGCCACTTCTCGTCGAGAGAGTCGAATCGTGAGGCGGCTCGTGAGGCTGGAGATGCCCAGTCTTCACGCACGT